AGTGCTCCACGTGTTTGCTCAAGGTGTGGTGGTCGCCCACACTGCTTGCTATTGGCGGTAGCTCATGCTCGTTGGCTGAAATTGAGGCAGACTTGAAGAGCTGAGACTTGGCGACAGAAGCGTTGTAGGTCGTGGTGTGGAGAGTGGAAGAGGCAGAGGAGTGCGAGGAAGGAGCCGCCGGGGCCGAGTGAGTGGATGCCACGGACGATAGCGACGAGCTGGAGGCGTACGTGGAAAGCTCATAGTCGGTCGCGATTGGTGATGAAGGAGGCAAGGAGTGGGCCGTGCCCCCTCCCAACGCGGCAGCCATCACGGGAGACACGGGAGCGCTACTCCGCCGTTGAAGATGCGATGTCCGCAAAGCAGGCGATCCAGTCAACGGGGACGCGGACAGGCCGCTTCCGAGCGCGGGTGCCGCAGAGCCGGAGGCAGAGTCGTTGTGAAAAAAGCTGCTCGCCCGCCGCAGAGTGATGATGGTGATGGTGATGGTGGTGGTGATGCGCAGTGTGGTGTGCGTGATGATGCTTTTGCGAACTTGCCGCCGAAGGCGAGGCGGACGAAGGGCCGACAGACATGCCCACCGTTCCTTCAACGCTGCTGAACGTTCCATCGCCTTTCCGTGCCTTAATAAAGTGCATTTCACACAAAGCTTGGACAATATCCGTACTTTGAGTAGTGAGGGCGACAGCGCGCTGGTCTGGCGCAAGCTGCAAAAACCACTTGATCAAGCTCGCCTCATGCTGACGATCGGCGGTCGACTGTGGCAATGGGGGTTGCAATGGCGCTAATACTGAGAGAGATGCTGTGCTTGGAGGTGCGGCTGACATTGGCGACGACGACAAGGACGACGACAAGGACGACAACGGCGGCGGTTGCTGCGTTGGCTGCAGCGATGACGCCGGCGCGGGTGACTGGTGGTGTACTGTCATCGTCCGCTCATGAGGACTGTCGCAAGAGGCTGATCGACCCAGCAAAAACAATAAGAAATGTTCAGGATGGACGGAGGGGTTTACAAGCCAATTTCGAGCTGAACGACGACGACGACGACGTTGAGAGCAACCTAGATTCTCAGAAAACGAGAAGCGCTCGTGTTTGACGCTTTCTTGAGTGTAGTGTTTTCCTGTTTCACACACCATTGTTTGATTCAACATGTTCATCCGTAAAGTGAGACAATGACAGAGACAGACAGACAGCGGGGTTGTGGGAATGGAGCAGAGTGTGCGAGTGATTGAGTAACAACGTGAGAGTGAGCAAAAGCGAGAGAGACGGACAATCAAGCGAGATGGTGAGTGCTTGGATCCAGCGAGAGCACACTCAAAACGGGGAGAGGAAGACGGTCTTCTTGTGGGAGTAGCTGCATTGATGAGAGTGAGCGTGAGAGAGAGCGAGAGAGCGAGAGAGCGAGAGAAGGGAAAGCGAGCGACGCAAAACGGCGCAACAAGAGCCAGAGAGAGAGAGACAAGACAGGGACACACACGAGTCAGACTGGGGGGTGGCCGCCTGCTTGTGAAGCAAGTCAAATGGACAAGCACACACCCCACCCCAACTCCCTCCAGCTTTAGCAGTTACTGAGAGACGTGAGAAGCGCAACCAGAGCAGCAGTGCGTTTGGCGCGCAACAGTCTCTCTCTCTCTCTCTCTTGCTGTCTCTCGCTGTCTCTCTCTCTGTGGGTGTCTCTCGCTGTCTGAATGTGTTGCTGAGGGGACGACATTTTGCTCCAGACAGAGCGTGGAGCACAGAGACACAACATGGACGACGCGAGACCAAAGGAACAAACAAGATGCTTCACAATGCAAGGACGACGACGACGTACAATGGAAAATGCACTCGGCGTGGACGGTCCAAAAAAAAAAAAAAAAAAAAAGGACTAGAAAAATCTGTCTGTTTTGTTGGATTTTCATGTTGTAGCTGTGTGCAGTGAGTGTGTGTGTTCCACATCATCATCATCATCAGCATCAATGCAATAATAGCGTTCTTTGAGCTGACTCTCATCTATTTGTGAATATCTGCACATTTTGAGATGGAGTTCAGTTTCTTCTGTTTGGCTTGTAAGCTTTTTTTTTTTTTTTTTTTTTTTTTTTTTTTTTTTTTTTTTTTTGGCTTTCTTCACTCACTTTGCATTGCGCCTTTTTTTTTTTTTTTTTTTTCCCTCCACCCTCCTCCTCATCCACCATACACACACACACACGCACATAGAGTCGTCCCCTTTCGCTTTATCCACGCGATCACTGTGACAAAAGGCCACTCCTCAAATGATACTCGCGTCAATCTCACTCACAGGCAGCCGCATGCTCGCTGCTGGGCCTGTCCGCGCTGCGCTGGCTGCCGCTGCCCCGCGCGCCATCACTGCTGCGGCACTGACATGCAGCTTCAATGTCGCGCATGTCACGGCGCCAACAGCGGGCGGCCTCGGCGGCGCGCAGTCGATGCTGGGCGTCCGCTTTGCCTCAAAGAAGGCGTCGAAGGCGTCGCGCAACGGCGGTCAGTCGCCGGGCCAGCGCCTGGGCATCAAGGAGTACGACGGAAGCCCCGTCATTGCTGGGAATATTATCGTGAGGCAGCGTGGAACGCCCTTCCGCGCAGGGCTCAATGTTGGCTGCGGACGCGACCACACTCTGTTTGCACTCAAGAACGGCCGCGTCCGGTTTACCCGCGAGCACGTCAAGTGGGGCAGCGAGCACTTCCAGCACCGAACAATCCGATACGTGCACGTTATCGAGCACCCGCACAGCATGCCATTGCAGATGATCCAGTACGCCGGACCCATCCCTGGCTTTGTTTCGTCCCCAGCCTCCATCGCACCAACCGTCAAGGCGCTCCCACGCGTCTCCCGAACTGTGCTCAGTCCCGAGGACTTGCCTCCTGTGGCAGAGCTGGCGTCAGTGGCACTGACCAGCACTGCAATTGCGCCTCCTCAGCCTCGGCGGACGCGAGCTGCGTCTTCCGCACCAGCCTCAGCTACTCCATCGTCGTAGTGGTGTTAGTTGATGATGTTGTTGTTGTTTGTTGTTTGTTGTTTGTTTGTTTGTTTGTTCTGTCCCTAATTGTACCAACAAGTCCCTTGAAAAATCCGATCATACAGTATGAAAAAACCGGTATTACGATACGAAACTATGCTCCCCACAATCCCATCCACAAGTAGCTCAATCGTCCAAAGAAGACGAGTGTATTTCCCCCTCTCTCTCTCTCTTTGACTATAATCCTCCTTCCAACTGAAACCGAACTCTTTCTTTCTCTCTCAATCTTCAGCGTCTGTCTCTTCTTCTTCGTCATCGGTCGACTACACCTCCCAGATTTTTTTTTTCTACCTTTTTCCCTTCCAATTTCAATGCTCCAGCTCCAGCTCCATTCATTCACTTCAGTTCCCATTTTTTCCATCGCGTACCAACACTCACCAAACGTTTGGACGTGGCTACTTTTTTTTCTACCCCACACAAAGTCCAATACAAAGCCAAACAAGCCAAAACCCCCACTTCCTTTTGACTTTGGCTGGTTGTCTCGCTGGTTGTTTGCCGACTATTTTGCGACTCTGATCAACATGGCTGGTCTTCCGAGCCTGCTCAAGGTGGCGCTGAAGCGAGCGCAGCCGGCAGTGCGAGCGGTGTGGACGTGTCTACGCCTCGTCCTGCAGCCGGCCGTCCTGCTCACCATCGCGCTGGTCTTCACGTCGTGGCGGATGTACGCCCAACTCAACGTGCGCTGCGGGTGGGACAATGGCGGCTCGTGGTCGGCTGGCCTCGCGTACGGACCGTCGCCCCTCGAGCTACGTCTGTCGCCGCTGCCCGCCATCGACTGCGCGCTGGTCTCGGACGAGCTGGTGACGTTCGTCGCAGATCCGTTCCTGCTCAACTACCCGAAGGGAACGCACAACTGGTACATGTTCTTTGAGGCCAAGCACGCCGAGTCCTGGCATGGCGACATTGGCATGGCCACCAGCAGAGACAATGGCGCTTCGTGGGCCTACTCGAACATTGTGCTGAACGAGAACTTTCACCTGTCGTACCCGTTTACCATTTCGGACGTGACCGTGCAAGGGACGCCGTCCGCCAATCTGGCCGACCAGTACTTTATGCCCGAATCCGGCGCCATCCAGGAAATTCGTCTGTACGGTCCCGACCTGCAGCTGGATCCCGCCAGGCATCCGGCAGGAGTGTATTCGTCGGATACGCCCAAGCCAATGACGCAGTGGGTGCATGTGCACACCTTGATGAGTGGAAAGCCATTCCTCGACTCGAGCCTGATTTGGCACGACGATCGCTGGTGGCTGTGGACGGCTGTCAACAAGGAGCTCTTGCTCTACTACAGCGAGCCTGGTCCGACTGCTGCGCCTGGCTCCCATCCAAACTCACTGCTCAGCGTTACTTGGCACCTCCACCCGAAAAGCCCGCTGCGCGACTCGTCCTGCTCGTGGTGGCGTCCGGGCGGCCGCCCCATTGTCTATCGCGACCATGTGTATCTCATGGCACAAGACGACACCGTTACCTATGGTGGATCCGTCCGCATTCTCCGCGTCACCGAGCTCAACACCACCAGCTACAAGGAAAAGTCCGTTCGCTCCATTGTCCCCGCCGATCTTGTCGCTGGGCGATTCCCGTTCGACAAGGCCGGCATTCTCGATGATGATGATTACGACGATGACGACGAGCAGCATGCTGGGACTGCCGACGTGAACAAGGGCAACGTCGCCACGATTGGCCGCATTCCCATTCCTTCCCTCGACCAGTACAACTACATTACGGAGGCTGGAGTGAAGCCGTTCGGGTGGGCGTCAAAGCGGCTCCATCACATTGATGCGCAGGAGGTTTCGCCGGGAGTCTGGATTGCATCCGTGGACGGCGACAGTCAGGTGAACAAGGTGCTCATGTTCAAGGCGATTGCGATCGGTCTCTTGGTCGTCGTCTGCGCGATTTGTTACCACTACTCGCTCTTTGCGCGCATTCCCGCTGCTCGGCAGGTTCGTCTAGCGATGCTCGAGACGCGCCAGCGCGTGTCGAATCTCTCGACAACCGTCAAGGTGATTTTTGGGTTGGTGGCTTTTGCCCTTCTCGTGCGATTCCTCGTTGCCGGGCGCATGGACACGCGTGTTATTGTGAGCAGGCCCGATTCGCGGTTTGCACATGGGTACAATCCCGATGCAGGCGTCTTGTTTGACGGCGTTGAGAAGGATCTCGCGCCGTCGAACGGCAAAGTCATCAAGATGGCCGCCAACCTGGACGAGTGCCAAATCACAATGATCACCAGCATGTACGATGTTGGCCGCGGCGAGTTTTCTGGCGAAACGCGTGGATTTGCCACTTACCTCGAGTACTTTAAGCAAATCCTCGAGCTCGACACTTGCATGGTGGTGCACGTCGACCCTTCTGTCGTGGACTTTGTTCGCAAGCACCGCGCGGCGCGGGCTTCGCGCACTGTCATTATTGCCGAAGAGTGGCAGGATTTGCTCTCCCGATACCCGTACCGAACAAAGATGCAAGCCATCATTGACGACAAGGAGTTCATGTCGCGCGTCAAGCGGCCCGGTCGCCCTGAAATGAAGCTTGTTGGGTACAATATCATCATGTTCAAAAAGGTGGATTGGGTGTACGACGCCGCCCGCTCCGACTACTTCCGCTCTCGGCAGTTCTTCTGGATGGACGGTGGGTATGGTCACGGCAAAATGATGGGCTTCCTCAAAGACCGCGTGTGGCCAGACCCCAGCAAGGTCGAGGCACTTGTCAACGACCAGCAAACGTACATTCTGCGTGTCAAGGACTTTACACGAGAAATGTGCCAATCAGAGCGCGAAATGTTCACCAGGCATGCCAAAACGGTTGCGGGCGGCTTTTTCGGTGGGTCGCGGCGAGCCATCCGCGCGCTCTACCCCGTCTTCCACCAGGCCATCCAGCGCTCCCTCACGGGTGGCTATATGGATGACGACCAAGCGGTCTTCTTTGCCGCATGGTGCGATCAGCCCGATCTCTTCACCTTTGAAGAGTGTCCAAGGAACTTCCTCTGCACGGGTCTGACCATCAAGCCGTGCTGGGACATGTGGAACTGTCCAGTGTATTACTTTGCCCCGGATGACTAAGCCCTTTAAGTTTTTTTTCGTTTTGATCGACCGTGCCGGGAAGATGAGCAAACAAACAGGTTTTTGCTTTTGTGCTTGTTGCTTTTGCCTGCCTTGCGCTTGTCGGTGTTTTCGTGGTAATATTATTTTTGTGCGGTTTTGCTGTCTGTCTGATCCGACTCTCGTCCCACTACTTGCTGCATTTCCCAGTTACTGGAATTGGCAATGGCTCAGTCGTTTCACTAAGGTTTGGGTTGTGAGCACATTTTTGAAAAATCGGCGCGCTCTCGTGTTGTTTGCTTGTCGCTTTCCGCTTTCGGCCCGGCCGCCGCGCGCAGTCTTCGCTCTTCGACGAGCAGCACGAGTTCGCCTTTCATGCTGCAACTCTGACTTTGGCATCCGCACTCACGCATCGCAACGCCACGACTCGCGCAGCAGGGAAACAAATCCACACACACAAAAAAAAAAACAAAAAAAACCGTTGGAAAATGGTTTCAAAATCCAAAAACGCGGGAAAAACGCGTGGTTTGAAATTACGCTTCTCTTTCTTCTTTCTTGCTCGGCGTCTCGTCTCGTTTCAGTCGCGTTGTCTGATTCTGTGACGATTGCAAAAGGAAGGCGACCGTTGGAAACCTGAAGACTGACTCTTGTCTCAAAATCCTCAAATCCTCAATTCGCGCTTTCAAATCGTTTTGTGGCTCTTGTTTTTGGATCGGTTTCAAACGTTTTCTGACTTTTTGTTGTTTTTTGTTTTTCGATTTTTATCATTTTGAAACAGAATAATACATCATCGTCCAACACAATGTCCGCCGTCTCGTACAACCACCTGACCGACAAGGAAATCCACGAAGAGCTGCTTCGCTACGGCGAGGATATGGTCGTCGGTGCCAGCACTCGCAAGTTGGCTGTGAGCAAGCTTCAGAAGCTCCAGGCTGCCGGCGCGTCGTCGCCTGCTCGCTCCAAGTCGCCCTCGCGATCCAAGTCGCCCTCGCGCACTGCGGCGCCAAAGTCGCCTGCTCGCGCCAAGTCCCCCTCGCGCTCCCGATCGCCTTCGCGCGCCGCTGCTGCTGCCGAGGAGAGCCCCAAGCGTTCTACCGCTGCCACTCGCGTTGGTCGCGCACTCGCTGCTGAGGCCGACGAGATCGCTGCCGTCCCCACCCCCACCAGGAAGAGCCGCACCTCCGCCTCGCCTAGCCGATCGCCTGCTCGCGTGTCCAAGACCGCGGCTGGCCGTGCCAAGCAGTCCGAGGAGTTTGAAGAGGAGGTTATCGTTGAAAAGATCAAGCCAATCAGCCCTGCCAAGTCCCGTGGCACGAAGACCGCCGCGGTCGACAACGCCTCGAACAACGCAGCCCAGATTGGCTACACTCTTCTTGCCGTGTTTGCCTTTGTCTTGCTGCTGTTCGTCGTCTTCCACTTTGACGGCTTGCAGTGCCTCCGGCAATGGGTTGAGTCCTTCAAGGCCTCTGGCGCCATGGCCATCGAGAATGCTTCCACCAAGCAGTAACGATGAACACCAAAACTAGAAAGAACGAAAAAAAAAAAAAACTCAAGATTTCGTAAATCGAACAAACAAAAACGAGCAAACAACCAAAAGGAGGACAAAACATGGTCTCTTTCGAGTTGTTTGAGTTTGTCAAGGTTAACACTGCAGTTGATTCGTGAATATGTATGTGCGCTGTCGTGTCTCGAGCTGTGTGATAAGTGGGTAGATTGTGTGTTTTTTGTGCTGTCGTTTGAGTGAGTTGCCTGTTGTGATGATGAAGTATTGGCGAAAGTTTGATGATTTTTCAGTACAGTACATTGCGCTTTTTTTTTTCAACTTGTTCGATTTTGACTGTAGGTGAAACCTTGCGGAAAATGAAAAAGTAAAAACCAAAAGGAATATTCATACAATACGAAAACGATACACACACAACAAAAAAACCGCTGTACGCAAAAACCGACTACCAGAAGGAAACCAAAAGCCCCCTCCTCCGACGTTGGTAGTGTTTACCAATCCAACGATGTGGGCTCAATAACATCCCGGCTCGACTCGGAGTAGAACTGGGAATACCATCGTCGCCACTTTCCGATGAGGGAGTCCTCGGGAATAAGAAGCGGCTTGTCAACAAAGCACTTGTTGTTCCAAATCATAATGTCGCGCTCCACTTGCAGCGCCTCGCTGAGCATGACAAACTTGGCAAACCAGGTGGGGACCTTCCACTCTGCGTAGACGGTGTGCACGACGAGCTGCTCCATGGGAGCAACGGGAGTCACGCTCTGAATAAAGACACCCTGGCCGAAAAGCGAGCGCCACTTGAGATAGACAAGCGCGGGGCCGATCTGCTGCGCCGAGACGTAAAAGTTAAGCGGGGAGAAGATAATGCCAAAGATGGTCATCTGGTGCACCAGCTCCAAGAAGCCAATGTGCTTGTCAATGCCTTCGCCGGGAGTCCAGCTGGCATCCCACACGTGCTCGCCGATCGCTTGGAAGCGCGGGCCACCTTCGGTGCGGGTTGCGCGCAGGTCGGTGCCGGAGGCCATGAGGGGCGAGTGCACATGCTTGAGGTGGGCAATGTCGGCGCCATTCTCGGGCACTTCCTGGATGTGAGCGTTAATGTTGTGTTCAGTGTAGCCGCGGAAGGTCCAGGAGCCGCTGTTGACCTCCTCGAGCGACGGGGGGAACCAGGCCGGCTCGCGGTTTTCAGCGTCAAACCACACGAGCACGTGCGAGTTGGTCTCGAGCGACGTCCACTTGCGCGTCTTGGCAAATTCGGGGACCTTGGTGGCGTACGGGATGTTGGTGCACTTGCCATCGTGGTTGAACGTCCAGCCATGGAAGGGGCACTCGATTTCGTTGCCCTTGACCTTGCCGCCGATGCCGAGGTTGGCGCCCAAGTGCGGGCAGTACGCGTCGAGCACGCTGACGCGCTTGTCCTCGCCGCGGAAGACAACAAAGTGCTGGCCGAGCGCGTCAATGTTCTTGACGTCCTTGACTTTCAGATCGCGCGAGTCGCACAGGCGATACCAGCCGTTGGGAAACGGAGGAGGGAGGTTGCCACGCTTGCGGCGCAGCTTGGTGTCCATGGCAAGCTTTTCGTTGCTGCGGCGCTTTTCCTGGATGTAGCCAATCTCCTCCATGCGGCGGATCAGCACAAACGGCACAAACAGAGCGCGGAAGGCAAAGACGATGGCGGCAATTCCGCCCACCACCGTCAGAATCAGGTAGAGCCAGTTTTCACGAGCAAAATGCATCGCCTCGCCAGACTCGATTGCGTGCGGAATGGCCTCTGTAATGTTGCGAATGCTGGGCGCAACGCTGGCAAAGATGGCCGATGCCGTCGACACCAAGAATCCCTGTCGTTCCTGGACGAAATGGTGATGTGCTTGCTGTGGCAGGCCATCCGACTCGGATGATGCTGAGGCTGACAAGTCTGCCATCACGGCCGCGGCCAATGCGACGACGCCCGCTGTTGCAACGCACAAGGTTGACTTTGTCACCATCGTGAGGAACAAAAAGAGTCGACCTAAAGAAAAAAAAAACCTGTGGCAGACATTTGGCAGACATTGGAGAACAAGTGAGTAAAAGTTGGGTTGTTGATATTCACAAAAGTGTGACAAGTGCGCTTTTGCAAACCACATGTCAAAGAAAAGCCAAGAAAAAAACGAGATGAGCTGCAATAGCGGAGAAAGAGCGAAAATAGGGCAAAGCGGATGATAAAAAATGAAAAGCGAGCAGGTTTTTCGCAACAGTGCATTAGATTGGACACTCGCTAACCCTCGCTCCTCTTTGTATCAACTGAGGTTTGTCGCTTTTGCAAGTCTGAATGAGAGAGCGACGAGGTTGAACGTGGTCATGCTCCGGAAGTCGATGATGACTCAATCTTCGCATCTCGCCACACACACACACACAGAAACAAGAAAAAAAAAACCTGGTGATCCACCCATGCGAAAGTCGTTTTACAAAAAGTGTTTGTGCTTTATGATTCCCGTTTGCAACCAGCATTCATTGACCCGCATATGTGAACACACACACACACACGCACATTGTGTTGTACTGGCAAATGCTTGAAGCATATGGCCTCTGTCGCTCTCGCACTCCCCAATCTCAGACGTTTCCCATTTTTCATTTCTCGCGTTTTTGCACCTCAGGTTCAACAAGTGCGACTCGATTTGCCTGCTCGTTGTTTTGGTGCTGTTGTTGCATCCTCAGAGTGTCAGGAAGGGGGCGCGTTACGCAGTGCGTGTGAGAAATGGGAGAGGGCTCATGGGGCTTGAGGGAGGGCATAGGGCGCAGTCGGCGCTGCTGGCCAATGAGACGCGAGCGAACAATGCTCCACGTGAAATTAGTCGGCATTTGTGATGTTTGCTGCTATTGAAGGCGAATTGGGGGCGCTCTTCCAACGACCATTGGATGCCACGACATCCACTCTTTGACATTGAAAACGCAACTTCACTCGAATGGAAAAAAACAACGCGAGGGAACAAAACGATGAATGAAAAACAAGAGCGTTGTTGGGGGGGAAAAAAACGAGAATTTTTTTTTTTTTTTTTTGGTTTTTTTGGTTTTTTGGTTTTTTTTGGTTTTTTTGGTTTTACCGCAAATAAAAATAAAAACTGAACTTTTTTTGTTCGGTTTTGGAGTGGCGTTTTTTTTTTTCGATTTTGAAGCAAGTCGAGGGTGCGAGTTGAGGGTTGGAGTGGAGCGAGCAAAGGGGGGGGGGGAAAGGAGAAAAAAAAAAGATACTGAAAGAAACGAAAACCGACGTTGCGTTTCACATTGAACAGAAACAACGCACACACACTCACATAGCACAAAGAGTCGAAAAACAGCAAAACAACAAAAAAAAAAACAGAACAAACCAAAAGACATGCAAGAAAATTACATCACAATGCAGCATTGACTGTTGGCCTTCTTGGCTTGCCCGAAAAAGACCTTGGAGCTGGCGCTCAAGTCGTTCGATCGCTCGACGAGGTTGTCAATCTTCTCGCCGCGACCAATGACAGACTCGATTGTCTTGTGCTGTGTGTCAAGAACAGGGTGGACGGGGATGGGCGAGAAACGGCCAGCAAGTGAGCAAACAACGACAGACAAGAAATTCTCAAAGCAACGGCGGCAACAACGACTTCATCAAGCACAATCCAACATGCAGATCAAGCACCCTTCAACCAAAATGACCACCACCGACCACCACCACTGACCACCGACCAGCATATTTTGGCCAAAACTCACCAAAACAATCTTGGTCTCGTCAAGATCGCGCTGAACTCGCAACAGAGCGTCCGCCTCGGCCGGGTTTTGATACTTGGTCAGCATAGTCTCGATTTCAGGGAATGGCAAGTCGCGGGCGGTCGCTCGGTCGACCGTTTCCTTTGTATACTTGGCCGTGAACTGCTCCAGGGACTTGGTGATTACAGAGAAGGCCACACGCTTGTCGTACTCTGAGTCGGCGATAACAATGCCAGTGTATCCGTCCTCGCGAGCATGGCAGAAGAATACGTAGGCTGTCAGGCGTTGAGGAGAGACGAAAAGGTGCAAAAAAAAAATGACACGCTGAGGTTTAACAACAGCAACCAGGGGGTAAATGGTGTGTGTCATCGACATGACGCAAACACTGTACCTTGCTCTGAAACGGCGTTGCGAGTGCCAGGTGCTGTTCGCTCGCCAATTGTCTTGGAGAAGAAGTGCATAAACTCACGAACGCTGTTCACACCAAGCGAAACCAAAACAAAAAGCAGACAAAACCCCACAGAACGAAACAACAACGTTAGAACAGATTGCCCAAAACCCAAGATCGTTGTGTCACAGCGCTGGGACGTTGAGAGAGGGGTCGGCAATGCTAAAAAACGGTTTTCGCTGGGGCTATCTCTTCCACTGTCGAGCACCTGGCTCCCAACTTTGCTGGCCGTTCTCGTCCACCGGGCTCGTTTGACTGAATCAAGACCCAGAACAAAGTCCTGAGAGAGCACTCGCAGCACGCCCTCGTCGTGGAACAAGCAGCGAAACGCAAAACCAGAATCAGTAGGAACCACGCCGACCCCCTCGTCCTCAGTCCTCCCCTTCTCCCAGCGGGCGACAGTGTTCGAGCACCCAAAAAGCCGCGGGGTTCTTCAGACACTTTGCTATTGCTGAATGGAAGGTCGGTTGAGAAGTGCCAGAGTGCACCTCGTCAGCGATACAGCCGGCAGCGACCAAGACGTCATAGAACGAACTGCCTCGTTGGCGTTCCCCCACCCCTACCCCGCCTCACACCCTCTCAACCTCCCTCCACTCGACGTGCTTGCTGCGCCACGAAATAAAACTCGGTGGGTGGGAAGCCGTTGGGGGAGTCAGGTCACCTTGAACGTTCAAAGTAGCCAAAGTCAGCAACGTTGGTCGCAGTCGCAACCAGCTTCAGGTTGGCGCCCGATCGCTGGTACAAAATGATGGCGTAGAGCTTCATTGGAGAAGGAAAAAACAAAAATAAAATAAAGAGTGGCTTCAAGACTGGATGCGGCGAGTATCTTTTTGGAATAGAGTGAAGTTCGAGTCGCGGAAAGTTGAACAAAACCGAGCTCGCTCTAGCGTACTCGTGCCATGGCCTCTATGCACTTGTGCTGGTGTCAAGAACATACAAGAGCTCTCGCGTGATATTCTCCGGGCAGCAGGAGCACACCCATGCACGTTAAAGATCGACAATGCACAAAATTAAGATCCAGGCTGAAATTCAGGTCTTTGGAACGTCGACCCACTCCCCAGCATCACCACCCCCTTCACGGCATCTTGACAATCTTTCAAATGCGAGCATGATGCTCGAGTGGAAACGGAAAAGGATGGATCACAAACCAAAGCCGATCAAAAATCCAGTCTTTTTTTTGTGCGAAACCACTTCTACCAACAATGGGTATCACTGCAGTTGCTGTCGGCGGCGCTAGCGGCCTGTTTGTCTCGACCATGTCCAACCTGCTGCGCCACCGGCCAGCGACGCGAGGTGAGTGATTGAGAGAGGCTCAGCGGATGGAGAAGGCTTTTGTACGTGGTGCTCTCCCGGTACGCCAGCGCCATTCCCGCGCTCAGACCACCGACCCAACGATCGCTCATATTGGCACTCTACGATGCCGATCGGCGCTGCTTGTGGAGCGGGGTAGAGGGAATGAGCTGCAGTGAGCCAAGCAAAGCAGCCTTTTTTTTTTTTCTTTTTTTTTTCGCTTTTTTTTGGTTTGGTTTAGCGTGGTTTGCACACTTGTGCTGGGCGCATCCAGGAGACGTCAAAGTGGCAAACACTAGGCATGATGCGTCTTCATCGTCCGTCGTGCTCCGCGTGCGGTCCTTGGAGCGGCAGAGCGCACCCACGAGACGCCTCATCCATCACTCATTTCTGCGCTTGCCATTGCGATGCCATTGCTACTAGGATTCACACTTCACGCCAGCTCTCTGGTCGTTGGCCTTGCTTTCGGCGTCGTGTACTCGAACTTGGCTGATTCCATCGAAGAGCGCAAGAACGTCCTGCTGGAGGAGCGGAAAGCCCGCAACGAGGCCAAGCAGCAGTAACGAGCAGTCGCTCGTTTCCAGCTTCGTTGAACGGTGAGAACCACACAGCCTGGATTTTGTCTGTCAATGGTCTCGACGTGGGCATTACATAGACGAGGCGGGGGAGCCCCATGATCGGTGCCGCCTTGTTTGCTGATTTTTCATTCGGGTTTTGTTTGCTGCAGATGATCATCCGCAAGGTTCAGGCGTTGTCTTCCGTTTTGTTGTTGTTTGCTGCCAGCGCTGTGACGATAGAAGCTTGCACATGATTGTTTCACACAATATAAACCAACCATTGCATTTTTGAACCACTTATCGTGTGTTCGTTCTGGTGCAGAAACCAGATCATGCACGCTTGGCTCGTGTAGAAGGCTCGTGAGAGAGCGGTTTTTGAGTGCACGACAGATAACATGGTCAGTTGTCAATGTTCGCTTTGTCACGCCAAGAACAAGGGCCTTGGAAAGTGCACAAACACGCCGCCCAAAAATCCATGTGGCCGATTTTGGATCGTAGCGACACTTGCCCAACCACTAACTCAACCAGCGATGTTTGGTGCTATAGCACAGTTGGTAGTGCGTCTGGCTACGAACCAGGAGGTCGCAGGTTCGAGCCCTGCTAGCATCGCTTTCTTTTTTGTCCTTTTTCGTTTTTTTTTTTTTTTTTTTTTTGGCAAAAGCACTGGTTTTTTGTCCTTTTTGAATTTTCTACGCATTTCATTCACTGCCGCTCCCCTTTTGACCCTGTACTTGTCACTATTCGTAGGTGGGAAGAAACTCAAAGCGGAAGTGTGTGGTCGCGATGCCATTTCAGGAGACACGCTTGAAGTTGGGCGTCCGGGGTTGACGATGGCCGATCCGAGAGTGTATCAGTCTGGCAGGCCTGCCACCTAGTTTCTTCCCACCTACAATACCAACTATACACATGGGCAAAAGATGGGCGGACGCGACCCGTTTGGTCATAGGGGTGACAGAAGGACATTTGATTTGGCGCGACTTTTGACGCGACAGGGCGAGGCACATCGGCGGATCCGGGTCCAAAGGCTCGTTGCCCAAAACAAGGATAGTTGTTGCGTATGACTGTAGCTTGGAGCACGGTTTCCGACGCGCTTGGAGATGGTGGCACGTCGTCAAAGTTCGCTGTTGTCGTGTTGATGAGCATCACGTCTTTCCTATCGCTTCCCTCAGCTTCAAACCCAGTTGGTCGTCATTCCACACCGTCGAGAAGCATGCCTTGGGCCAAGGACGCGGCGGAGAGCACTTTTACCGGCTGCGCGATCATCATGGCTTCAAGCACTGTCCGAAGTTGCATCGCTTCCATCGTAGGCACCTTCTCCAGCCTCCGAGTGTCTATAGTTTGATGAGCATGTGCGCATATCATGCGAGGATCGTGTCGAGGCGGCTGGGCAACCTGCTCCGCTGCAGCCAGACAATGACTTTGAATCAGACAAACTCGCGCAAAGTTCGGACAGCTCGAATTTGGAGATTTCCGAGTCTGGAGTGGCGCCACTGCTCCTCCAAAAGTCGATTGTTGCTATTCTTGTTTGGCTACAAAGCGAGGAAGGCTCGCAATGTCGGAAGGCGCGAAATGCAGACGGAACGCCGGAGCTCGACCATCTTGCAGTGTAGCCAGTCCCGTTCTGCGAAACGCTGTGCACTTCTTTCAGCAGATACATAGTTGCTGGTGGAATTTGAGCAACTGTCCGAGTTTTGGTGAATCTGAAGTTGACTCGGACACTCTTAACATCGATTTCCTTGACTTGCAAATTGTCGCAGGTGATTTTCCATTGTCTCGCTCCCAACCACCAATACCTCCAATGTAGAATGTTTCAAAATATAGTTTTCAAGCTAAGTAGATAGTGAGAGCGTGTCCTCACGTGCGTTTGGGCCAACAGCAAGCTCTGACAAATTGGAGCAAATTTCTCGGAGTCCGCAAGGCGACGATCACCCATCAAGCAATAGTGCGTTTCTATTGGATTCGCGTTTTCTATCGTGTGTGTATGTTATTGTGTTGAAAGCGCGTGGATTTGGGGACTGTGTGCTCGAACTGACCTTCAGGTCAAACTCAGGCATGATGTTTTGGATGCGCGCGACTGAACGTTTGCAGTTTCGCCAAATCGATGCTAGAACGACGAATATAGTCGCTCCTTCCTCTCGCCCTCCTCGACAATGCACAAGCAATCACATAAATGTAATTTTTAAAGTGCAGCGGGAGTCGAGGAAGACCACAGGGCGGTGCTGTGGCGTGCGCAACCAGCTCATCTTGATTCTCGATTGTTACAGCAACCTTCGCACCATCGTGCCGGCAAATCCGCATGAAGCGACGACAAGTCTGGTGCAGTCCGAAACTCCAGCTGAACGAGCGACGGCTCTGCCAAATGTTCTGCGATTGTGCAGGTTTTCGAACGTCCGCAAAACTTTTGCTTTAGTGGCGCTCTTTGATCGTAGCGATATTTGCCCAACCTCTACCTCAACAAGCGATGTTTGGTGCTATAGCACAGTTGGTAGTGCGTCTGGCTACGAACCAGGAGGTCGCAGGTTCGAGCCCTGCTAGCATCGCTTTCTTTTTTGTCTCCTTTCGTTTTTTTTTTTTTTTTTCTCCATCCACAACTTTGCAGCACTTCTCGATAATTCACCCCCTTCTCCCTCCCTCCTCCCAACAACCATTGCATAAGACACATACAAACCCTCTCGTTGCTTTTGCAACAGCCACCCACTCCCTTTTTCCCCCTCTGACTTCTTGCTTGCAATCATGGCAAAATCAAAGAAGATTGTTGCGGCCACTTCTGGCTCGCGCTCTCGCTCGTCGCGCGCCGGCCTCGCCTTCCCCGTCGGCCGCGTGCACCGTCTGCTTCGCAAGGGACACTTTGCCGACCGCATTGGCTCCGGCTCGGCCGTGTATCTCGCTGCCGTCCTCGAGTACCTGACTGCGGAGATTCTCGAGCTTGCTGGTAAAGTGTTGGCGTTTCGATCTCGCTAAGCTTGCGTAGTGCTGCTCTTTGTGTCCTGTTGCCGTGAGCGAGCTTCCGCGCACACTTGTGGAATATGTACAGCTCTGCGTTACACTCAACAGCAGAGTCTGATGTCGGTCTCTTCTTTGCTGGCTGATTGCAGTGAACTCTTTTTTTTTTTTTTTTCTTTTTTCCCTCCTTTTTCAATTTTGGCGCCAAAACTTTTTTTTTTTTTTTTTTTTGCGGATTTTGTCAATCATTTCTCATTTTGTGTTTCCATTTGCTTTTTGTTGTGTCAACTTCAGGCAACGCTGCTCGTGACAATCGCAAGACTCGCATCAACCCGCGTCACATCCAGCTGGCGGTGCGCAACGACGAGGAATTGAGCAAGGTGAGCAAACGCCAATTTCCAAAGAGCAATTTGGAACGTCATTTCCCAAGTTTGGTCATTGTCAACATCTGGCTCGTCGGTGGTCTCACATTTATTGTTTCACCTTGTTCTCTACACCCTTTGTTTATGGTTTTTAATTTTTGAAGCTCTTCACTGGCGTTGTCATTCCGTCAGGCGGCACTCTGCCACACATTTGGCCTGCGCTTATTCCGAACGAAGCAAAGGACTCGTCCACCGCGTCCGCCTCGTTCAACGCGCCGGCCAAGTCTGCGACCGTGAAGGCCCTGGCTGCTGCTAAATCAGCTGGCAAGAAGCCCGCTGCTGTCTCTTCCTCCTCGGCGGCTGCCTCGTCTTCGTCGTCGGCTTCGTCGTCGTCGTCCGTTGCGCCAAAGAAGCCTGTTCGCGGCTTTACGATCCTGTCCAAGAAGACTCTCCACCTTGGCCAGACTCTGTATGTTGTGAATGGCGATCTGACCGAGGTTCGCTGCGATGCGGTCGTCCACCCGACCAACGGCACCATGTCGTTCGCGGGCCAAGTCGGCGGTGCCATCCGTGCCGCTGCTGGCGCTGGCGTCGATGCCGAGGTGAACTCGTACATGAGCGAGCACTCGCAGCTCCAGGTGACCAAGGCGGCCATCACTTCCGGCCACAACCTGCCGTCCAAGTGGATTGTTCACGTGCACAGCCCCAACTACAGCAATGCTGCCACCGCCACGGACGCGCTGACCCAGACCATTCGCAACGCCCTCACGCTTGCCGACACCAAGAGCATCAAGACGATTGCCTTCCCGTCGATCGGCTCTGGCAACAACCACTTCCCCAAGCACATTGCTGCCCAGACCATTCTCCAGGCCATCTCGGCGTACTTTATGTCCATCATGTCGTCGTCGATCAAGGAGGTATGGCTTGTGCCAAAAGTGTGACAGCATTTTGCTGTGTGCGTGTTTTGCTGACTGTTTGCCTTTTTTTTGTTGTGTGTGAATGTCCGTTTCGTTTGTCCAGGTCTATTTCGTGCTGTTCGACCAGGAGAGCATCAACGTGTACAACGCCGAGCTCATCAACACGAACTGAAAGTGGAATGACTGTGTCTTTTTTTGTCAGGGTTGAATTGGTGCTCAAGAGTGAGAAATGTGAATTTGTTGTGGTTGTCGATGATGTTGGTGCACCGCCCAATAGGAAATCATCAAATGAATTGAGCAAAAGCAAAAAAAAATCAACACTTCCAGTGAAGCAACCAAAACAAACATCGACACAAAAACCTCAACGCAACGAGTCTCACTTGAAACCATCTTCATCAACATCACCCTCGCCATCTTCAAGACTGAGGACGAGAGACGCAAACGCCGGATCGTCCATCCAGTTGACACCACTCTCCAGAACAAGGGCTTGGAAGACGTTGCGCACCATGCGGCTGCGCGAGCGCTGCAAACCAAAGTTGATGCGCGCTTCGTGCAGCTTGTTGGCCGCGCTGTGTCGGGCTGGGCCCAACGCGGCTGGTGCACTCATGGCGTCAAGCTCCTGGCGATGTGCCCGCACAGTGGCGGACAGCTCGCGGTTTGCCGTTCGGAGCACTTTGGCTTCTTGCTCGAGTTTGTGCAGCAGGGCATGCTTCGCTGCCACACTCTGCGACCACGCCAACGCCTCGGTGGAGAGCTCATCGCGCTGTCGGCAGCTTTCGTCCAAGTAGGCGCGCTCTTGCGCGCTGGCAAAGAGAGCGTCTTCCGTGCCGGGCGTCGCACGCGAGTACAGCAGCTGGGACAGCATTCGACTCCGCTGCAAATGGTCCAACGCTGCGTGCTCGAGTTGGCGATGCGTCGACCTGTCGTGCAGCTCCTGCGTGAGCGTGTCCAGCGCGTCAATGAGGTCTTCTTCTTGGGTGTATGTTGCGTTGACGTTTGGCAATTCTTCCGCTGCAATCAACAACAACAACAACAAGAAAACAAGAAAAAAAATTTGGGTGAGGTTGGAATGACATGAACGGCCGAGTTGGACACGACAATGCCAACATTTTGTTCAGAAAGAGAAAAATCAAAGGATGAAGATCAGAAAATCAGAAAATCAGAAAATCAGAAAAAAAAAAAAAAAAAAAGCCGCGCTTGTGTGTGTTTATTGTCGTTTTTACCTGCGCGAGCATGCGCGACGTAGTCTGCGTGCTGATTGTTCAGCCATTGCCGGAAGCCATCCCACGCGACCAAATTGCTGTGCAAAGTGCGAGTGTGCAGAGTGAGTCGGGGGCAAAAGATGGAGCGACCGCCAATAGCAATGGAAACGCATTGACTATTTTTGACAGCAGCAAGCAAGCAAGCAAGCACCAACCTCGCGTGGCTGCCTGGCTGGGGTCGCGCAGAGTGGACAGTGCGCTCGGCACCAACGGGGCAGGAGAGCGCAGTGGCCAGCAGACTACGCGCTGCTTGCGAGACGGAGCTGTAAGGCGACAGTTCAGCAGCCATTTTGAACTTCAATGCAAAATCCCAATGGCAAAATGTAAGGACTGACGCAGGTCACATCCACCCACACCCGTATTCGGATTGTGCAACAACACGACAGAAAGCTCAAGCACCACAGCGGACGAGCACATGCACCGACTGAACGATAGGAAAAAAATAATCTAAAAAGCAAACAATTCTTTTCTTTTCAGTGTACAGGTTCTCTTCAGCAGTCAAACAACAAAAGCCCTTAATGCGAAGGCAGACTGGACGATGAAGCCACCGCTCGCTTGCGCTGCGCCTCATCGACATCTCGTGCGATCGCCAGCAAAAGACGCGACGCCATGTACAACAACTCTATGTACGTCTTCTTCTTGATCACACGGTGCCACACTTGGGCGAAAATCCGCACCATGAAGAGGGTGGGCATTTCAGTGACGCCTGCAAATCGGATGTAATACCCTGGGCCAGCGTCTGTGAAGACTCGCGGGGACGGCTGTGACTCTTCCAGCGGTTTGGAGGCATGCTTGCTGTCAGGTCGCGGGCGCAGCACCACGTCCACAAACGTCGAGTCAATGAGGCGGGCGAAAAAGCGGTTGAGGTTGAGAATCCAGTTGACAATACGCCAAGGAGAGGTAATGTTGGAGAGCTGCACCTGGAGGGTGTCGTGTTGGCAGCCAATCAAAAAGTGCATGCGCGGGAGCGAGACGGAGGTGACGCCAAGAAGCGATGCAGCCACATCAATGGTGATGGCAAGGCGAGACTCGTTGCCCAGATTAAACTCGAACGCGCGGTACTTGCTTGCGGTGGCTGTCAGCGCGGCCAGGCCGGATGCTTTTCGCGCGGGAATGGGCTCGCCGCTCGGATTGGTCCACAACAACTCACCGTCGTCACTGCAGAGAGCGCGGACGATAAAAGCCTGGTGCGTAGCGTCAAACTCAAACCTTGCAATCGTCGGCGCAGCTTCTCCCATGGTGACGGCGGCGTCGGCGTCTTGCACGCGAATGTCGATTTGTGCCAGCCACTTGAACAGCTGCGCCATCTGGGGGTAGACACGCACCAGCTGCACATGGTCCAGAGGCACAAATAGCCGCATGCGCCACGGCTGGCTGGGCGGGTGCGTGGCAACAGCGGCATCATCCTCGGCCACAGACACGCGCGACATGTCAAACACTTGTCCCAGGCCTCGCCATACGTTGGGGAACTGCAGCTGCGCAGTGGCGCGAATAAGCGCGGCGGGGGCACGGGACCACGCCTTGATGACGGCACGGCAAAAGACAATCAAGCTGGCGGGCGAGAAAAAGTTTTCAAAGACGGCACCGCCCTGAATGTCAATGGCATCGCCCCCCGGAGGAGAGCACACACGCGCGCGGATGAACAGGGACGTGTTTTCATCGGCATCGTGCGAGGTGCTTGGGAAGATTGGTTCAGCAGCACTAGGCGTCGCCGGAACCGGTGGCGAAGACGGCGATGCAGTGGACGGGTCGTGGTCCAAGGTAAACGGCACTGGAAGCGCAGGCACGATTCCATGCAGCTGCTGTTGAACGACTTCCGGCATGTGCGTCAAAGGCTTGTACGAAGGGACGGGTTGATTGGGATTGGAAAAGGTCGCTGCGGCGTCCTTGAACATTGCTGGATCCGATGCGCTCCACGACAAAAGGAGACGACCAAAGATGTTTCGAATAAAGTGCCGGGACTTGTAGGGCTTAGACGTGGAGCCTCCCGATGAGGCAGGAGCCGATCCAGAGTTGGCCGAGACGGTCGAATCGAGCGATGCGTCCGACAGCCTGCGCCGAGCGAGGGGAGCACTGGACGGCTCGAGCTGCTCAATCATGGCATTGAACTCGGCGGCAGTGTGGCCCGGGACGACGCCGCCGTTTGCCAAGACAGAGCCCTGGGCAGTGACTTGGCGGTCGTTCTGCTCGCCCGCCGAGAGGTACATGAGCGCTTCATGGACGGGCTCGCGCATGTCCAGCACGTACTTGAGCGTGTGCGCAACACACAGGCAGACGCGCGAGAGGAACGGCAGGCCGTCGAGCTCGTTGGCAACTCGGATAAAGTCAGGGGTCACTGTTCCGTCCGTGCCAGCATTGTCAGGTCCCGCAGCAGGTCCCGCAGCAGGTCCAGCATTCACAGGCAGCGTGTCTGGGTGTGCGACTGCGCTTTCCGCAGGCTCGCTCATGGTTGAAGGGTGGGCGAGGGGGGGTGTGGCCCAGCGCTTGATTGAGAGGACTGAGTTTGATTCTCAGATTGGTTCAGACACGTCATTGTGTTTTTGGGGGTATGCTCGCTCTCGTTCGCACGTGTTGTTTTGCATGACATGTTCAGCTTGAATTTCGTTCAGTCCAATGAGAAAAAAAAAGAAAAAGCAGTCGTTTTTCCTTTTTGTTTCTGCTTTTTTTTTTTTTTGGTATGTTCCGAATTATTTTTGTACCTTTTGCATACGGACTTGTTCACTGCGATGACCACCACTTTCTAGCCTTTCCACGCGTCTTGTTTTTTTTTTCTTTCTTTCCCGTTGTCTCGGCTCTCTCTTTCTCTCTCTCTTCTCTCTGCCAACCCCCGCCTTCTCTCTTCCTCTTTCATCCTTCTTTACTCCACTCTGTGCCTCCGCTGCATCGTTGGTCTGTGTAGTGGTGGTGGTGGTGGTGGTGGTGGTGGTGGATTGAGCTGTAACGTCGTTCCATCGAAGCCTTTTCCCCTTGTTTTTTTTTTTTTTTTTTTTTTTTTTTGTTTCCTTCCCTTTCTTTCTCTTTCTCTCTTCCGTCCATTGACAACACGCAATTCGTCTCCATTCTCTCTCTCTCTCTCTCTCTTCGTTCCCTTGTCCCTTTTTCAAGATGGTGAACAAAACACTGACACGCCGCGGGTCTCGACACACTCACGCTCGGCCATCACGACGAGTCATTCGATGGTCAGCGTGGCTGCTTTTTTTTTTTTTCTTTTTTCCCTTCGTTTTCTTTCTATTTTCCTTTCGCCCACTTTTTCAACACAACAACGTCAAACCGAGTCGACCTTCGTGTCATGCTTGGGTTCCCCATGGCCTTTGAATGTTGACCACGCGTCGTCGTTTTTGCAGCAACAAGGACAAGCAACCAAAGCAAAAGCACGCCATCAAACTTTTTTTTTTTTTTTTTTTTTTGGCTTTTCGTTTTCGTCTTCCCCCTGTCTTCTTTTGAGGATGAGCTTCAGGCATGGAGTTGGAGTTGACAATGATGTTCTTCTTGGTCGCACCCTCACTCTTCCCTCCCTTTTGTTGTTGTTGTTGTTCCGGTTCCATCGTCATGCTTGATTTTGTTCATTGTCCTGCAACTTTTTTTTTTTTTTTTTTGTTTCGTTTTCTTTGTTTCGTTTGATGTTTATTCCATCGTTTTGACTTTTTTTTTTTTTTTTTTTTCCGGTTGGGTCGGTTGATGGCAACTTGCCTTCTTCACTCCACAACTCTCCAACTCTTTGTTGTATCACTCACCCTCCTCATTGGATCCGCTTGTTGACAGATATTTTTTTTTCCCCCTCCCTTGATACCAAAAAAAAACCCCCAAATTCTTTCCAGTCAAACCCCTCATTCATCATGTCCTCGCAAGAATATGCTAGTGGCGTCTCGTCGTCGTCGCAGGCCATGCGGGCTTCCAAGTACAAGCAGACGCGTGCCACGGATGCGGGCACGATGCGCGAGCGCCGCGCGACTCAGCAGTCAGACTTGCGCAAGCGCCAGCAATCAGAAATCCTGGCCAAGCGTCGCAGGGATCTCCTTGCCGACGAGTCGCCGACCGTGCAAGAGTACCTGAACCAGTTGCCGCAGATTGCTGCCGGCATTCTCAGCGACGACCCCGAGCTCCAGCTCGACTGCACCATCAAAATCCGCAGGTTACTTTCCAAGGAGCGCAGCCCGCCAATCGACAGGGTTGTTCAAATCAACAATGGAATTCTGATCCCGCGCCTCGTCTCCTTCCTCAATACCGAAAATGGCAACACGCTCTTGCAGTTTGAGGCGGCCTGGGCCTTGACCAATATTGTTTCTGGCGACTCTGTGTACACTTCGCTTGTTGTTGCTGCCGACGCCGTCCCGTACTTTGTCGCCCTGTTGTATAGCCAGGACGACAATGTCAAGGAGCAGGCCGTGTGGGCGCTTGGCAACATTGCCGGCGACAAGCCCGCCTTCCGCGACGTGGTTCTCCACAATGGCGTCATGACCCCGCTTGTCACCATTATTCGGAGTTCCTCCAAGATGGCGATGGTCCGCAACGCCACTTGGACGCTCTCCAACTTGTGCCGTGGCAAGACCCCCCCGCCAAACATGCAAATCATTTCCCCTGCCCTTTCAGTCATCCCCATTCTTCTCTACGTCAAGGACGAGGAGATTTTGACCGACACGTGCTGGGCGCTGTCCTACCTGACTGACGCCGACAGCCTTCAGATCCAAACCATCGTCGACACTGGCATCACCCCGCGCCTGACTGAGCTGCTCCTGCACCACAACATTAACGTTGTGACACCTGCCGTGCGAACAGTTGGCAACATTGTCACTGCCGACGACAGACTGACGCAGGTTGTCGTCAACCACGGCGTTCTCGCCAAGCTTGGCACCCTCCTCCATGGCCTCCGTGACAACATCAAGAAGGAGGCCTGCTGGACCATTTCCAACATTACCGCTGGCTCTGCCGACCAAATCCAAGCCGTGATCAACGCCAACCTCATCCCTCCGTTGTTGGTGCAGCTGCAGACCGGCGAGCCCAAGACTCGCAAGGAGGCCGCGTGGGCCATTGCCAATGCGTGTGCTGGTGGCTTGCAGCAGCAAGTCCTGTTCATCGTTGATGCTGGTGCCGTTTTGCCCCTCTGCGCGCAGTTGGTATCGACCGACCTCAAGCTCGTCCACATGATTCTCCAGGCTCTCGACCGTGTCTTTTTCTTCTGCCCGGAGACACTTGACCTGGTCGAGTCGCAGAACGTCCACCACGTTATCGAGAGTCTGCAGAACAGTCCCGCCCCGAACGTCGCACAAAAGGCCGCAGAGCTGATTCGCAATCACGTCAGCGACGAGAGTTACGAAGCTCTTGCCCCGGCTCAGACCCAGTCTGCGTACCAGTTTGGTGGTATCGCTCCTTCCAACGGTGGTTTCAAGTTTTGAAGTTTGCCCTTGTGCCCGTCAAAACACGTTTGCACCCACCAAACTCCCCACTCACTCACATTTCACACCTGTTCCAACAGTTCCGATTTCCAACAATTCCGATTTTTCCAACCAGACTTAACACACTCACAACTTAGCACCCTCACCCCCCTTCTCCATCACCATTCATTCCACCACAGCCCTCCATTTGCTTGTTTCCTCTTTGCCTTTGTTTTGTTGTATCTGGTGTTTCTCCCAAACTCGAGCGAGCGACCTCCCACTACAAAATGATTGTCTGAATTTGTGCTATTAATGGATTCTGATTAAACCGAAACAAACTTGCCAATCTCAGCATCCCTGTGTTCATTCATTGGTGTCTGATTATCTTTCTGATGTTTGATTGTCCTATATTTTGGCAGTGCTGCTGGCGATGACGATTTGACTCAGTCTATTTTTTTTTTTTTTTTTTTTTTGGTTGTTGGTCGCAGAATGCTGAAATGTTGAATCCTGCGCAGCTCAAACGTCAGCAGGTTGAGCGGCGGCGGCAGCAACAATTATTGCTACAGCAACAGCAACAACAAGGACAGCTCGATCATGAGCATCATCAAGATCAGCCGTCATCATCAGAACCAGACCGACCGTTCTTCCCGCCATCACTGAACGATCAGCCGCAGCCAGGTCCGAGTCGATTGCATCCCTCTGCACATGTCCTTGCGCTTTGATTGTGAAACTCATATACGACCATGCACACAAACCATCTTGATCACGAACAGGTCCATCGCGGAAGCGACCGTTCGCCCGAGTGATCGCTGCTGAAGCCGCACTCCATGCAGACAGCTCAGTCAAGCCACCACATCCACAGGCATCACCACTACAGAGCGAGGACGACGCTGCACCAGGCCCATCGCCTTCTAAACGAGCGCGGCAGTCGCGCAAAAACCCGTTCGCAGCCGCCGCGCCAGCAGCGCTCGACCACCAGCGCGAGCCCTTGTTCGAGGGCGCCGCAGTGCAAGCTGCAGCAGCCGAAGGAGCGCTTCAGGCCGAGCAGCACCCAAAGCAGAGTCATCCTGGCGACGATCAAGATTTCCTCACCCTTGATGGCGAGGCAGCCCAGGCGGAGCATGCTGCCGCTCGCGAGGTGGGAGATTTTGGCGCCAAATCCAGCTCATCGGGCCATGCTGGCCTGAGTCGCTCAAGATCCATGCCGTCGTCGTCGGCAGCCAACAGCCGACTACTTGCGTCGTTGTCATCGACGATGGCATCGCCGGCGTCAAAGCAGCACCATTCTGCCGCGGATGGAAGCGCATTCGTGCTCGCCCAAGCGCTTGCCGTTGCCGCTCCACAAACCGCCTCAGACACCACTGGTCGTTCGCAGCTTTCCACCATGCGAAGCTCGGTTTTGCGTCAGTCCATCGGGGCGACCAACCGTCGACCGCAACTGTCGTCTGCCACCTCGACCACCAGCAGCAACTTGCGAACCACAACAAGCTCTAGCAATCTCGCCAGTGGCAAGCCTGGTCTTCCGTTCGACCTGACCATCAAAAGCATCGTGCGATTCACATCAATGTATCCGTTTACCTGGTGTTCGACGCTCAAGTCAGCCGAGCAGGCCGCGGGGACGGCGTCGTTTGTTCAGCAGAGTGTCACCCCCATTTTGCGATCATTCGGAGACGGGGCTTCATTGCCACCAATGCTGCGCTCTGCGTCTGCCATCCAATCGCCTGCGTTGGGCGGGAGTGGCACTCCCTCGCGTCCTGCCACCCCGTCCACTGCTGCTGCTGCTGCTGGGCTCAATCCTGGCGAGCTGCCACTGGGCGTGTTGGCACCGCTACCTTCGTCCGTGCAAAAGGCCCTATTCCAGCGCGCCTTGCACTATTGGCAACACCCTGCCATGCCACGAACCAGCTCCTACCAACAAAACGTCAATCACTTGACGGGTGTAGCGCTGAACCTGGCCCGCTCTGAAGCAAGTGCAGGCCTCCTCGTGGCGAATGCTGCCACACCGAAAGGCGGCTCCACTTCCACTCCCTCGTCAGGCCCACGAGGCCAACCTGCATCAACGCTATTTGAACTACAACAACTATCCAGCGCGCAAGTCCAGCACCTCGGTGCGGATGTGCAAGCCGATCTGGCAGTCGCCAAGCGCGAACTTCAACTATGGAATGAGGCGTTTTCGTCCATTTACGCGCTCTTCCGTAATAATCTGGCATCCTATTTTTACGTCGTCACTGCAGACCAAACGGTATTGTTTACCAGTGCGCAGGTTGGAGGTGTGACTGAGGCCACTGTGCGCATGTCTCGATCTTCTCGAGCTTTACGCCGTGCGCTGTCTGATGCTGAAGTTGCCTTTCAAATGCCTCTTCTTGCAGACAGCGACGTTGCTGATCTCGAAGAAGCGGAGGCCAAACGGCAAGAATGGCGCAGTCGAAGACCCGGTGCTGCCGGTTCTGCCAGTGCTCCCACATCCGCCAACCCGCTGGAAGCCGATCCAACAACCATCAACGACGCGCTTGCAACCGGCATGCAAGAGACAGAAAAAGAAGCAACGGCGTCGGTGAATCCTCTGACAGAAGCTCGCATGGATGCCTACCGCGAGACACTGGCGATGGAGAGGGAGGGCAGCGTTCGGACGTCCATCGTGACACTCGAGTCGTCCATTGAAAACACTCCGAAATCCATGCTACTCTTCCAGGGCCCCAATGCCAGCGCTGTCGTTTTCGACTTTATTCTAAACTCGCGACTCATCAACAAGATGGCTTCTGGCGGGCCGCCCCCGCTCCTGTACGCCCCTGTCGCGTTTACGCATGCGTCTCTTCAGCGCACAGAGATTCGACAGAACTCGGCCATCAAGCGTGCCGCCGCTGCGTCATCCTCTGTCGGCCTCGGGGACAATGAGCCGAATGGAGGCGCTGGTCCCGCTGGGCTCGAGCGATGGTTTAATCTCGTCCTCGAAGGACCCATTTTCCCGCACACAGTCTATCGATTAATGCAAGTCTTCAAGGCCACTCACGTTGGGAACTTTGAGGCTTCTCTTCATGCCAATCCCCTAACGATTCCTCTCAATGCCTCAGGTCGAGACCAGCCATCAGCAATCGCCACACAAGGGCGCCTCCGGCGTCAGAGCACATCTTCACTTTCTCGCTCGTCACTGCACAGTCCGGCGCCCACTTCTGGTCGCTGGGACGAGGACTTTCTTGCAGATACAGGATCTCGGGGTGCGCTCGGAGTCGATGAGCTATCTGTGGGTGCGTGGGACGAAGAAACTGGATTCTTTGGCGACACGCTTGCCTCTGCGGTCGTTCACGCTCGTTGGGACGCTGTTCAATCGGATGAAGAGCAGCACACAAGAAGCTCGTCGGGCTTGGAGGCAATGGAAGCGGTCAACTCGATTGTTTGTGAAGATGGCGTTTTTCGTTTCACGACTGCTGCGCTCTGATACCGTTCAAAGGCAGTACCTGGATGGTGCAAAATGGTACTCTTGTCGGGTGGAGTGGCAGCCACCTACATATGGCCCAAAAGGAGACTTTTTGAGCAGAGACGACCAAACCTTGATGGCGAAAGGCTTTGAAAAGAAAGGATGTATTGTACAATGGAAAATACCAAACAATAGTAATGAAAACCTCAAAATTAACACCACCAGCCAGTACTAGCGATAGACTGTTGAACTTTTGTTCATCGAGGGGCTGGGAACAACAGCAACCAAAAGAAAAAAAAAACCCCAAACAAACAGAGTAAGCAAGTTAAGAACCGTTCTGAGCACGCGAACAAAATCAACAGTGTTAGCTCGAATGCCGTTACCTCCATAAGCATCTGGCATGCGCTCAATGCTATAACGATGCTGTGTGATAAACATGATTGGCACACCGGGCACTTTTCGGATTCGCCGTTTGAGATCGCGATCGCACGTTGCGACAATGTAACATTTGTGCTGCAAACATGATCCAAGCAGATGCAGTAAAGTGCAGTTAGTAGACAACCAGAGGGAGACGATGGGGGGGGAGGTTTGAAACGATCAAGTACGCAAAACCGGCTGATGTCTCTCTTAATTTTGTGTGTTTTTTTTTTTTTTTTTTACCTGAGTTACTCGTTGAACGAGACAGTCGTCGGCATAAGTGCCCTTGTGGGTGCAAGGCAACCGTTCAAAGCGTGGGTCCTTGGCAACCTTGAGAGCCAGACGGTACTTGAGGCCCAGCTTTTCGAGTTCGGCCATCACACAGTCGGTAACGCAGGGGATGCACTTGGCAAAGAGGCAGTCCATGGCGGCCGGAATGACCTCGAGCTTGTTCTGGATGGAAAAGTTGATAAAGTTCGTGTCCAGCAGAATGCGGTACGGCGGACCCAGCTGCGTGTTGTACTTGAAGAAGAGCGCAGACGACATTTGTGGCAGCTCGCGCAGCTGCTTGGCGGCCTCTGCAGCGGCCTCAGCGCCGAGCTTCTTGTTCAGGTCGACCGTCTCCTTCTTGTTCTCGGCGCCGGCATTGTGCTTGTCCTTGGCCTTGGTGATGCGCGCGTCCTTGGGACTGATCATGCGCTTGACGGCCGCGAACTTGCGCGTCTTTGACTGCTTGCCCATGTGTGTTTGAAAGAAAGCAAGCAAGAACGAGTGATTTGGAGGTTTGTCTCGCGGCTGTCCGTCTTTCGGTCAGAGTCCGTTCACTTCAGGAGAGACAGGAATGTCTAGTCGAGTGAGAAAGTAGGCGGAGGCGGGGGGGGGGGAGAAGGCGAGAGAAGCAGGAGGTGTATGGGGTCAAATGAATGGAGGGCTTTTTCCACGTGCGGGAATGAAGAGAGACTAAGACTGGACTTCCAAACATTAGAAATTTGCAGAGGAGACTCGAATCTTGGATCCTCACCAATGTGCCTTCTATCTTGTCACCAAAGGAGACTTTGGCTGAGATTGACAGCAGAACAACAAGGGTTTCGCACCGAATCCATTTTGTATTGAAGCACTGGAAATTTGTATTGAAAATTTGCAGCTTTCAACATTTTGGCTCAATTTTGCTAAACCAGCCATTCCTGTCAAAACCAATCGGACCATTTGTTTCACTTTTCATTTTTTTCCCCTCTCCCCATACTCTTTGATTTGCACACACACAAATGGCTTCGCCCGGTCGAGCGTCACGCACAAAGTTCAGCGAAGATGCAATGCTGATCTCTCTCGCCTCCGAGGTTAGTTTTTCCGCCCCCCCCTTTCCTTTCCGCCCCCTTTCCTTCCTTCAACCTTCCTCCCCTATCTACGACATCCCTTGCTCGACTTGCTGCACCTTCGATGCTATGCTCGCTCGCACTTTGAGTGTTCGAAGAATTGACTTTTTTTTTTTTCTTGTCCCAATTGCTTACGCTGTCAACCTTCAAAACCGCCCTCGCCCTCCAACCCCACAGGCCGAGAAGCGCCTCGATGCCAAGCGCAAGCAGCGCAAGGAGGCCAAGGCAGCCGTCATGCAGCGCCAGGAGAGTCTCCAGCGCAAGGTAAACCAACGGCCAGCGAATTCAGAGATCTGTCTCTCGCTCTCTCGCTCGATGCTAGCAGTGAAAGGGACCTCACTTGGACTTGACATTCCAAAAACAAACAAACAATCAGGAGGCACAAAAGCTGAATGCCACTTTCAGGGAGAAGGCCGAGGTCGAGAAGACCATCATGGAAAGCCGAATGAACGTCCTGCTCTCTGGAGGAGTACGGTTTTTTGGTTTTTGGTTGACAAGGGGTGGGTTGGTCATCCTGTTACTCACGACGTGTTGCTCAATGACACACATTGGCACCGCTTCGCCCGATTCCTGCAGAAGGCAGATGCAGGGCTTTCCGTTGGAACGGATGTAAGGCACTCAATTTGAGCTTTTTGTTCGCTATTACTTGGTCTACACAGCGCTGTTGCTCACCGTGAATGGACACAACCGCAGATCGTTCAGACAGTCGCCGGCGAGAAGCTAGTGTCGCTGCGCCAACAGCTCGACCAGGCTTTGCAATCCAAGACGATGGTCGAGTCGTCGAAATCGACGCTGCGCTTTGCCATCGAAGACCTCAAAGATCGGTGCGCATTCACTGGCCTTGTAGTAGGCTTTGTTGGTTTGGTATCGAGCACGCACTGACTCATTGCATGTGCGTCTCCTCTGCTCGCAGGCTTGAGGAGCGCGAGGAAGAACTCAGCCAAGCGCTGATTGACCTCAAAATGTACCGCCAAAAGTACCAACAAGAGGAAGGCGCTCGTCTGCTCATGGAAAAGAATGCCGAAGAGTACTCCAAGGAAGTCGATCGCATGCGTGAGCAAGTGTTGCCATTGTCGCAAGAAATGTCAGTCCTTTCAACCTGTCGAGAGTTAATGCCTCGCCTCGTCGCATGGGTACTAACAGTTCACTCATACACATACTTTCTCGTCTCTGCCAATAGCGAAACTCAGAAGCAAGCGAATGCGGAGCTTCAAGAGCGCCTTGCCTCTCTCGGCGATGTCCAAAGCTCAAGCAGCAAGGTTTCCGAAAAGCTCGACGCGACTTGTATGCTTTTGCTGTTTCCGTTTTTTGGCGCCACTCCAAGTGTCTTGCCATGTTTCACATGCACAACTGACCTCTCTCTTAATCCTTGACTTTTTCAGTGAAAGAGCTGGCCGAGTCGCGCGCCGAGACTGCCGCCGCCAAAGATTCAAACAAGCGCTTTGAGCAAGAAGTGGATCGTTTGCGCGAGCAACTCAAGACCATGGGCGAGAAGAGTACGTGATGACACGACGCAGGGTCCACACCATTGCAGTGCACCTCGCTAAATTGTTGATTTTTTCCCCACCTAGGCAAGGGAAGCGAAGAAGCAAACAAGCTCCGCACACAACTCGAAGACGAGCAGCTGGCTAAGGGCCGTCTTGAACGCCAAGTCACCAAAATGCAGCCGCGAATTGATCAGTTGGAGAAGGATTTGACTGAATCGGTAAGCTGTTGTTTCGTTGTTTCTGAACCCTGTATTCCCCCCCCCACCTACTTTGTGGTTGTTGTTGCTCATGCTTTCCTATCCATCATTTTTATTTGCTGCCTCTACAGGAGGCCCAGTTGTCCGACCTCAAGGCCGAGAAGCGAAAGACACAGCGCGAGCAGCGCCAAATGCAAACACAAATCACCGAGCTCCAGACCGAACTGAACGTCCTCAAGGCGACCATGAAGAAGTGATTTTCAGGACCCCTCCCTCCTGATGTCATGGTGCTCGTTGTCTGTTGATTGGTTGGTTTCAGCAACCAGTTGTTCCGTTGTTGGTAGTTTTTTTTGTTTTCTGTGTTGGCTGTTATCTGTCTTGTGTTATTTCCCCCCCCCCCCATTATACTTTGCGCTTTGCGTTTCGTCTCCAAACCCGCTCCCTCTGTTCCCCATGTTCGTTCGTGAATTGCTTGCTCTGTTCACTCGTTTTTTTTTTTCTTCTTTGGTTTAAGATGGCATTGGTGAACGGTCGCCGTCCTCTCTTTGCTGGCCTCTCGTCGACGGCCACTGCGCCCATCACGGCTGCCCGCAGCACCCCCGCCTCCGTCTCTGGCCGGTACGCCGCGCTCTCTGCCGAAGACGACGCCATGGCCGAGTCCGAGCTCAGCGGCCTGACCGAGCTCAACCAGCAACTCGGCGCAATGTCGCAGCTCCCCGTCTTTGACGTTCCCGCTGTCCAAGACGTGAGTGTTTCCCCTCTTCGAGCGTTCTAGCCGCACACATATATACACACACATACACACTCTCTCGCTTCTATCGTTGGACTTGCTCCAGTGATGGAAGCGAACAAAACGAACCAAAAAAAAAAAATCTTCCAGAATTGACAAAGTTTCGCGATCCCTTTTTTTTTTTTTTTCTTTTTTTTGACTTGATTCACTTTTTCTTTGGGTTTTTGGCTTTGTTTTCTGGATCTTTGTTTCGTGTCGTTTTTTTGTTGTTTTCCTTCTTGGTTTGTTGAAAGAACCGCTTGTTCGCGAACGACGGTGAAATGAGCGACTTCAATGCCAATCCATTGCGCGCTCGTTTTCACTGCATCGCCCAGTCGTCACTCTCTCACTCTCTCACACTCTCGCACTCCTCCAAACGACCATCAAGTTGGCTTGGAGCGATACGATTCAACCGTCTGTGGACTAACGTTTCGCTCTTCTTTTTGTGGCACTTCTTTTGTCTTGTCTTTGCAGCCCGCTGCGTTCTTGCATGCGTACACCGAAGACCCGCACAGCAAGGTCAAGATCCACATCCAGCACGGCACAACCACTCTTGCATTCAAGTTCAAGCACGGCATCATTGTCGCTGTCGATTCGCGCGCCACGGGTGGCTCTTACATTGGTACGATTTCGTTGGACAAGTATTCCAAAAAACCAAGCATAACACTGCAACTCACTCTCCTCGTCTGTCTGTCGGATGTCTAGCGTCGGGCACTGTCAAGAAAGTGATTGAAATCAACCCATACCTTTTGGGAACTATGGCTGGTGGCGCCGCCGACTGCAGTTTCTGGGAACGCGAGCTTGCGCGCCGTTGCCGGTACGGTTTTTCGTTTGGTGGTGTTCTTGTTTGTCCATCTCTCATGCCAGAGCCGGACATTTGCTTATTCCATGGAGAAAACCCACCCACCCACTGTTCATTCACGATTCCAACTGCCTCCCTTCCTTCTCGCAGCATCTACGAGCTTCGCAACAAGGAGCGCATCTCGGTCGCTGCCGCGTCCAAGCTTCTTGCAAACATGGTTTACGGATACAAGAACATGGGTCTGTCCATGGGCACGATGATTACTGGCTGGGACAAGCGTGGACCCGAGCTTTATTATGTTGATAGCGATGGCACTCGGCTGCACGGTGACATGTTCTCGGTCGGCTCTGGCTCCACCTACGCGTATGGTGTTCTCGACGCTGGCTTCCGTTATGACATGACTCCCGAGGAGGCCTGCGAGCTTGGTCGACGATCCATCTACCACGCAACACACCGTGATGCTTATTCTGGTGGTTTTGTGAATGGTATGTTTGATCGCCGGGGGGGGGGGGAATGGTCTCAGCGTTGTTTGCTTTGGTTGATTCAACTGAATGCGGTGCTCTGGAGCTGACCTGGTTTTCCTTTTTTTTTTTCTTTTTTTTTTTTTTTTCTTTGGCACTCAGTCTACCACGTTCGCGAAGAAGGCTGGGTCAAAATTTCGTCCACCGATGTCAACCAGCTGCACTATGGCTACAAGGCTGGGTTTGCACAGTAAACGCAAATGCTTCTTGTTCAATAAAGATAATACCAAACGAAGCATTTGTTGCGACGAGGGCGATTGACACGAGCTCGAGACCCAACCACTCGACACTGTTCTGCAATGGTGATGGAACACTTGTGCGAGTGGACTTTGGTATTGAACAAACACGAGTGGACTTTAGTATTGAACAAACATGTTTTGAACATTTCTGAATCGACATTGCTGCAATCGGTTTTGAACAACATGAGCAATGGACAAAGTTGATCCGGACAAAAATGCAAATAACTTTGAACAGCACCCGTTGAACAGCCGCTTTTGAACTACAAGGTCTGAGGACGAGATTCTTCAACCGGAGTTAGGCACCCGTGTTAGATTTGCGAGTTTTCGTAATGCTGCGCCAGCCAAATCGAAGTCGGCTCAGGAAGGCTCTGCCAGCCCCGCCGCTGTGAGAAGTTACCCAAATGAGGACAAATACATGAAATTTGTGAGAACAGGGTAATGGCGTCCAGAGGACAGGCGTGAGATCGAAACGTTAGGCAATGTCCTTGATTCAGTCATAACTTGTTTGTTTTTTTGTCTTTTCTAAATGGTTAAGAAGGCCGTCCCCTCGGCTGCTCCTGCTCCTACTCCTACTCCTGTGCGCACTACAAGAGCCACCAAGCCAAAGACTGGTGGCAGCATCAGTAGCACCGACGCAGTGGAAGACGATCGTGGTCGCGCGAACGGAGGTCGATCCACCCAAACCCAAGCGAGCTGCAGCCCGTGCTGCTGCCACTGCTGCTGTTGCCAGTGCTGCTACTGCTGCCAGTGCTACTACTATTGCTGCTCCCCGAGGCAGGACCAGCAAGGCAGCCGCACCTGTCCCTGCCTCTTCAATCTCAGAGCCGCTGAGCAAGGTGCCGCTTGTGCCCAAGAGTTGTGAGACGTAATGCCACTCCACTAACTCGTCGCTGACATCTTGTTCGCTTCGTTTGTGATTCCTACTGTTTGATTTTTCACATAACGCCAGACCGCTCAGAAGAAGGCCACTGCACCAACCACCAACCAAGGATCTCAGGCTGTGGTGAGCTACCATCTTCGTGCTCGCAAACCCATTCAGGTTGCAGTGGCGCGTACTAGCAAGACGAGTTCAACTTCCAGTAGTGGCGCCCCCACGACCATCCGCAGCAAGCGTCGGGCTGCTGAAATGGCCGGGGAGAACACCTCAACATCCAAGAAGAACAAGAAGAAGGCTCGTCAAACGGATGCTGACGATGCTGACGACGGCGACTACGAGGACTGCGAGGACGACGCTGCTGGCGAGGACGACGACAACCAGGACAGCAAGAAGCTCAGCAGGGAGGAAGCGATCGGTGAAGCACTCCTGCAAAACACCACACTGACTACGCTCGAGTATGTACTTGTCGGCTTCTGCTAACTCCATGTTTGTTTGATGCCTTGACTCACCGTATGGTATCAGCTTGGGCGACTGTGTGATTGACTTCAAGAATGCTAGAATGCAGCCGATTGCGGCAGCGTTAGCGCAGAACAAAACGCTGACGACACTCCGGTATGCAACGCTGGATCCATTTGCCGATGCCATGGTCATGGCAGCTGTACAATGTCCCACTCGCTCACTACTTTGCTTCATGATAACAGGACTCGAAATCGTATTGACGCAGTGATTGCCGATGCACTGACGCAAAACACCACACTGACTGAACTCTCGTATGTTGTTTTTGCACTTTTGCCCGTGTTGCTTTGTGCGAGGTGATTGGCTCACCGTGTGACGACAGAGGTTACCTCGATGCCAATGGAGCGCAATCGATGGCAAAGGCACTGACGCAGAACGCCACGTTGACCACGCTCTAGTACGCACCGCTTTCGCACTTTGATTGCATTCTAGTTTGCCATTGCAAACGCTCCGGTTTGTTTCGATGGCGTCGCTCATTGTGTGGTAACAGTGTGGGCTGGGGTAAATTCGGCCCGGCAGAAACAAACGCGATTGCCGCCATCCTGAAGCAAAACTCGACACTGACCACCCTAGAGTATGCTTCTCCCCTCTCATGCTGACCACTTCCGTGTCTGATTGCGAACATCAATCTAACCATGTCTGTCTGTTGGGTCAGGGTGTTTGGTCCTCAGATTGGAGACTTTGGAGCTCAAGCGATTGGAAAAGTGCTGAAACAAAACACCACTTTGACTGCACTCCGGTAAGGATTCCACTACTCTCTTCCTCGTCTGCTAGTTGACTTTGCGCTCAGAAGTTAATTGATTTATATATTGAATTATTGATTCTCATTGCATGGTCACCAGCTTGCTCGGCAACGACATTGGCAGCGCTGGAACGCAAGCGATTGGAGAGGCACTCAAGACCAACTCGGCATTGACTACGCTTGTGTCAGTGTCACTGTCGTGCTGAATCATTGCTTGAGGTCATGCGAGAAGCGCAGTGATGTGTGTTGCTCACTTCATTGTAATAGTTTGGATAAAAACAAGATTGGCGAAGCTGGTGGACTTGCGATCGCTGATGCTCTGGTGTGCAACAAGACGCTGACCACGCTTTCGTACGTTCTGCCGGATGGATGTTGTGACTCTGGGTTCCACTGCTGCGTTGGTATGCCATCGCTGACATCAATTGCCACAGGCTGTATTGGTGTTCGATTGGAGATGCTGGAGTTGAAGCGATTGTTCACGCGCTCGAGCAGAACACGACGTTGACCTCCCTCAAGTATGATCCTCCCTTCTCATTTTGACTGAATCCATGTCTTTGTAACTGCAAGCGATGTTTCATTTGCCCTGTCGCTCACTGCAATGCTCGCAGTTTGAACCACAATATCACTCTCGGTTGTGGCACGCAGGCGGCGATACCACGGATGCTCCAAGTGAACACGACGCTGACTGAGCTTGAGTACGTGACTGCTCCTATCTTTCTCCCCCTACCCCAAACGAAAAGCAGAAAGATGAAGAGAACGAAAATCGAGGCAATCACGGCTGCCTAATACCGCATGCTCACACGTTGATTATAGTCTGGGCGACAATAGATTGAACAGCGTTGGATTCCAAGCAATTGCAGAAGCGCTCGCGCAAAACACTTCTCTCACGACACTCTCGTACGAGCTCCTCGCTTTGTGTTGATGAATGCCGTGCTTTGTTGTGGTATTCGATGGTATGGCTCACCGCTTTGGGAGTAGACTTATGGGAAACGCAATGGAAGTAGCCGGAGCGCAGGCGATTGCTACAACACTCAAGAGCAACACCACACTGACCACACTCAAGTATGTTCGCATTGTGTTATGCCGGTTCGACGCTATCACTCTTGATTGTCGGGGTGCTTTGAAATTCTCACTGCTTGAACAGTCTGGATCACAGTTGGTTTGGCGATGCCGGTGCGCAGGTCATTGCGGATGCTCTTCGGCAGAACAAGACGCTTACGACTCTGCAGTATGTTTTTCTGCCGCACATTGGTCCATTTCTTGTCTGCAAAGGCCAAATATTAACCTTGCTTGGATTGCTTGTCACGTGTCAAGTCTCAAGCACTGCAGGATTGGCACTGCTGGACTCCAAGCGATCGGTGGAGCACTCGCGCAGAACAACACGTTGACCACGCTCAAGTACGTTTGGGAACGATGTTGTTGAGAGCGAGGCTAGATTCTGGTGATTCATTTTCTTACCACTTGAAAACGCAGTCTTTCAATGAATTCGATTGACGATGTTGGAGCCAACAGCATTGCCGAAATGCTGAAGTCGAACACAAGTTTGACCACTCTCGAGTACGTTCTATGCTCCTGTTGTTGTGGAACTGGTTGTTGCTGCTTTTACTCACGGTCAGCCAACAGTCTGAGTTGCAGTCAACTTTGTTTTAAAGTGCACGAGATTGCCGAAGCACTCAAGCAGAACACGACGCTGACGACACTCGAGTAAGGCTTTCTACCAACTTTTTGTCACTCCCAAACACTCGTTTATTGTTCTATTACTCACGGCTTTGCGCATTCAGTTTATCTGGCAATAATATTGGCGCTGTTGGAGCGCAGGTCATTGCCGAGGCTCTGAAGCAGAACAGGACTCTGACGACGCTGCGGTAGTTCCTTGCTCGTTGCTCAATGTCAAACCTTCAGGTGGACGTGGTATTCTTGCTCACCATGTGGTCGCAGTCTGAATCATGCTGAGATTGGCGCTCCTGGGATGAAAGCTCTCGCCGAGGTCCTCAAAATGAACACTGCGCTGACCACTCTCGAGTATGTTCAACCATTCGTGCTGATTGATGTTGTCATGCTTCATTTCAGTGCCTTACTTGTTATGTGGGAGCAGGCTGGAGGCCGAATCCATTGGTGATGCTGAAGCGCAGGCGATTGCACCTGGCCTTGTTCAGAACACGACTCTGACCTCGCTCAAGTATGTACCGACTTTCATGCCGCTTTGTCTCGATGCTTGATTCACTGAAACTGACACTTTTGGTTGGGTTTAGGCTGGGAGGAAGCCTGCTTGGCGAGACTGGAGCGCGCGCGATTGCCAAGGCTCTGAAGCAAAACTCTACCCGAACCACATTCAAGTACGGCCATTTACCTTGTCGCTCTGATGACAGCAACTGCTAAATTCTGATTTTGGTGTTTGATTGTTTGATTGTTGATTTGTTTGATTGATTGATATTGATTGTTTGTGTTCTTCACCGTGGTGGCGTCACAGATTGACGGCTAGCTTTGTTGACTCAGGAGTGCAAACAATTGCAGCCGCACTCAAACAGAACACTGCGCTGACCACGCTCGAGTAGGTTCCACTCCCTCGTGTTGATCCATGTCCCATTTGTGCGTATCACACCATTCTTTCTGATGCGCTTACTCACGGCATGGTTCCAGGTTGTGTGACATGAACAACGAGTTCTCTCGACTTGAGCGGGATATTTCAGAGCCATTGACCACAGCCAGGTATGTTGGCCATTCTCCTGCGGCTGAGGTTATTTCTGAAGTGGCCAGCGCTTCTTGCACACGTAACTTGTCACTTATCGCCTTTTTGCAACAGTCTGCTATCGCGGTTGCGTAATCCACGTGCTTTTGGACTCGAAAACGCCTTCTTGCAGGTTTGCAGGCTATAGTACGTTCCTTCTCCCTTCTCCTGTCGTTCCCCCTTCTATGCCGACGACGCATGTGACACTGTTTTCGATGGAGTTACTCAGTTTATGCGGACAGCTTGCGTGAGAACATTGTTGACTCTGCTGGAGTGCAAGTGATTCAAGAGGTTCTGAGTTTGACCAAGCCAAGCAAGCTTGAGTAGGTTCTCGTGCTCGTTGGTGTTGTGACTTTCATTGCAACTCACATTGATTGTTGTTCACGGCACTGTTTAGGATTCGCTTTGGCGTTGACGACTTTGGAGCGCAAGTGCTTGCGACATCACTCAAGCAGAACTCTTGGATGACCGAGCTCAAGTTTGTTTGCTTCTTTCGCGCTGATGTTCTTTGTTCTGGAGGAGGAGGGGTGGCGGGGTGGCGGGGTGGCGTCGGTGGTGTCGGTGGTCGGTCGGATTGATTTTTGATGCGAGCGCATCAGTGCTCACCGCGTGACAACAAACAGTCTGAGATCCAATAAGATTGGCCCGATTGGAGCCCAAGCGATTGCAGAAGCGCTGATGCAGAACACCAAGCTCACTATACTCAAGTATGTTGTCTTTCCATCGCGCTGGCTTGGTTCTGGGCGTCGTCAACTAATCGCTGCTCGACCATGTCGGGGGTTTGTTCATTCACGACGTGATTCTAGTCTGAGTTCCACTCAGCTCGGAGATGCAGGAGCGGAAGCGATTTCCAAGGCACTCAGGGTGAACACGACACTGACCACGCTAAAGTACGACTTGGCTATTTCTGCCCTTGCCTTGTTGCGCCCTTTTGATGCACTGCGTTGATGATACTCACACTTTGAGCAGCCTGTACGAATGTTGGATTGGCAGCGCAGGAGCTCAGGCGCTGGCGGAGGAGCTGAAGCACAACGTGGGATTGACTTCGTTCGAGTACGTTTCCGTTCGCTTGCTACCTTGCATGCTGAGCATGTCGTTTAATGAACAGTGATAGCGGTACTTACCTTTTCAGAGCAGTCTGTCCCGCAATTCTATCGGCGATAGTGGTGCAAATGCGATGGCGGCAGTGATTTCGCAGAATACAACACTGACTACCCTCGAGTATGTTCCTCTCGCTTTTCTGCTGCTTCGTATCGCATTGGTAATTGAACAAGCTGCATGTTACTCACGGCATTATCCACAGTCTCGGAAAGAATCATATTGGCGATGCTGGCGCCGAAAGGTTGGCAGAAGCGCTCCTGCGAAACACCACGCTCAAAGTACTCGAGTATGTGACCAATATTGTGCACATTGAGATCAACAATGAATGTGTGTACGTCCTGATCTGCAGTGCTTTTGCTCACTCCTATGCAAACAGTCTGTGGTATAACGAAATCGGGGAAGCCGGAGAGCTTGCGTTGGACAACGCACTCAACCAGAATTCTGCACTTGACTGGCTCAAGTATGGTCCCCTTTTTCTGATGCTGATTCTGTCGTGTTTGTGTGTGGTACTTACTGTTTGACGGTATGGCTTTCTCACTTCAAACAGCTTGAACGAGAATCAACCGCCGAATTAACCAAAGAACGCTCGCTTCCTTTTCTCTGGTGGTGTGATGCTGTGTTTTCTTCTGATGATGACTTTTGCTCACTTCGAGGTAGCAGATTGTGTTTGAGTTCGGGTAGTTTTGTAGACGTAGTGTGGTAGTTTGTTTTGTTTGTTTTGTTGTTGTTGTTTTGTTTTTAACACTTGCATTAATGTGCTTTTGAGTGTTAACCTTTCCATCATGAAACCGTGCATGCTTGAATGAAGGTGCTGTGATCAACGTGGATTACCCCGAAGCGTGGACCAAAGCCGGAATGGTTGCCAAATTTCAGCCTGTACCTTTGCCTGTGAACGACACTGCGACTTTTAAAAAACCGTCACTCGCGATTGGACAAAGAGTTTTTCACATGGAACACTGCACTCTAAATCATGAACGCTGCCTACTTTGGCACCTGAACAGTCCTGCATTCGCCAACTAGTGATGCCCGTACACGCCAACGACGACCAGGAGATTGCCCAAGCTACCCCTCGCAAGCGTCGGCGCATGTCCCTGGACTTGCGCAGGCAGATTGTTGCATTGCGCGACAAGGACTTGCGAGATTACTGACTACTGTTTAACGGAAGCATTTTCAAAGCTCATCAGGCAAAACCTTGCATCTCTTTAACACGATGTAGCACCCACGTTCTTTGTCTAGATTTTTGATACGTGCAAATTGTAGGACAAACTTCAATCTTGCAGTCTTTCTTTCCCTTTTCCCCTTTTTCCCTTTTTCCCTTTTCTCTTTGTTTGGTTCTTTTGAGGTGACACACGATTCCCCTTCGCATCCAACAACACCCACTTTCCTCTGCCTAATCTTTCTCATTGTCTCTCGCTTGAGGTTGCCATTCCGTTGATGGCTCTGGCACATCCCGAGCTCCTCTTGTGATCCTGCAGTTTTCATTTTCGACCATCACGCGCCACGATACAAAACCAGATCTCGATTTGAAAAGGTGCAAATTTGGAACGACGCGAAAAAAACCAAAAAAACCAAAAAAAAAAGTCAATCAAAGTGCTGCCAATTTGCACCATCTCTGACTTTGGAACGGCTGACTTGCGCCTGGGGTGTCAAAACGACCGAAGCTTGGCGCTGTTTCTGCCACAATGCAGCTCACGCGGCTTGGCTTGGATCGGCCCCGGAAGCGAGGCGCGGAAGCCAGCCTTCCGTTCCGTCGGAAGTTCTGATGCAAAAAAACAAACAAAACAAACAACAAAAGCAAAACAAAACAACAAAAGCAAAACAAAAACAAAAGCAAAAGCAAAAAGCCCCGACAAACAAGCGAGGGTCGCGCACGCGCACAACGACAGCCGCGTGTACACACTCACGCACAAAAATCACACCATCACACCCTTGAGCGCGTCTGAGAGGGAAGGCAGGGGGTCGCGTGGAAGATGTGGATGTGGTGCGGGGAGCCGATCGGATTCCAGTTGCATTCATTCCTTCACGCAATGCCCGCCCACCCACTCCCCCACTCACCCGCACACACACGCCACCCGCACACACGCACATACGCACGATCGCCTTGTTTTACTGGCTTGGTCGGAGTGGACGAGCTCTGTCTGCGGCGGGCAAGCGATCACTCATGGGTTGCCCCAAATTCAGCACAAAAAACAAACTCCGTCGGGCTATTCTTGGCTCGGTGCTTCGTTGTTGGTCGTTGTGACGGCTGCACAGTCAGCATCGTCAATCACCAATCGCTCAAGCTCAAAGCCAGACGTGGCCGACACGAAGAAGGAGCGAAAACGATGCCAAAGCAGAGGCAGAAACGAGATCAAGAACACTCAATGGATCTACCAGCAATCAGCAAAACCACCCGCCTGCGAATAGCACGATTTGTCACACTATTTGATTGTCAGATGGGACAGAGGTTTCTATATCACGATTTATCGCTCTGTTTGACGGTCAGATGAGATAGAGAGAAAGAGGGGATTGACACTCACTGGAGCAGAATGAATGCCACTATTTCCAAACCAAACAGACACAGTCATGCCCTCTCCAGCCTCCCGTCAAGCACGACTCGTGTTTGTCTTGCTCGTGATTGGATTCGTTGCAGCCGTCAATGCCGCATCATGCCCGTGGGGCTGCAGCTGCGTTCAGACGAGTGGTGTCGTCACCTTCCTCTCGTGCAACAGCTCGGTCTCAGAAATACCGATCGACCTTCCGATTTCCACCGTCACTCTGTACGGATTTTCTTGGAACTGTCATATTTGTGTGTGTGTGTGCGCGGGGACAAGGGGGGGGGGACGATTTTTCAACAGAACACCGCTAATACTTTAATTTGTAGCGATATTCACGCCACTTCCATTACAACTCTGGGCGACAACGCCTTCCAGGCAGCTGTCTCCCTGAAGGCAATGTAAGGAGAATACAGCTTCTCTTTTTTGGGTCGATGCTGCTGCTGGGCGACAACGCCTTCCAGGCACACTGATTGCTTCCAAAACAAAACAAGGAGAATACAGCTTCTCTTTTTTGGGTCGATGCTGCTGCTGCTGAGAGCTGAAAAAATGCTCACTGATTGCTTCCAAAACAAAACAGCATCCTTCCCGAAGCAATCACCAGCATCGCGCCGGCCGCGTTTGCTGGGTTGAGCGCATTGACCTCCGTGTAAGAGCCTGCTTGATTGCGCGTTGAATATTGTGTTAGTGAGCATTGGGTCTCACATATAGTCTGGTTTTTACTGTACTCTACCTCAGAACTTTCGAGCAGAGCGCCATGTTCGACCAAAGCCTGTTTACTGGATTGGAGGTGGAACACATGTACGTTGCGTCGTGGCCTAGATGACTTAAGCCTTTTTCGGTTTGGCTCATAGCTTGCGACGTTGGTTATTGTCTGTTAGTGGGATTGGCAATGCATCAACACTGCAAGGCAACTCGTTTACTTCAATGTCCTTTTTGAAGCGCCTGTAAGGGGATGTTTGCTATTCTCTCGCTTGGCTATCTTTCAGTCAACTCACGCGTCAACTGTGAATCGACCTCAACCTGGCCGTGCCACAGCGGATTGTACGAGGTCTCTACTTTGCCATCGGGCGCTCTTGCTGGGCTCGCTTCCCTCGCAACTCTGTACGCAACAACAGCCCAGCCCCGTGCTTTGTTTATGAAGGCAACTTGTTGCTGATCTGATGTTTGAGAGCAGGGAGCTGTATGGACCTTTCACATCCATTCCATCCAGTGTGCTAAACGATGCTCCCAATGTGGATCTATTGTACGTTTTCGTGCCGGTAGCTTGAAAGTCAACGTTTTACCAGCAGCTCACACTGTTTCTTTTAGGACGCTTCACGGTCAGTTTCAAACCATGAGCGACATTGGCCTGGCCTCTCTTCCCAATCTGAAAAAGCTGTACGTTTTCCTTCTGAGCGTTCGCAATGAACACGTGCTACTATCGGTGTACTGACGCCTGGAAACAGTTCGATCTCCCAGTCCAAGCTTACAGGCTTTACAGACTTGAGTGCGAATGCCTTGACGTACTTGTAAGCAACAAACGAACAGCTGCGTTTGAAAGCAAGTTGCACCGAACTCATTCTGCAAACAAATGGCTTGCAGGTCTGTCTCTGGCTCATCAACGATCAAGACGCTTGCCGATAACTCATTTGCTGGTGTGCCGAATCTCAAGTTCCTGTATGTAGCGTTCTTGACTGAGTGTGCTGCTGTGTGCGTGTCAAAACCAGGTCGAAAGGTTGCAACCTTACTTTTCCGTTCTGACAGGAGCGTGGATGGTTTGGGGCTCGAGAACCTTTCTTCGCAAGCCTTTTCCGGCCTCTCCCAATTGACCTATCTGTAAGAGAGCCTGCAGGAGAATCGCCTCTGTTTGGATGGTCCTCACTTTTGACGGGTGTATGATTAGGAGCTTGTCCCAGACCCGCGTAAAATCCCTTCCTCAAGGCCTGTTTGCTGGCACACCTGCACTGAAAGCATTGTAAGGGCGCACATCACATTTGAGGTATCTTACAAGTGGCAGGTCATCCATGTTCATTCTCATCACTGGATTGGCTGATGACAGGAGTCTTTCCCCCATCAAAATCACCCAGTTGTCGAGCAACACATTTAGCACTTTGACCGCGCTTACTTCCTTGTGCGTGAGCTTGAGCTTGTGTGTGTGTGTGTGTGTGTGTGTGTGTGTATCCAGCTCTACTTTGTTGCAGATACTCACGTCTTCGAACAGGACTCTGACCGGGATGCCTGCGACCACCCTTCCTCCTGGATTGTTCCTTGGTCTGACGGCGCTCACGCAGCTCAGCACGAGCCCGCACAACTTTAGCTTTGGAAACAACCTTCAAGCGCCGCCTAGCACTTTCGGATTGCTCTCCTCTCTCCAGGGTACGACCTTGTAGTACAGCTTGCGCATCGTGTTGCTTTTGCTTGTTGACTCACAGAGGGCGGTTGATATTCTCCCACACAGCTTGCCACTCCGCGTGCGCTACGTGCTACGGAGCTGGCGCGGGAAGCTGCTGCCCTACCAACTGTCTACGCTGCGCCGGTGATGGAACGTGCTCTCAGTGCTACGAGGGCTTTGCGCTCGAAGAGCAGCTTTGCGTTGCCATACCACCCGCGGTGCTGGCTTCTTCCGCTTCGTCCGCTCTGGAAGCTGTCTCCATTGCAGCGCAGTCTGCTGAATCAGTTGTGTCTGCTGCTTCCGCCGCATCGGTTCTTGAGCTTGCTGCTGCTGCTGCGTCCTCTATCTCCGCTGCATCAGCTCTGGATGCTTCGGTTTCTGCGGTAGCTGTGGCTGCCTCGCGAGAATCGGTTCTGTCCGTCCAGTCCGTCCAGTCTGCGGCTTCAGCTCGAGCCAGCCAGTCTGTCGCTGCAGCAACCAACAACAACGACGACGATGGCCCCGCCGTGATGCCGATCGTTGTTAGTGTTCTTGCTGGCGTGCTCTTTCTCGTTCTGGTCGCGCTTGGGGTGGTGCTGCTTCGCCGACGCAACCCTGCATCCCGTTCAAAGGACAGTTTCGACTCGCACACTGTCGACATTCATCCCAATCCTGCGTTTGGCGGCACTGCCTCCAACAAAGGCGTTATGGATTCAAGGCTCTACGAAGAGGTGGGCGGCCATCCCAGTCTCGCCCCTCCTGCCGTGCCGCACCTCTATAACCACCCGCAAGACTCACCCGCCAGCATGACTACTGAGACCCACGCCGCCCAGTCCCCTCAGTATGAAGAGGTTGCCGTGCTTCTCGGTAGCCGCCCCGATTCTGGCAAAACATACGCAGAGCTGACTCTTGCGACCGGCTCGATGGCCGCCCCTGTTGCTGACGAGTCCGTCAGCTACGCGACCGTAGTGCCGCACTTCGCAAGCGAGTAGTCTGGTCTGCCGAGCTGTTTTGTAGTTTGTTTTGTAGTTTGTTTTGTTGTTGTTGTTGTTGTCGAGAATTGCGCCAATATGACTTGCACAACCAATGCACCCATCGATGTCACCAGAGCTCACTCATGGGTATCGAACAATTAAACAATACGGCCTTGTCGTACATTGAGAAACGCTCTTCCGTCGTGACGATCGAGGCAGCAAGCCGTTGTTCGAATTTTGGCATTGCAAAACAAAACCCAAAACCAAAACCAACCTTCAAGACAAACACAAATACAAGCTTGACCCAGTCTCGTTGCTGTGCCAGTTTGTACCGAGCTTGAGCCGCTTCTCTGATCTGAGCCGCACAAGTTTGTTCGTTTCTGAGCTCACTTTTTTTTTTTTGTTTTTTGTTTCTCTATTTTTTTTTTTCCTCTTCTTGTTCTCTGTCTCTCTTCTCTTCCATTTCTCTCTCTCTCTCTCGCTCTCTTCATCTTCATCTTCATCTTCATCTTCAGTCGCTCAGCGTTACAGAGGCCATGGACGATTTCGTGGGTTTGTGCCACCGTCTTCAATCGGCCGCAGCAGCAGGCAATGTGAGCAACGCATTCAACCAACCTTTTTTTTTTTTTTTTTTTTTTTTTTTTTTGAGCTGCTTTGTAGTGTCGTTGTTGTCACTTTGGCGATCGTGTGTTTCGTTGCATTGCCGTTACTCACGGGAATCATGTGCAATGGGACCCTGTTTTGCTGTTTTGTTTCTGTTTGGCGTTGACTTTGTTGTGCACAGGACTATGTGGTTGCTCGTGAGACGCAGGCCGCAAGCGAAGCACTCCTGAACGAGTTTGAAGCGACGCCTGACGCCCTGGACACGGCTCGCATGGTGCTAGGTCAGTTCGGGGTCCTCGTCCATTGCATGCGTGCATTCGAAGCACGCGCGCCGGGGGGGGGGAATTGGCAAGCGCGCAAAAGCGTGGTGAATGGTGAACGGAACCAATGATCGTGCAATGCCTCGTCTATGAAAACCCAAAAAAACCGCATTGCTGGATCCATGCGATTCCATGCTCAGAACGCTGTCAACATGAAGCCGTTCGAATAACTGAATGCTCATCGAGTGGGGGGGGGGAGATGTGGATGGACTGAGACAATGTTGTTCGTTTGGAGATCGTCCGACAACACCCAAAGCTGACGAAAACGCACCTTTTCACCTTTTCACCCCGCGGCACCTTTGCTCCTCAAGAGCACATGATTGCTGCCGCTGGGGGGAAAGCCTCACAAATGATACTGACTGCATCCGAATTTTTTGTGCCACCTCTCATGCTTTGTCAGATTGGAGCGACGCGAGCAGCCATTTGCAGTTTCGCATGCTGCAAACGATCAACCGAGCGGTCAAGCGCGACTGGAACTTTGTATCCGAAGAGTACATTGTCGATTTGTTAACCTACTTGCTAAACAAGGCGGCAGAAGTGATACAAACGTATGTAAATTTGTCCACGGGACAGTTGAGTGGTTGTGTTTTTTGTGTTTGTGTTTTTTTCCTCCCTCCCCGCCTTCCCATTCGCACCCCAACTCACACTCACCACTTCAACTTGTTTTCGCCTACCAAACTGTTGCTCTTCTCGCTTTATTTTAACATGTACAGACCACGCAGCCCTAGGTACATTCGCAACGCTTTTTGCACAACGATTGCGTCCGTGTTGAGGCAAGGCTGGCTTGACGAAAGCAATCCGGAGCGTGCCCGGCGTCATCACCAGCGGCTGCTCGATACATTGCCGTCCTTTTTGCTATCGGACCAGCCCCAATTCCGGCTTCTGGGCGCGGCTTTGAGTATCGCTGCGCTCGAGGCGTTTTCCATCTTCAAGCCGCCAGAAACGATCGAGTACCACCATTTGCGCAAGCGCGAGTTTGAGCACACTGCTCTTCTCCCCATGTTTGCACAGACCCTGGATGCTCTGCACAACTCCATCATGACCCTCATTGGGGTCATTTCCGAGTTCCAGCAGGCGCCTGCCACCAACCACCCCCTGATGCCTGCGTTGAGCTCGTGGCTCGTCGTTACCAGCCAACTGCTGAATGCCTGCTGCCAGATTGTGTCGTGGCAGTTTACAACTGAGGTGATGCCACGGTTTGACACGACCGACAACACCCAGACCATGCCGCTGAAGCCGCCGGCAGCGTGGCGCCCCGTGTTCGTCTCATCTTTGCCGCCTCTCGCAGCGCTGGAGCAACAGCACTCACTGCTCGCGCGGGGACCTGAAACCTCGTGGCTGGTCTCCTTCTTCTTCTCAATGTACGATCTTTTGCGCCCCGTCGCGTTCAGCGGCCTCTTTAGCAACTTCTCCGAGCTCAACAGCCATCTGAGCGACTGTACCGAGATGGCGCATCGTTGTATCGAGCAACTCAGCTCATTGCACGGCCCGCTTCTTGACCAAGACGGCCCCGCGCCTGGAGCGCCCATGGCACTGGCCAAAGCCAGTTACTTTCAGTGCTACGTCCAGCATCTCGTGAACCTGACGAGCGGCTGGCTGGACGATTATCGTCGGGTATGTCAACAGCAACGCCAGCAGCAACAGCATGACATGAACCACGATCGTCGAGGTCATCGCCAACGGCATGTTGGTGTGTCAGCAGGAGATGTTGGTTCCATTGACTTGGGTGACGGCGGCCCTCTGGATCGGGAGCTGACTGCCCTGACGACTACCTTCAAGCGTCTCACCAACGCCTGCGGTGTCGTATCCATGTGCAACATGCTTGGGAATGAGCAGATGCTTGTCCGATTTGCCGAGTGTATGGTCGCCTTGTCGTGTGCCTGCATGAAGCCCGAAACAAAGGCGATCGAGCGGTCGGCTGCCGATGGGCTTGAGGAATTGTTGACGGCGTGGGGCCCTCTCCTTTCTCACGAAGCTGCGCGCGACTTTTGGCACCCCCATGCTTTCCAAGTGTTTGCAACGTTTGTCGAGTCCAAGATGCAGTCCACCAACATCAACTCGGCGAGTGACAGCAAGAACGACGAAGACGACGACGACGACGACGACGACGATGACCTTGCCAGTCTGGACGACGACGAGTTTGACGTGGACCACGCGGTTTTTGCCGAGTTGCTCCAGTCTGTCGCGCAGCTTGGTCGCCATTGCATTCTTCAGGCGATCGAGCTCCTGACGAAATGCCTGCACGAGCGCTTGCAAATGCTCGACTCGTGGGCCACCCAGCTTCCCAGCGTTGTTGCCAACGTACAAGCAACGCAGCGCGCCGATTCTTCCAGCGCTATGCTGGCATTGGTCGTCAAGGCCTCCCGCTTGCCTCCAGGTTTCAACGACCAGTTGCACTGGCTCGTGCTGATTGCAGGATGCCTGATTGCAGACCCGCAAGGCACTGGCGAGACGCCACTCATTCCTCGCGAAGTCATGAACGCGTCGCACCACAGCAGCGCGGTTCATGGCGACGATCCTGTGGTTGGTCTCATTTCGTTGGTGCACGAGCTGTGCAACATTGAAAGTCGTGTTTTGACAATGGAGCTCGGGTTTTTGCCAGCCTCGCTGCTCAGCCCCGAGCTTGCGCTCACGCTTGTCTGGTGGCTCAACCGTTGGACGGCCACGTACTTGCTGCTCGACGAACGCAACTACAGCACCGGGGGTCAGCACTTGAGTCCGGCCATTGTGAACGCTTACGGGCACGACACGCCTCACGAGCACATTATTCCTGAAATGATTCTCGGAAAAATCTCCCTCAACCTCGTTCATTGGAACAGCGAGCCACGCGTTGTCCGCGAGTCGGTCGACTTGTTGCAGACCTTCACCACGGGTCGCGTCACTTGCGCCGTCGCGCTGTGCTCCCCAGCCGTTGCGGACATTGTCCGAAATCTTTGCGCCGAAGCAGCCCTCACCGAGATTGCCCTCTCGCCCGTCTACGCAAACCTGCCCCTCGAGGCAGCTCAGCAGCAGTGCGTCTCGCTCTTCAACGGCAACGCGTTCCAGCGCACAAGCCTCACCAACCTCCCGTCGTCGACCCTGACAACGCTCACAAACTCGTTGTGCGAAATGGGCGTTTCCGACATTGGAAGCCACGCAGCCAGGAGCGCTGCAGCACTTGTTGCGCGCTATCTGAGCCGACCCGACGCCGATGCGGCCGAGCTCGAGCTGACGCGCCAGCGCATTATCGAAGGCCAGGAGCTCAAGCTGCACCAGCAGCGACACACCGCGACGCTGCTTGATGCCGTCACATCAAAGTTCCGGTCGCTGGTGCAGCACCCGCATTTCACCGCTACCGCCCAGCTCCACCCTGTGCGACTTGCCGTCGAGAAGCATCTCGAGTGTCTTTGCGGAATTGCGCTGCTCACTCCTGGCAACGACGCGACTGCCGAGTTGCTCGCTTCCTACCTGCACGAGCTCTTCCCACTGCTTATCGAGCTGATTGCCCTCTACTCGACCTGCCCCGAGATTTGCACATTGGTCGTGAGCTTGTTTGGCGGCATTGCCGAAAAGCAGATTGCCATGCTGAGCCAGCGCAATTCCGATCGCTTCCTCCAAGCGGTGGTCTCGATGGCCGAGACCTTCTTCCACTACCGAATGGCCAACACGATTGCCGCCACGCGCGCAGGCGACATGGAGGAGACACGCCACAGCGACCTGCTGGTCTTGATCAAGCTGTTTGAGGACGTGCTGCATCGCGAGTTCCTCGACCTCAACAGCGGTCTGGACGCGTTCGGAGACAGCGATGGATTGGTCGCTGAGGTGCACGTCCATCCCGAACCCGGCGGCATTGCCGCAACGACCGTGGTGCTGCATGGCCTGCGCTTGCTCATTCCTGTCGTTTGCCGCGACTTGATGCTCATCCCGTACATTGCCAACGGACTTTTCAAGCTCATTTCCTTCACGCTCTCGTTCTGCGCCGAGAGGCTGCTTCAACCCGAGCATGCACAGGACTGGGAGCTGATTGTGCATGCCGTCACGATGGGATTGGCGTCCAACCACAACGACACGGTGCGATATTCCTTCCAGGCCGTGTTTGATCTCTGCCGGCAATCGTTCAAGGTTGCCAGCGGCGACAGCCCGCTCCAAGAGCCTCAGCAGGCCTTGGACCTGTCGGCCCTGCCGCCTCACGTCCCTGCAACCCTCGACGCCATGCTCCGGGCAACGGTGGAGAACATGGTGCTCAAGCCCTTCAGCTACGGACACATGGACACGGCTGCCGAGTCCCTGCTCGCCGCTATCTGCTGCGTGCCCAGCAGCTATCAGGCTTTTGTGCACGAAATTGTCGAGTCGCAACGAAACATCATCGATCCCACCCGACTCGAGCGACTCCAGGAAGCGCTGCTCTCCTTGTTGTTTGGTTTCAACAAGCCCACCGAGAAGGAGACTCTGCAAGCCTTCCGCGCTCGCTGTCGTCAAGCCCTTCCCAGTGCTCGCAGCGTCATTTCGCGATGAGCGGAACCCGCTGACACTGATGCATTTTTGAAATCTTGCCGTACACTATTGTTGTTTTGAAGTGAACTTTGATGTTGTACTTTTACAAAAATCACCAACGATAAAGACTACCACGCAACCACGCTGCTGGAAAACAATTGTTTTTGTTCTGGAGAAGCAAAAGTTGGATGGGTGTCAAACCAAAACCAACAAGAAGAGAGCGAGAAAAAGAGAACGCACGCATCGCGGTTCATCAATACGTGTAGCCACCGTACTGCTGGTTGCCGGGCTGTGGCGCATAGCCTGGATACTGAGGCTGTTGCTGCTGTTGCTGCTGCTGCTGCGGCGGCGGCTGTTGCTGCTGCGGAGGGTAGGCTGGCTGGGGTGGCTGCGAACCTTGGGGCTGTGGGACCCGCTGTTGCTGCTGTTGTTGTTGGAACGACTGCGGGGTGGCATACGGCGAGTACTGTGGCTGTTGTTGCTGCTGCGGAGGAGAAACCACTCCGCCTGCATAAGGAGCGCTGGCCGGGTGGTGCTGCGTGGCGACTGGGCTTGCAGCGGTCGTCGGGCCAGCCGAGCCCGGGTTGCCAGGAACGGGACGAGCAGGTTGCGCAAACGCCTGAGGCTGTCCATACGGCGATCCATAGGGCACTTGCTGCGGAGGCTGAGCCTGCAGAGCTTGCTGAGGAGGCGCCTGCGGTTGTCCCGAGTACAGCTGTTGCTGGCTGGGAGGACCGCTCCAGGTGGGTGCGCCTGCGGTGAACTGTTGCGGCTGTTGCGGGTGTTGTTGCTGCTGCTGCGGTGGTTGCTGCTGCTGCTGCGGTGGTTGCTGCTGTTGAGGTTGCTGTGGACCATTTGGACCGGGGACGGCAACTTTGGATCGCCCAGAAGCAGTCAAGGCCTCTGTCAATCACAGAAACACAGAAATGAACCGAGCTGCTGCAACACAAAAAAGAACGACGCATGCCAACGCCTTTCCGGGCCGCGCCTTACCAAAATCGTTGCTGTTCAGACGCATGACCGAAGCGGGGTTGGGCTGGTGGTCCTTCAGAGGGTCAAATTCGCGACTGGCCTTCGAGTCCACGGCTGGCGATCAAAGCCGAGAGAGTGAGAGACGCTTGCAACACAGCAGTGGACAGAATGAAAGCAAGACGCGACCTACCTTTGGGAGCCACAGCGACGCTCTCCTGCGCCGCAGAAGCGGTGACAGCGGTAGCAGCACTAGAGCCAGAAGCAGCCGAGTTCGCGTTCGCAGCACCATCGGCCACGCCACCAGACGGGGCACCGCTGTACCGTGGCTGGTCGAGTTGACCAAGCAGAAGATGCACCTTCTCGCGGAAGTTGTCAATCTCGCGCTCGATCGCTTGGACCACCGCCTGGTTTCCGGCAGCACGAAGCGCGGTCGCGATCTTGATTTGCTCGGCATTCTTGACTGGGAAAGCCCAACAAGCAAAACGCAAGCAACAATTTTGAGCGATTCAAAGCATTAGCTCGGTGGCAGGAACAACGTTCTGCATGTCTCAGAAACTCTGCTCTCACCTTGAATCCTAATTTGGAGCAGACGGCTGTACGACTTGGCGTGCGTCAAATCCTGGTTGTCACTGATCGTAATCCAGTCACCATCTGCACAGAAATTCAACCAACACCAACGTGGAAATGAGTTGAACGCAGGCTTTGGACGGATGTGATCCATTGAAAATCATCGAGTTTCAATACAAGGCAAAAAAAAAAAAAAAAAAAAAAAAAAAAAATTAAGCCTTTTTTTTTTTTTTTTTTTTCCTTTCAATACAAACGTCAGCGGATTTTTTTTTTTCAGCCTTCCACTGCCCCCGCCCCGCCTCGAAATGACCCGCCGCGTTGCAATCATCCACGAATCGGAAGAAGAAGAAGAAGAGCTGAAACGCACCAGTGTCGCGGTACTTGATGAGGAGGTCGTCGGAGGGACTGAGGCGGCCGCGGAAGACGCGCTGCATCATCAGAATGAGCTCGTCCAGCGTAATCTCGTCGTTCGTGATGGGGATGCGGCGGACGTCGTCCTCGTACTGCGCCTTGATGATCAGCAGCCCTTCGCTCAGTCGCGCCGACGGCAGCGATGCAAACACGGATGAGTCGCCCATGATGAGGATGACGATGATGACAGAGCTTGGTTTGAATTGAAAAAAAAAAAAAGAAAAAATAAAGGAGTGAATGTAAATCTTGGACAAATTTTAATCGAAAAACTACACCAACAACAAAACTACGCTACGGCACGACGCGGATGCTGCCATCGGCAATGGAAGCGTGAATCAGCCGCGCAAGGCGATCCACGCCGGAAAGCAGCTCGGCTTCCGGGTGGAAGGCAATGCCAAGGCGCATGCAGTGGCCGAACGTCTTGCTTTGCGAAAACCGATTGCCTGGTTGGAAGCCAACAGCAAACTCGCGCCGCGCACGCGCCAAGAGGGCTTCCGTGTCGACGGCGGTGTCGCGAAACTCGACCCACATGAACAAGCCTCCTTGCGGCTCGATCAGGTTGACAACGCCGGCTGGAATGGCCTGCCGCAGCTTGGCACAAACTGCCGCCATCCGAGCGCCGTACGCTGCTTGCAGCGCCGCAATCACGCGATCGAGGCTGCCGTTCTGGATGGCCGTGCCCATCAGCCCACTCATGCAATGCTGCACGCCTCCACCGCTTGCCATAAAACCGCTGAGTCAAGAAGAAGAAGAAGAAGAAGAGCACGAGCACGAAAGTAAATGTAAAGTGCGGAAAATCGATCCGTGCCACGCAACACACAACACAACACAATACCCTTACGTGTTTGTCAGCTTTTCTTGGATATCGACCCATGCTTCAATCCAACCCAGTCGCACGCCAGGTCCGAAAATCTTGGAAAAGCTGGCATTGGAAATAACATGGCCCCGTTTGGACGCCGCTGGCGTGTCGCGCAAAATTGCAGCATCGTATGAAAACAGGCGAGGAACGGGTGGCTGAGCTCCCTTGTAGCAAAGCAGCTCATACACGTCGTCGCAAACCACAATGACATTGTACTGATGCGCGAGGGCCACAATTCGCTGTCGTTTCTCGTGAGAGATGGTGGTTCCGCGCGGATTCGAGAATGTTGGCACCAGGTACAGCATTGCAGAGTAGCCTTCGGAGGGATCTGCACATCCAAGGGTGTGAATGAGCATGATATGCGCGCGCGCGCGTTGTTCATCAGTCGCAAACAACTTTGTCACCAAGAAACACCAGAAACACACTGTACTTTTTATCGGGATTGCTTTCAGCTGCTTCTCTAAATCCTCGACGTTAATGCCATCGTCATCAGTCCGAACACCCACCGTCTTGAGGTGGTGCTCAAGAATCAATTGCTCTGCGAGAAAGTACGTCGGATCCTCAATCAGGACGGGGTCACCCGGCTTCATCAAATGCGTGCAAGCAAACGACAAGCCCTGCGACGCTCCAGCTGTTGCCATAAGGTGTGTCCTGAATAGGATTCAAGCGGTGCACACAATGAGGTCGTGATCAAGTGATCAAGTGAAACTTTTTAATTCGGATACGACTCATAACAAAAAAGTCCTATTCCCCCTCCCTCTCAAACCCCGACCCAAAATCTATCAAGTCAATCCTTTTGCCTTACGCATCGACGTGCGGGTCGTTGTAATGCAAGCGCAAGAAAGCAGCGAGCTGGTTGATAAACACCGCATCGCCAGCAATTGGGCCGTACTGCAGCAGCGTATACGCGTCCGGATCCGCCTACAAGTTCAAATCCCCCAAAAATGAGCTCGAAATCCTCACCGATTCAGAGATGATCAGACAAGAACAAGAGTCGGAAACATTCAGACGTCGGACAAGAATAAAATAGCTAGTTAGAAACTCCCCACACATTCAGAGATTCAGAGACTCAGATTAAGAGATTCAGAGACTCAGAGACTCAGAGATTCAGACAATTGTGATTGAAATTTGGCCAAGATTGAAAATCTGACCTCGAGTCGCTCAATGGTCGCCTGCTTCAGGACTGGAACGATCTGCCGCAGCAGCGACTCGTCCGGCGCCCCGAAGGAGAAGGAAACCTCGCCAGGTCGAACGTCAAACAGGATGTTCTGCGCAGTGGCTGCCGACGACGAGGCGGTCGAGACAAAGTCGCTCGCGGCGGAAGTCATGCTGAATGCTGAATGCTGATGGATCAGAGTTGAGTTGGACTTTTGACTTGGGGAAATTGAAAGAAAAAAAATGGACTGAGATAGGCAAAGATGGGGGAACAATTATGAAAGAGTGTCGAACTTTGAGGTACTCTAGACGAACGGGAGTAGGGGAGGCGAAATGGCCATGGAACAGCAGAACTGCGAACGAACGTTTTCAGTGCCGTCTAGACAATGTAGATTCAATACGAATGGCGCTAGGTCTCGATGGAAATGCTGTTCCAAATGAATGTCATGCAAACAGTCCCCGCGCTGCGCAGAGAGAGCTTGGCGCGGACGATGTGAATGCGCGACACAACGATTTCGTAGCTCTTAACTCTCATATTAATACAACTGGGTCTGCATGTGATGAATCGACACCTTGCTACTACGTGCTCGCGATTGATTTAGATAGTCTTGCTGCGTAGTTGGCACGCGGGGATTGGCTGTCACAACGAGATCCGGAACGAGCGTGCGGAGAGCCTTGTTGATGCGAAACTGCAGGATTGGATGGCCTGCATTCAGCTCGGCCTGGCTCAGTTCCATTAAAATGACAGACTCAGCTATCCGATGAGCAAGGGCTTGGGCTTCTTGAGAAAATCCGGCTTCAGCGCACAAAACACCGACCGCACCATTGTGATTCTTGGCTGCGTTCGCCACAACACCTGACCGACACGTCGCATATCAGTCAGCATCTCCGTTGTGCGAATCACATATCTAATAATGCATGAAAACGCTTTGTTGCTGATCGCTTCACGAACAAACCATTCAGGCTTACTCTGAAATTCGCGAACAACGGCAGGCCCGACTCGAGTCTTGCCGCTCTTGCACTGAACAACTGCGAATATGCGACATGCTTCCGAGAGCTCCCATACGCCGTAGAGATCGACTCCACGGTCGTTCTTGCCTCCCGCTGGAGCAAGGCTGAACTTGAGCCTCTCAAGCAGGCTGCGTGTAGACTGCTCAAACTTGGACCCTTGCTCAACATAGCCCTTGTTACGACTGGTACTAGTACTACGACTACTGCTGATGATGTTGTCGTTGCTTGTCTGCAGCTTCTCGGGGTTGGAAGCGGACGGTGCTTGATGTTCGCGCCGGTCGTCTTGGCGGCTGAGCTCGACGTGCTGCTGTGCTGGGCTCAACGCAGCAGCAGCGACGGACGGCCTGTCTGTGCCCTGGCTCGACCACGACGACCATGACGATGATGATGATGATGATGATGATGATGATGATGATGATGACAGAGTCCGAGCTTGAACGCGGGCGAACGTCAACCCAGGCAGCCTCAGCATTGTTGACAAGGATTTTGACAAGATTTTGACAGCTTTTTTGAATGTCTGTGAATGAGGTTACCAAACAAACAAACAGCACAATAAAATAAAAATGACTGATACTCTAACTCTATTGGAATCGTGATACAGTAGCTCCAGTCCAGTTCCAGTTCCAGTTCCAGTTCCAGTCGTACAATGCCGAGACCGGTCGTCACTTGTAAGGATTGAGGGAGGCTGAAAACACCCCCAACCGCCATACCACCATGCAGCCATCAAAGCAATCGACCTCTCTCTTGTGTTGCTGACTGAATTTGACTTGGCTTGTGCTCCAGATCTGGACGACGCGGGGCTGTGGCCGGTGCTCTCGCGGGGCTTCTCGAGCCGCTTACCGCTGACCAACCTGACCTGGCAGAGCGGGACGAGTCGCCGCCACCGCATCGCAGAGCTCGACATCCAGCTGCAGCCATTCTCAAGCACAGCCAGCTCGGCGGGCAAGACTGCAGACCGGATGGGCGCACTCGCTGCCGACCCAGCTTCACCATTCCTGCATCTCTTCATTGTCAACTGCGAGGTTTGTTGGCTGGGTTTTGTTGATGATGGATGGGTTGATGGATGGATGGATGATGTGTTCGGTGTGGCGGTTGCTCGGTTTGGGTGTTTGGTCTGGGAGCTCCATTGGAGCATTCTGAGCAAATTTGACGGAAACTCTGACTTTTGGCTTGTAATTTTTGGCAACCGATTCGCTTCCGACAACAACAACAACAACAACAAACACCAGGACACTGACCAGTACAAAGCCAAGGTCAAGCAGACCATTGCCGATTGGCTAGAGTCATTCAAGGGCAGTTACAAGCAGGAATGGCTGATCATCTACGCAACCATGCCGACGAGCGCGACTGCCACCAAGCCAAAGCTACAACTCTCAAAGCTTCAGCTTCGCAATGTATACGATCGCATCAAGAGCGACTTTGATGAAAAGAACAACAGGTGCGCACAGATCGAGCAGAAACATCAAAGGAAAGGGGGGGGGAATGTTCCACAATTCTTATGCTTTGTGTGTCGCGTGTCAATGCCTTTGATTCGTTGGTCTGAGCAGATGCATCCAGTTCCGAGGAACAGAGGGCGAGGCAAAGCTGGCCGAATCGTGGGACGAACTCTTTGGCAAGGTGCAAAACTGTCTGATGAAAGCGTTCGACCGCCGGGTGGTCAATCTGGAGGACAATTTGCGAAAAGCCCTTGCCACGCGGCACATGCCTGGCTGGAACTATTGTGCATTTTTCATCATGAAGGTATGGCGTTTGCGGTGTGTGTGTGTGTGTGTGTGTGTGTGTGTGTGTGTGTGTGTGCATGGCAGTCACGCCCTGCCCAATTGTATCGGAACGCAACGCTCACTCGTTTTGTAAAACAGGAGTCGCTTGCCTTTGTGTTTGACACGATGACGTTAGCGGAAGAAGCGCTTTTCCAATATCTTGAGCTGGATGTCTTGTTTGCCGAGTCAGTTGCGCTTGAGCGCTCCAGGAACAACGGTACGGGACTCTTTTTTTTTTTTTTTCTTTGATGGTGGCTGTCGTTCACTTTGAATGCTCACACTGGATCACCTTTCTCTTTCCCCTTCCCTCCTCCCGTTTCTCTTGTCTGGCGCAGGCACTATTTCTTGGATGGAGCACTTTGGAGGAGATCAACCAAACGACGACTCGGCGTCCATTTTCGACCCGTACCGCAAGCCATACCGTGATTTGATTCAACAGAACGCCGTCACCATGTTTGACTTTCGTGTGTACTTGTTTGCGAAGATCGCCTCCTTCTTGCGGCGGTTGGAGCGTTCTCTCGAAGTGACGAGACGCGCCTACGGCTTCATCACTGAGCTCGCCTACACCATGTCGCTGCACTCGCACCTATCGTCCGCTTGGATTAGCTCGTGGGTGTTTTCCTCGTGTCTCGAAACGCTGTCGAGCGAGAGCACGATGGACTCGTTCGTTGACCAGCAAAACGTGGCTGTCATTCGGGCAGACTTGTGCGCATACGCGCGCGAGCAACTCGACCAGCTCGGAGTGCGATGCGGCTTGCTTCCATGCCGCCGCCCGTTTGCGCAACACGCCGCAGTTGAAGAGCTTTTGCATCCACAGACGCCGCCCATGTTTGTCATGAAGAGCAGCCAAAGCGCCACATTCACCCCCTCTGCCACCAAAACACCTCCTCGGCGAAGATCGAGCAGCTCGGGAGCTGCCTATATTGCTGCTATCGCACCACAGGAAGGACCGAGCGGCGCGGCCATCAAGCCAAGCGCATCGGCGTCAGATGTGCACACTTCGCGTGACGCGCCTTCCTCGGATTCCGCGCCGCCCACTGCTCCTACCACAGCCACAGCCACTACCACAGTGGTTCCACTCGATTCTGCGACGAACACCAATCAGTCTGATCGCACCACTCCGGCCGAATTGATGAAGCATATTACGAGCCCGAAGCTCCGGATGGCGTTGGACTCGCCAGACGCATTCGATGCGCTGTATGCACAGCTGTGCGAGCTCGCGATGGACGAGTGTGTTCGCTCGATGCGATCGCGTCAAATCCTTCCGATCAAGCACATGCTTGCGGAGCTCATGTTCCACCGTGGTCACTACGAGCACGCCGAGCAATTGTTTGGAAGCATGTGCGACTTTTACCTGCATGAAGGCTGGCCGATTTTGGACTTTGATGTGCGCCGCAAGTTTTCCGTCTGCCAAAAGCTCCTTGGGCACTTTGAGGCTTACTCGCGGTCCTGCATGCTGCTCAGTTCGACGATTGCGCCGCTGCCGTTTGCGGATCGGCTCTACTACTTTCGCGAGCTCATGGGTGCTGCGCATCCCGACAACTCTGGTACGCAATCTATTCGCTGCAGCTTCAATCAGCTGATTGCTGTCCAAACGGGCCGCTTGTGGCATGCGTCTGCGTTTGACGAGTGGATTGGCAGTCAGACTGTGAAGCGCACCACTCTGGCCCACACATCCGTGCGCCGATCTTCAGTGGCGAATCAAATTGATGTTACGCCGACAGATGAAGGAGCCGCAACTGCCAGCACCTTACTGGTAGAAAAGGCCGTCTCGCTCTTGGGCGCCCGCCCGTATGCCGAGGCCTTCCGCGCCACAGCGTCCAGTGCCGGCTATCAGTTTGATGATGTTTCCCTGGACGACGGAAGCTTTGCGGCGTCATTCTCATTAACAACCCTGGCCGCAGCATCATCAGCATCATCAGCTGCAGCAGCAGTAACAGCAGCAACAGCATCATCAACAGCAACATCTTTTTCAACAACAACGACAACCACAACAACAACAACACCTTTCGCAGCATCAACGTTACCAGAGTTGAACAAACTCCAATTTTCTCGCTCGCTCAAGCCATCCGCAGCGCCGCTGCGCGCTCCTACCTCGCTTGAAGTGGCCGCGTGGGACCACCAAGTGCGGTTCCAGGCAAGCATGCAGAACGCAGAGGTTGTGCCGACCTCGGGCGTCCATTGGACATCCGAGCTGCCGGCTACAGCCTGGCCCTACCCTCCCGGGCATTTGCATGGTCGACTGCTCTCTGTGGTTGGTCAAGCCGTTGTTGTTCCACTGACCATAACGAGTCACTTTCCTGAAGCTCTGCCATGTCAAGCTCTTCGCGTGTTCCTCACGTCTGTTGAAACGGAGGTCAAGGTGACGGAAGCACCAGCCGTTCCGACGAATGCGGGTTTCGGAGCTCCAGGCCAAGGGGAGATCAGTGATTCATCGAGCTTTGCGTCTGCATCCATGCAGCGCAGCGCTAGCGGATCCAATCTAACCGGCGTCGTTGTTGGAAGCACCTCCGCAAGTACCAATTCCTCGGCGGCAACTCCCAGCTCTGGGCCCAACTCGTCCCGATTCAGTTCGCCTGCGCTCTCTGCATCACCGTCAACCCTCTCCAAGCTGATGAAACGAGCGCCTCCTGCTCCGTCTCCCGCTGCTCCGTCTGCACCAAGCTCGAGTGGCTCATCGGGATCCGGCGCATCCACAACACCGCACGCTTACGCTGCGCCAGCCTCAGCCGCCGCCCCTGCTAGCAACGGGACAAATCAACTCGCAGTCGGCGCATCGACTTCTTCCCTGTCGGGACTGATGAGCGCAGCCACCGGATTCTTTGGCCGATCGTCGCCTGGGCTTTCCACAAGCACCACTACTGCAGCTGCTTCGACCAGTGCTGCTGTTCCGAAAGACCCTGTTGTGGTGACCGCTGCGACACCACCACCTTTGATCCCGGTTTCACCACCCAGCTCTGCTGGAGCCACGTCCGCGGAACAACAAGCTGCTGCTGGCAACGACAAAGCCCAGATGCTTGATGTGGCGAGTCCGTTGAACAACCGCTCTCGATCGTCATCCATCTCAGAGGGCAGCGCGGCAGCGGCAGCAGCAGCTCGGTCACGCGCTTCCAGCGGCATTATTGGCGACACTACCCTCGATCGACGATCGCCGGCCTTCTCACAGGCAGGAATCGACGCTGCAGAGTTTGCGCAGATTATCGCTGCTGGCCCAAACGGTGGCCCCGCTCCTGTTTCCAGCACCCTCTTGCCTATTCCGCAGCAGCAACGAACTGTGACAACTCAATTCTACAGTGTGCAGCTGGAAGTTGGTGACTTCATTTTGCAGCCAGGCGAGAACACTGTCGCATTGCGAGGAATCATGCCGATTGCCGGTCTCTTCCGTTTCGGCGCCGTTCAGCTCGTGAGCGACAACCTGACCCTGACATCGGACGAACTGTGGTCTCTCCCGACTTCCGTTGCAGTGCATGTCGAGCCTCTCAAACCCGCGTTGGGGATTGCGCTCGTCCCACCTGTGCTTGGATTTTACTGTGCGCTCCAGGAGCAGGAGCTGCAGGTCGAGGTGGCGTCGCATTCTGACGGCATCAACGGCGGACGCCTCGAAATCGATTTTGCTTCCTCCATGGTGCAGTTGCAAGCGGCATCTGTGCGTTTGCGTCACCGGTTGTCTGTGACACCGTCCACGCCTGAAGCCGATCAAGCCCTCCTGCCGTTCGTTCCAGACACGATTGGATTTGACGGCCGGTGTGTTCCATTGCTTCCTCTCGAGGAGCACACCAGTCTTCGCATGCACCTCCCTGTCATGTGTTCACGGCGCGGTGTGCCATCGGCCGAGGTGGGTTTGGGTTGTTTTGGATTGCGCACGTTGATTTGCTCTGGGTGTGTGTGTGTGTGTGTGTGTGTGTCATCTTTGAACTGACTCGATTGTGCTTTGGGATCTGTTTCCATTTCCCAGATGGTGACCGTCAAGGCAGAGTACATGAATGCAAATGGCATCCCATGCTCGACTTGTGTTGAGCTTCCAGCAGTCACTGGCGACCCATTCGATGCGCAGTTTGTCATTGAAACATTTTCCCAGCGGTGAGTCTTTCGTGCGAGGTTTTGGTATCGATCGCAACGCCCGCAGTTACTGACACTTTGTTACCCTCATCAACACAGCGCATGCGTCCAAGTTCGTTTGAAATCGCACTGTGCCGTGCCAGTGAAATTGCTGTCAATCCAGCTCACGACATCCAGGCCCGGAGCAGTGCTTGTAAGCGGCAATGCCGCCCTTGTTAATCAGACGCTCGCTCCGGGCTCGGAGGTTTCGCTTGCGTGGGTCGTCACACTTCCCGCGGATGGTAAGCGGGGCTTGGTGACACTGCCGAGATGGATTTGCCGTCGCCCTCCCCCCCCTATTTTCTGACGTGCGTTGCACTCAATCTTGATACAGGGGTGGCTGATTCCAAGACCGATTTTGAGCTTGCCGTGAGTTTCGGACTGGACGAAGCTGTGCTCGCACCATTCCAGCTTACAGCAATGGATGTGGTGCCGACTGTGGATAAACCTTGGACATTCCGAACCACGCACCAGCTTGAATCGTGGATGGTAATGTTTGACGGCTTTTTTTGAGTTGGAAAAGACAATCACTTGCTCTGACTTTTTATGTTTTATTCTGTTTGGTGTTGCTTCCTCTCTGCTAGCCGCCCTTTACCGTGGATATGGCGCCATCAACCACACCTCTGGAGCGCAGCAATTCTGCGTTGCTTCCAGGACACCGACGATCCCGGACTGTGGAGCACAGCACTCTTGTTCTGGGCGAAGCAACTTCGTTTGAAATGCGCATTCGGCGTGTGGCCCAAAACACTCTGCCAGCAGCGCCTTCTTCGATATACTACACTCTGCAGGTTCGTTCCGATATGTGGATGGTGGCCGGGCGCGACCGCGGCGTGCTCAAGTTTGACACTTCCAACGAGGAGGAAGCCGTCGTGCAGTTCTCGCTCATCCCGATGATGAGTGGCGATCTCCTTTTACCAAATGTGGAACTTTCCAGCTCCTCGACTCGAGAAGCTCTCTCTCATCGGTCCTTGTACCGATCGCGTCAGCTTGCAGTGCGATGAAAATCTGTTTCTGGGGCTGGCTGCACATTGTGGAATTTTGCCAGGCTCCTAAAACCCTTCCTCTCGTCCCCAAGGTTTTGCTTTTACGAACAGCCATTTTGTGAAGGGCTGATGGGCATTGTTGATGGTAAACTTGTCACAACTAAACAACAAATGATGCAAACACCGATCAAATGTTGAAGGCTTGGTCCATTTTGCCATCAACGACGAACTAGAGATTCTGTCAAAAACAAGAAGACTCAGAGATTGGGAAATTGCGCTGCCACCAGCACAAAGGGGAGCTTGGAAGTACGAGCACAAGGCGGGGAAGGGGGAACGACTTTGCGTCGTTTTTATTTCCCACCGTCGTCTCCTCTTTCGCCTCCGCGCTCACTGTTCCCTTCCCCGCTCCTTCACCACCCACCGATTTAAACTGCGTCTGAAATCCCCTTCTCTCCATGTTTGTCGCGTGCATGCGACAAAAGGTGGTCGACAAAAAAAAAAAGTTCATTGCCGACTGGTGATTTTTGCGTTGGTTTTGTCACTTTTCGCGCGCGTGCGTTCATGTGTCGCGTCTCAACTTTTGACACGATTGTTTCGCGTTCGAACGTTCGCATAGTTTGCCTTTCGATTGAAACACAATCCTTTTTTTTTTTTTTTTGTTTCTATTGGATTTTTCCATTCACTCTTTTTTTTTTTTTTTTTTTTTTTTTTTGGTACTGTTCGAGCGCAACGATGAGCGCGATGGACACTTCGCACGCCGGCGCTGGCGAGGGCTCTGCCGCGCCTCATGGCTTGCCTGTGCCGTCGCACACATCACCAGCGGAAGGGTCTTCCTCGGCTTCGCACGCTGGCACAATGCACGGCATCGAGCTATCAGGTAACAAAAAAAAAAAAAAAAACGCGCCAAAGCTTTCGGTTCTTGTTTGCCTCGTTTAGCCATAGCCAGGCGACGTGACCCTTCCAAGGTGCTTGTTCTGAGGCCTACAGCTGGTCTATTGCAACCAAGCAGCCCTGCAGTTGGGCGGCGAGTCGTAGCAGCGCTGCAGTGCGACGAACACTTCTTATTTATTTATTTTTATTTTACGACTGTATTTTTTTTTTTTGGCGGGAAACTCTTTTTTTGCGCTTTGATTCTGATGGATGGCTCATTGTTAACTTTGCGACTGACTGCTGACACCACGATGCGCGATACAGAGGTGTATCTGATGATTGCACGATTCCTCAAGACTGGACCGTGCTCGGAAGCCGCGGACGTACTCACAAGGCAGATGGAGCGCACGCCAGGGCTGATCGCTAGCCGCCACGACTGGACGGGCGCCGCACATCCACGCTCGTTTTCAGAAGCAGTAAGTTTCATTGAAGTGCAGTTCTTGGTTTTTGACTTCGGACGGACGGGTCCTGCTGTGGAGAATATCGCGCAAGAGCGTTCTCTCAAAAACCTCTGTGTGCTTTGCGTTTCTCTCTTTTCCCTGCTGGTCTAGGAGCAGGAGGAGGAGGTCGCCCCAGACCATCTTGTAAGATTGCTGTCACAACTCGTTAACACAACCAATGCGGCCATCCCGCCGCCGGCACCTGGGCTGAACACTCTCCTGGGGCGAGGAGCTTCTTCCATGTTTCGAAAGCCATCCGCCTCAGGCCTGTCCAGCGCTGCGAGGCTGCAAGTGCCTGGAGAGCTTGCCGCCTTTCATCGCGCACATCATCGCACATCCTCCTTCTTGCAAGGCGACTTGCTGCGTGGTCTGCAAACGCAGGGTGTCGGTAGCCCATTCTCCAGCTGCCGTCCAACCATCGCGGGTTCGCTCAACCGGATGAAGCTGCGTGCGGCCATTGTCGGCCATCTGGCGCCAGTGTTTTGCGTTGCATTCGACGTGACAGGCGAGCGCTTCATCACAGGCAGCGACGATAAGCTGATTAAAATCTGGTCGACCAAAGCGTGTCTTTTGGTCAACACCCTGCGCGGCCACACGGGTTTTGTGGTCGATCTCAACGTCAGCAGCGACAACAAAATGCTTGCCAGTGCTGCGCAAGACAGAAATGTCCGCGTTTGGTGTCTGGAAACTGGCGCGCTACTTCTCAACCTGAATGTGAATGGCAAAGCGGCGACCTCAGTCGCGTTCAGTCCCGCTTGCCACCTCGAGTCCAGGCTTTTGATGGCTTCCTGGTCTGACGGCACGGTTCGATTTTGGGCACTTTCGGTCACCGAACGTGATAACACTGCCGTATCTATGGTCGCGACAAGCAGCGCTGCGGCTTCTTCAGCAGCCTTGGCGAGTGCACCCATGCCAGAGTCTCCAGTGACTGTTCGAAGGCGAGGTCGACCTCCTCTCAGCTCTCGCCTGTCGGCTGCCCCTCCACCAACAGCTGGCAACGCAACGCTTTTCTCGCAATTCGAAGGTGCAGCAGCAGCAGCAGCACCAGCCGAAGAAAGCGTCTCCGCTGCAGCTGCAATTCCCAACCCGAATCAGCATGAACCATCCATCCTCCCAGCAGACCCGCAGCAGCAGCAGCAGCAACAGCTGCAGCTACAACTGCAACAACACCAGCAACAAGTGCAACAACAGCTGCAACAGCAACAACAGCCACTCGCCGCATCGTGCGACTCGCCGATTGAGGTGACAGTGCGGGAGACTGCCCTGTTGGAGACTCGCACGTCCATTCGAGACAGCGTGAATTGCTCTGCATTTTCGCCGGGCGGGGCTTTTCTGGTCGCGGTGGGCAGTGACTGCATTGTGCGTGTGATTGAGTGCGTTCCGGTTTTGCGGATGCTCGAATTTCCGGACGTCCACACGTCTCCGATCACCAGCTGTGTTTGGTCGCCCAGCGCGCTTCGGTTTATCACAACTGGCAAGGCAGGCCAAGCTTTTGTGTGGACTCGTTCCAAGGACTCGTGGGTTCCTCGTGCGCTCGATATGACACACGCAGTCGTCCCTGCATTTACGTGCGGACTGGACACTCTGTCAGGGACGCTTGACGCGCACGCAGCCCCGTCGTCGTCGTCGTCCGCAGTGACAGTGGTCGATGAGGATGAAATCGTTCATGTGCACGACGACGGCGAGCCCGCAGCTGAGAGCAGTGCGGTGAATGCCAATCCTAACGCCAGCCAGCCGCCGCCAATCCATCTTGAAAGCGAAGATAGTGAGGATGAGGGCGAACGACGAATGGAGAAGGCCCGATCTCGCGCTCGACGCCTCCTGAAGGAAGCCAACTCCTTTCCCCACTCTCAGACGCCGCCCTATGATGCCAGCGTTCGTGAGGTGTTGATGGCTTGCTTCACGTGTGACAACATGCTCCTTGTCACTGCCGAGTCGGAATCCAGAAGTCCTCCCGTGCTGTTAAAAGTATGGGATGCTCTCACCGGCGAGTTGCTGTGTGTGCTACGAGGCCACACTGAGAGCGTCATGTGCCTGGAGGCCCACCCCACACATCCGCGTGTCTTCCTCAGCTCCAGCCACGACGGACATCTCATTCTCTGGGATTTGCAGAAGGGACTACCGATGCGAGTCTTTTCCAACGTCGTCGATAATGGCGTCCGTGCCTCTGAATTTTTTGATGCTCGCTTCTCGCCAGACGGCACAACCGTTGTCGTTTGTGATGGGTATGGCCGCGTGTCAATCTTTGGGACAGATCCTGTGGCGGATCCTGAGCGGGTTCCTTCAGAGCAGTTTTTCAGCAACGACTACGGCGCGCTCGTCCGAAACGAGGCCGGGGCGTACGTGGACGAGCTGACGCTTCTGCCACCACACCGTTGCGCACGGACGGGGCTGCTCACCAACATGCAGAATGGACCGCATCCGCCTGCCATGCAGGCAGACCCGAGTTATCGCGACATTATCGTTCCTGTGCTTGATCCAGTGGCATTAGCTCGCGCAGTCCAAGACTGTCGTGCCATGCTCAATCACGAGCTCGAAATGGCTCGCCAGCCACTCACCCGTGTTGCTTCCACCATGGCAGACCGCGCTGCGTCGCCAGCCACATTCACCAACTCGCCGGTTCGGCGCGACAATCAGCCAAAGCGACCCCGTGCTCGCCCTCCAGCAGCTTCTGCACGGAGCACTGCGGCCGAAACCATCCATGCGCCTGACGATGGCCTTTCTGAATCGTCCCAGTCTGACGCTGGCGATCAGGACGACGACGACGACGACGAGTTGGACGGGACCTATGACGTCTCGCCAGCCGAGCAAAGACGAGCAGAGCGACACGAGCGTCGGCGCTTGCGACGACTTGCTGGCATCGCCCACGCTACCGCCGCTTCTGGAAGTCGCTCGACGCGTCGAGCGGCCCGAGGCGACGGCGATGACGGTGGACGTTCATCGCGTGGTCGCTCGCGGTCGAGTCGTGGAAATGGCTTTGTGGCGAGTGACGACGAGGAGGACGAAGCGAGCGACTCGGAGGACGAGGAAGACGAGGAGGCAAATCCGTCCTTTGACGACAGTTCGAGCGACTCGGAGATTGACCTGTCCGACAGCAGCGAGTCCAGCGAAGCCGAAGCGTCATCATCAAAACCCTCTCATTCCAAGGCCAGTGCGGCAGCGCCGCGCAAACAGCAGGCACCAGGCAAAGCTGCTGCCAGCCTTGTCGGGTATGCCCATCCTTCTCGCATCTGGCGCGAGCCCAAGGCGTACAATGGGCTGTGGAAGCAAGTGCAAGCCATCGCCTCAGCGCCCAAGTTTAACGTCCAGCAGTACTTGCCCGGTCCGTGGCTCACTCAGACCCAGCCGAGCTTGTCGCCCTATGTCCCGCAGCTGGACGACGAGCTCGTGTATCTCCGCGCAGGGCACGAAGAGTATGTGCGCGAAGGCTCCAAGTTCCACACTCCCGGCACGACAAACATCAACCCGTGGCAGCGCTATCCCGGCTTGACTGGCGCAGTCTTTTGCCGAGTGCTGAGTGTCGAGTACTTGGTTGGCCCTCCGGCAGTGTGCCACTTGAAGCTTGGTGTGTACGAAAACCAGAGCTGGTCGTTCGCCCAACAGCTCGAGTACCTGAACGCCTTCTACCGGCTTCGCCAGTTTGGCGACTTGTCCATTTCCGCTCACGTGGCCGACGGGCCTGCGACGCTTCGCGCCAAGCAGGCTCTTCGCGGCGCCTCGCCTCTGGACGACCGAGGCATGGCTTTGGTCGGCCTGGAAGCGCTCGATTCTCGCGGTTTCGCGCCCTATTTGCATCGCGCCGAGACCAAATTCCAGATTTCGTTTGCCTTCCGCTATGCAGATCTCGATGAAGTCGCCGATTTTCTCGTGCTGCGGTCGCGCTTTTTGCAAAGCGTGGCCAACCTCCCGCCGGTCGGCGGCCAGGTTGTCTGTTCGTACGGCGAGGAATGGTTTTCGGGCTCGGTTTCTGATATCGATCCCAATGCCCTGCCCGTGAGCGGCGGTGCTGGCCCTGGATTCAATCCATGGAACGGGCTCTCAATCAGGTTTGACAACTCGGACGAGCCGGACACGCTGTCGCCGTGGGATTTGTATCCTGCAGATCCTACTGCCATCCACGAAAACCCGCTCGACCCCTCCGGGCGGACTGTAATGGTGGATCAGCGAGTGTGGCAGTGGCCAGAGGCGATTTGCCAGCTGGAGGTGCAACGGATTGTGGCGGGTCTGAACCTCGTTTGCTTCTTTGACTGGGTTGAGCCGTTCGTGGAGGCTGTGGATTGGAATCTCTATCCCGACTACTACGTGATGATCCAGTACCCCATGTACCTGTCTCTCATTCGCAAACGCCTGATTTCGGGCTGGTACCGCAGCAAGGATGCGCTCATCTGGGATGTGCAAATGCTCATGATCAACGCCACGACCTACAATCCCGACAAGTCTCTGCTCTTCAAGTACGCCACCGTGCTGTTTGCCGGCTTGGTGGAATTCATTGTCACGCCTGGGCTGGGCGTTCCCAACCTGGCGGTCGAGATGGATTTTGACCGAGCGGCAGCGAACGCTGGGCCATTGGTGGTGTCGTTGGGCAAAATACGACCTGAATTGAACTACCAACGCAAGCCTAAAGGTCCGGCCGCCAGTGCCGCCAAGTCCAAGCCTCCGGCTCGGTCGGCTCGGCGCCCTGTCGACAGCGACGACGACGACGACGACGACGACGACGAAGATGTCTCGGTTGATGATGATTCTGATTCTGATGACAGCACTGCACGCCGCTCCAAGTCAAAGGCTAGGTCTGGATCTCATGGCAAGGCATCTTCTTCAGCTGGCAAGGCCAGCAAGAAGAGCAAGGGCGCCGTAGTCCCGAAACGAGGGCGAGGAAGGCCCCCCAAGCCCAAGTACACGTATTCCGATGACGACGAAGAGGAGGAAGCGGCAGGCGACGACGACGAAGATGACGAAGATGGCGACATGGCAGGCATGGACGATGGCGATACTTACGATGGATTTGCCGAGGACGACAACGACGAAGCCGAAAGCGGTGGTGGTGCTGCGGCTACTGCTGCGTCTTCTGCGTCTTCGAGCGCACGTCGCAAGCGTCCTGCTGTTGCGTCCTCCGATGACGACGACAGCGAGTTTGACGGCGATGAAGACTCTCATCCGAACAAGCGTTTGCGCGTTGCGGATTGAAGCAAGTTCCAACAACGACGTTGAACTGATTGATTTCTTTTGCGGGTTGTTTTCGAAAAGGACGACCGCCACATTGCAATACATTTTTTATTATTCACCATTCCAATCTTGCTCTGTTCTTGGGGGACGGGGACGGTTGATGTTCCTATTGACGACGAAGAGCAGCAAGCGTTGAAGAGCAAAACTCGTTGCATCCAACTTCCATTCCCCCCCCCCAATTCCACTCTCATCCGACTCTCCTCCGACATTCATCCAAAATCCAATTCAAATCTATATTCCTTGCCTTAGTTCTTTTGTTGTGCCTTTCATTTCGCAGAACTCAGTCCTGACTTGTGTGTGCATGAACACTGACCGTACTTTCAAGCTCGTCTCGACCAGCGCACGGCGAGGTGGGCCGCAGCATGGCGCGTCATCCTCGGCCGCCCCGACGCCACCCGCGGCAGTGTTTGATGCGCTCCTGTCCACTGCGTTGGCTGACGCTGGGTGGGAGGCCCTGCTGCACCGCGCAACGCTGTCTGCTGATGCTTTGGGACTGACACCGAGCAATGGCAACGCGCACGGCGGCCAGAACGGCCAGGCGCACGGCAGCCAGGCTCGCGTAGCAACGAGGCAGACGCGCCAGGCTACTCGAGACGCGACGAACGGCGCCGGACACGCGGCCGATGGGTCGCCGGGGCAGCCGCAGCTCGAGGAGGACGCCGAGCCGGATGCCGTGGACGCAGACCTCGCGTTCCCGACCTCGCTTGTGCTGGACGCTGTGCATGCCGTGAAACAGCGCCAAGACGCACTCAAGGGCACCCGAGCGCGGGCAGGAGCAGCCGCAGGGACCGCTGCACCCCGTTTCACGCTGTTTCACGTCAAGGTGACGGAAGGCTTTGAGCGCTCGATCGACAAGCTCTTCCCGCCAGAAGGACGCCGTTCGGCTGCAGCAGTTAGCTCGGCAGGTAAAGCTCCACCGGGCAATGCGCGACCCACGCCCGAGAGCGATGCGGCCAACCTGGCGCTCATGGTGACCGACGCCCCGAGCCTGGCATCGCCGTCTGAGGCCAACCACGACGATGCCGTGCATCCATCCAAGCGGCCCCGCATGTCCATTGAGTTTTCTTCCGACGGGACTGTCGATTCGAGCGGAGTATGCTGTGATTTGCTTGTTTGATCGTTCGTTGGATTTGTGTTTTCGCGCACTCACTTGCAGTTTCCCGCACAGGTACTGCGCGTGGATGATGACTTGTTCGGCTTTACGACGATTTTTGCACAGGCCCAACAACAATCGGCACTGGACTGTCTCCGGCTGCATCAGTCAGCAGACACTATTTATTCGCTCGGATCCATGGACGATCGACTCGTCATCAAGCCGCTCCTGACCCAGGAACTTGCTGCCAAGACTCGCGCTCGTGAAGAAAAGCTTCAGTCCGAGCGGCACGCAAAGACGTGAGTGTGCTCTGTGAGAAGTTTAGCGAGTGCTGCTCCATTATTTTGGCTCAATTTTGTTGTTTGTTTTTCCAACCACCACCACCACCACCACCACCACCACCACCACCACCACCACCACCACCTCACCTGAACAGAACTTTAACTCTCAATTCCGAACCGAGTCGTCCGTCTGACACGCGCTCCGGGACCTCCTTGATCCACAAGCGCCTCGGAGTATCATCAGCCTCGGGCGTATCGGCTGCAACAGCCAACGCACGGCTTGGGCGAATATCGCCACTGCCACCCATGCAAACAGCATCGCGAAACACAGCTGCTACTGCTGCTGTTACAGTGGACCATTCACCAATTGCTGCTTCAACCAGGAATCGGGGAGCCGCCGCAGCCGCACCTGCCAAAATCCCAATGCCCAAGCTGTCTCTCCAAGATTTGGTGGCCCATCTTCTTGTGGCTCGACCAATACCAAAGGAGGAATTGCATCGCCTTGTCTTGGAGCATGGTCTGAAGCCAACGAAAGAGGCTTTCGATGCGGTGGTCCAGCAGGTTGGTTTGCTTCTTTTTGTTTTGTTTGTTTGTTTTTTTCGTTTCGCTTTGTGTCTTTGAACTGCCACCACTGCTCGGACCCAACGGCATCCAATTCGTCGTGCTCATTTGTATCGACATCTGCGCTTGTGCCACTCTTGACCGGCAGGTGACCAAGATTGACGCGCAGAAACTCTTGTTCCTGCAAACCGCCTTCTATCAAACTTTGCATCTCGATCTACCCATTTTCAACGCTACTGAAAGGAAGTACGCATACTCGCGCGTCCAAACGGTACTTGAAAAGTTGCGCGTTGGTCCAACTGAGCCACTTCGGTACGATCATTCATTCTTGTATTCAAATGGGTTTGCAATCAAGTACTAACGAACTCGTGCGCCCCTTCTGGCACGCCCCTTTTTGCAGGATGCGGTTTGAGGAAGAATACAAGCGTGGTGTCGCTGCGGACGAAGCACTAGCCGCGTCTACAGCACCTGCACCCGCAGCATCCTTCGGGCCACCATCCGCGCGTGCCAGCGTTGCTCGTCCCCAAACTGCCGCTCCTTCCATCACCACCTCCGCCACCCCTCCCGCGAAAACATCCCCGCGATCAGCAAAGACTGGCACGGCAGCAGCCACAGCCGCAGGCAAAGCTGGCAAAGGGGAAGGTGCTGCTGCCACTGTTGCTGCTGCAACTGCACCGCCGTCAAGCGAGCTCGTGCAAGCTCGTGCAAACTTCACTGCGAAATACGCAAAGTATATTGCTATTGAACAGCAGCTCAAGGATAACCATGCCGAGTTTGCGGCGATTGGAGAGCAAATGAAGCAGTACGAGCAAGGCGATGCGAGGCGTTCGGTTCTCGAAGAGAAAATTCAGCGGCTCTTCCAAGAGCGCTCAAAGGTATGGACACAATCAACAAGCTGCTTTTATCGTGTCAAGAACGATTCACATGATATGAACTGACTTGATGGTTTTTTGTTTTGTCATGGTGGCAGAAAATGACTGCAATCCTGCAAGAACGCACAGAGTTGCACGTTTGGTTGAAAGCTGAGAAACTCCGAATTCAACAGATGAGCGACGCAAGTGGTCAGTGAGCCGCGTTCGGTGCCCGTTTCCAAACTGTCGTCGCTGTCTTCGCTTCTTTTGTCCTTTTAATGTAACAGTACATGGCATTCCCGATGTATTACAAACACAGATACATATTAGTGTAGCACTCACCAAGCCAGAAAAACCGAAAATAACAACACGACGCAAGCGCAAAACGGAAAAACAACCAGACATCAGAGAAGCAAAGCGAAAAGGTTTACTCGAGCTCGAGAGCTTCTTGGATGTCCTTTTCCCATGCGGCATCTGACAAATCTAGGCGGCGGCAATCGGCAGTAGCAGCAAACACCAAACACGAAAAAGGGACCAAACAGCATCTAGTGTCAGGACTCGTCAACAACGTGCCAAATCCAGAGACAACAAAACCTTCTTACCGCTAGAATCGTGCAAAACAGCATCGTTCAGCTCTTCCGCAATTTCATGCTCCCAGTCAACATTGTCATCTGCAAAAAGAAAAGAAAGAAAGAAAAAAAAGGACGAGCAAGATTCAATCAGATTTGGCCCCCAAAAGTGCTTTCCATCACAAACTTCACCTACCAGGCGAATCGGACGCGCTCAGAGATGAGCTGCTGGCGACAACAGGAGTTGTCACTGGGGCCAGCTTGAGGGGCGATACAGCGGGAGGAACGACGTGCAGAGTGTCGCTGACAAATTCGGCCGTGCTGGGCTGCGGCGGCTCGTAGATTTCAGCGGCTGAGGGTGCACGTTTGCGCGCTTGGGAAACTGGCGTAGCCACTCCGCCAGCGGCGGCAGCAGCAGCCGCAGCAGCCGCAGCAGCAGCTTGTTGCGGAGCCGCGGCGGGGGTTGCAGGCGCGCTGAGTTTGCTTTCAGATAAGGCAGCAATTTGTGGAGCAGCAATGGCCGCTGCGATTGGCGGAGCAACCGGTGTGGTAGAGCCAGAGGAGGCCGCACTATGAATAGAACCAGCGTTTGCGTGGACAAGCGCGGTGAGCTGACTGGACTGCTTGACCAGCGAGACGCGGTAAAAGTAGTTGCGCCAAAAGTCTGACTCGGCAATGTGCTTTGGCACCAACTCGAAGCGCATCTTTTCGAGCTCGGGGTCCTCGCGAAGCGTAGCAAGAGCAGTGGGTGCGAAGCGTTCAAAGTCAAACACCACTTGCGCGCCTTTCGGCGGGCTGGTCAAAAAGTTGCGGCGGTCGGAAGACAGCGATAGGATTTGCGCCTTCATCTCGGCCTCTTCGTGATACCCAACCCATGGTGGTACTCCCTGCGACACGGCAAAAGCAAACAGCATCGGTCGCAAACTCAAAATGAGACAAAAAGCAATCGGAATTGACTTGACAGTTGGGGTTGTTCGATTGAGCACGACGTACTTGACCAACATGTTGGCGTTGGCGATTCTTTTCTTGGACAAACTTTTGCTGCTCTTCTTCGAACGATGCAATGAACGAAGTGGTCTCGACGTTCTCCTGCACAAATGTACAAAGAGCACAGAAGCACATCAAACAGGTCAAATTCAAGACAAACTGCTCGACCTTTCCCGCGCCATAGCATTCACTTTTGGGTTTAAGTTGGCCGGAGCATTTGTTACCTTGATTTTATGAACGACTGTGTTGATGTTGCCGAGCGCTGACGACGCGAACGAGCTCAAGTTGCCGAATGCGAATGAGCCAAACGCCGACACCTTGTCACCCGCGCGCGCTTGTCCCGTGGCAGCAGCAGCGGCAGCAGCGGTAGCAGCAGGGTTGGCCTCGTTATTGACAGTGGTCGCGGCGGCATTGGGAGCAGAGCTGCTGGTCGCGTCGTCGGACTCGGGCTGCTGAGGAACGATGACGCTCGAGCGCAGCGTGGCAGAAGCAGCAGATGCGCCAATGTCGCCGCCACGGCCGCCCGCACTGGTATCCGACGATGAGCTGGACGCATTGACGGGCGCACTGGCAGCACCCGTGGCGGAGGCAGAGGCAGAGGCAGAGGCAGAGGCAGAGGCGGTCGTCGGCTTTGTCGAACCAGCAGCAGCAGCACCACCCGCAGCAGCACCGGTCGTCGTGCTACTGGACTGTGTGGTGCTGGTGGAAGATGAAGAAGACGAAGCGTCCGACAGTGAACTCGTCAACGCCGACCAAGCGCCCCAAAGCGACATGCTGCGAAGAAGAAGAAAACAAAAAAAAAAAAAAAACAAGAGTGAGATTCTGAGAATCTGAGAATCTGACAAGAATAGGAAAGAGAGCCAGGGACGATTTTACGCTGCAAGTGACATTCTGAGAACAGCTGCTTCTTCTTCTATTCTTATTCTTCAGTTCATCAAGTTCAGTCACTCTTCTTTACGATGGCGGACTTGTTTGAGACGAACGCGGACGCGCCTCATCGCGGCGACTGGGCAGACGACGACAGCTCGTCCTCATCTGACGACGACAACGACAACGACAACGACAACAACTCTTACAACAACAAGGCCAAGCAGGAAGCGCCGCGGCTGCTGCAGTACTTTGACGGCGACGTTCCGGCAGTCAACCCCGAGCGCAAGTCGCGCCGTCGTCGCGCGTACCTCGCAGGCCAGCAGCCCCCGCAGTGGACTTGGACTCCAGCACCATCACCATCAGCATCAGGCACAGGAGCAGCGCAGCAGGCGGACAGGCGGCTCCAGGCGTCGCTGCTGGTTGTTGGCTTTGGCCGCGCTGGTGCAATGTACGCCTTTCACCGCTTTGCCACTGCTGGTGCTGTTAGTGCTGCTCAGGGGGTGCCCGAGCTGGTGGCGTCAATGACGAGCACGGCGGCAGCAGCCAAGCCGCAGCCCAAGAGCGCCGTCGCCATCAAAGCAGCAGGCAAGTCTCAGAGTGTTTGACCGGTCGCCTTTTTTTGATGGTGAACACTTCTCAGAAGATGCACAGATAAAGGAAAAGCGAAAGAGCAAAAGCATCGAGAAACATTTTTGTTCGAGTTTCTGGAAAAACCAAAACTCTTAACAATTTCGAGAAACTTGTCGTTTTCAAGTGAAGCTGGAGCGAGGTTTCCCCCCTCACCCTTCCCAGCTCCTGTCTGTTTATGCTGGTCTGGTTTTGGGATGGTTTTGGATGGCGGGAGGGAAAGGGGGAGTGAGTGCAGAGCGGAACGGAACGGAACGGTTTTGTTTCAATCTGAAACACTCGCTCTATACGTGGAGTGAATGTGATCCGGGGAGGTTGAGGTTTGGATTGTGACCAAAGACACGGATCGATCATCAACGGCAGTTGGTTGGATTGATTCTTTTACTTTTTTGATGCTTGAAGGATGGATGCAAACTCACAACGCGCAAAACGTTTCGTTTGTTTGGTTTTGTTGCTCCCCGCTCTCCGCTCCCCCTTTCCTCCAGCGAAAGAATTTTGCCACATTTATCGAAATTCAGCACTGCCTGACCTGCTAGTGTGCGCAGTCACGGCACCGGTCTCCCCGAGCGAGGCATTCGAATTTGCTGCTACACTTTTGACACATGTGCATGCCGATCGCGTTCTTGCGTTTGATGCCGCCCTGAAATCCAGCATAAATGGTCTCTACGATGACCCGGAGAACGACGACAGCGACTACGACTATGACAGCGGCCATCGTGGCGCTCTGGTTTGCGCATTGGCCACTGCCGCTTGGCGCCGAGACGGTCGTCTGCCTGCGCGTGCTCTGCCCACCGCCAACATGGTGACTGGAGCCCCTGCCGCCCTTTTGTCTCACTGCGAGGTGATTGGCACTCCCGCGGCGTTGCTGCTCGCGCTGCAAGAGTCGGTCGAGATCTCGCCCGAACTCTTGCTGGCAATGGACGCCGTGATCACGAGCGACAACAGCCAACTTGGCACCGTTGCGCCCGCTCTCGCACCACTACAGGCTGATGCCCTTCGTGCGGCGTTCAAGTCTGCCGGACCCGCGTCCGACTCTGCGTTGGCCAGCGTTCCCGGTGCCATTCACTTGGTTCTGTCCGCCTCCACCACCACTGCTGCAACCTTTGTGCGACCCACGCCCGATTCTCTGTACTTGTGAACGATCTTGCTTGTTCCTGAGGTGTGCATGTGTGTGTATGTGCTCTTGTTTGTGTCGAACTACTGTACGCTTCGTTTCTTGCATTTCTGGAGTACGATATTTTTTTGGTCTACTTTCGAGATGCACCATTTTCGGCAAGCGCATTTCCATGTTGAAAACAGTCGTGCTACAAACTTGCGCGCCTCTGCACCGTTTACAGCACACCTCCCCGACTCGATGCGCAGTCGTAGTGGCTTACACAAGTGGCTGACAAAGTGGCTTGCGCACCTCTCCACTTTGCAAAGTCTCGCCAACCCCACCCCACCCCGCCTTCTGTTATTCTTCAAGTATCTTGTCCAAAACTACATCCTATCCTCGACTCAGTCTCAGTTTTTTTCACAGTTCTTCTTCTTCAATGTCATCCATGTCATTGAATCGGACTTGTGTTCCGCTTCGCGCGCTCGCCCTCGCCCTCGCCCTCGCCCTCTCGCTCGTTGCCGCCGTCGCCCTCGCCGCAGACCCCGACGAGCACCGCCCATGCCCCGAGCTCATCACCTCCAAGGGCTATCCGCTCGAGACGCACAATGTGACCACTGGTAACGAAAAACACCTGATCATCAATCAGCGCCGGGCTCGCTCGATTCGGTCGCGGTTGTTGTTAGCGTCCTTCCCTCTCGCTCTCTCTCTCTCTCTCTCTCTACTCCTCACCAACCTCACCCCTCGTCTTCGCTTTCCATACTCATCCACTGTTGCTTTCCATTTCAGCCTCGTTCACTCTGTGCTTGTTTTTTTTCTTTCCCCCTTCTTTTTTCGTTTCGAACCAAAAGCCTTTTAATGATACATCCACTTTGATAAACCGCATTCCTGCAATGTTCGCTTCACACTCGGGTCGTGATCACAAACTAGCGAACATTGTTGCTCGGGTTTTCTGGCTTTTAATCCCTATGCTTGACTGATTCAGCATTCAATGCCACAAACCAATGCAGAAAGAGTTGGTCAAGCTTTTGATTGTTGTTTCACATGTGATTTTTTATTTTTGATTTTTGATTGTGGTGTGTTTTTTTTTCCCAACGCAACCGTTCGTTCGTTCGTTCGTTCGTTCGTTCGTTCGTTCATTCGTTCGTTCTACAGCGGATGGATACATTCTGACGTGCTTCCGTATTCCGGCGTCAAGGACTGGAGCCAAGCCGACTCGTGGACCCGTCATTCTGGGTAACACAATCCTCTGAATTTTCGGATGATTGCTCAAAGCGCGTGCGAAAACGAACAATTCTCACCTTTTTTTTTTTCCTTTTTTTTTTCGGCTTTTGCATGTTCAACCTTCAACCTTGTGAAGCTCATGGTGTGATGGACTCGAGCAACACCTGGGTCATGAACAACGCTGAAGAGTCGCTGGCATTCATCCTCGCAGATGCATCGTTCGACGTCTGGCTGATGAACGTTCGTGGCAACCTGTACGGCCTGCAAAACACCCACCTCTCCACGAACGACGCCGAGTTCTGGGACTTCACCTGGGATGACATGGCCAACTACGACGTGCCTGCTGTCGTCAGCTACGTGTTGAACTCGACCAATGCGACCAAGGTCGGCTACGTTGGCCATTCGCAAGGCACGACGCAAGCCATGGCTGCGCTTTCGCTGCTGCATCCAGAGCTCGCTGACAAGCTGTCCGTGTTTATTGCCCTCTGCCCGGTGGCACACATTGGCCACACCACCAGCCTGCTGCTCAAGGGCCTGGCTGAGCTTCACGCCGACCAGCTTGTGTCGCTTCTCGGGCTCAAGGAGTTCATCCCGGACACCGCCACCCTGCACAAGCTCCTTCCCGCCATTTGCATCCCCGTCCCCTCTCTCTGCGAGGATGGCATCTTCCTGATTGCTGGCTTTGACCAGGCCGATTACAACGTCACTCGCCAACCAGTCTACATGGCGCACTTCCCCTCCTGTGAGTTTTTTCCTGTGAAATGGTACTGTGGTGTCGAGGCCGTGCAAACTCATGCGCTCACTTTTTCTTTGCTTGTCTTCACTTTTTTTTCCTCCACCTTCCCTCCTTGCTTGCAGCCACATCCACAAAGAACATGATTCACTGGGCTCAAGACGTGCGCACAGACAAGTTCCAACGCTACGACTACGGCACTGCCGCGGCCAACCGCCAGCACTATGGCACCGACACACCGCCCCAGTACAATGTTACCAACATTCGTGCCCCAATGGTGGTGTTTGCCGGCGGCCACGACGCACTTGCAGACCCCACGGACGTTGCGCAGCTGATGAAAGAGTTGCCTGCCAATGTCCCATACGTGTCGGTCGAAGCGTACGGCCACCTGGATTTCGTTTGGGGTGAACACGCCAACACGACTGTCTACCAGCAGGTCATCCAGTATCTCCTTTCTCCCCCGCGTACTTCGGTTTAACAGCATGTTGTTTTTGTTAATCCGCGTTGTTTTGCATGCGTCCTTTTCATTACGATGCTTTTGCTGGGCAGCAAATACAGGCCGTTGCCAAATTCAGGAAAACGAAACAAAAATGAACATCTCTAACCAGCTTGTCGATTTTTTTGGAAGTCAACAAAGCACCAAGACACATCACCATCAACACAAAGCGTCTCTAATATCGTGGCCGGTAGTCGCCACGGTCACGATCATCGCGGGGCGCGTAGCCGTTGCGATCGTCAAAGCGGCGATCCCGGTCGTCGGGGCGGTAAGGAGCGCGATCGTCGCGATACATCGGGCGGTCGTCGCGGTAGGGAGCACGGTCGTCGGCACGGTAAGGCGCACGGTCGTCGCGGTAAGGAGCGCGGTCGTCACCGCGGTAAGGAGCACGATCGTAAGGAGCACGGTCGTCGCCACGGTACGGGCCGCGATCGTCACGGTAGTCTCCGCGAGGAGGGTCACGACGGTCGAAATCACGACGGTCGTAGTCGCGACCACGGTCATCGTAGCCGCCGCCATAGCCACGTCCACCGCGGTCATCGCGGCGATCGTCACGACCGTAGCCGCCAGAGCGGTACGAAGGGCCATTGCCGTAGCTGCCGCCGCCTTGCTTTTGGCGAGCTAAACAACAACGACAACAACAACAACAACAAAAAAAAAAAAAGGAGCGCAGAGTGTGAATTCAACGCCAAAAGACGCAACATCGACATACGAGGAGCGATAGTTACCTCCGACGTAATGGCCGGGAGTGGGCGAACGCGGGCGAGCACGACGGGCCTGGTTGCGACGAAGCGGAGAGTTCATCATGTTCAGCATTTCGACCAACTGAAAAAAAAAAAGCAAAGAAAAAAAGCAGCAAAGCGAAAGCCGGTGGCCGAAGATGGCGAATGATGTGATGGATGGTGTGTTGGTGTTGATACTGTTCTGGCAGCCTTTTTTCCCCGACCCAAAAACGGGCGAAGCTGTACGAAAGGTCGAGTTTGGAGGAGGTCGATGCCAGACAAGCTGTGCTTTTGCTTCTGCTCTGGGCTGCTGTCCAACAGGACGTTGCGACCGTTCCACGTTTGCTGCTCTTTCTCCCATCCCGAAACCTCAACCGTGTTGCGAGCAAAGATGAAATGCGGAGACGTCAAAACTGCTTTGGTATTCCGCAGTACGGACAGCACACTGAAAGTAAGGGTTGGTTCGTCGAAGGACTCAAGTGATGCAGAAAACGATACGGCTGTGTTGAATGAAGGGTGGGTGCAGTAAAGTGAAAGAGGAAGACGATGATGATGCTACGACGACGATGCTGCCCGTGTGATTGCTGCAGGACGGCGAAGTCCATCTCCTCTGCTGACTGACCTTCTCGACGCTGATGGTGCGGCCGTCAAATTCGGTGCGGTGGCAGCCGCGAATTGCCGCATGCGCCTGCTCCTCGTTCTCCATTCCGATGAAGGCGAAACCGCGTGAATCGTTGGTGTGGGGATCGCGAACGACGTCGCAACGAACGACCTGTCAGCAATAGTAAGCAAAGCACCAAGGAGGGGGCATGTCAACCAGCTTGTGAGCATTGTGCACAAACAAAAAGCCATACACAACAACACCTTGGCGGAAAAAAGTCAAAAGTCACCTTTCCAAAGCGAGCAAACTTGCTCTCGAGATCGGCTTCGCGAGTCAGGGGCGACAGACCAATCACACACAAGGTGAACGCTTCGCCACTGCCAGAGCCCGAGCCAGAGCTGGCAGATTGCGCCGCCTGCTGGCGAACGGGCGAACGAGAGCGAGATCGCGAACGCGAGCGGGATCGACCACGGCCCTGGCCGTCCGACCTAACCACCAGATGGTGCACACAAACAAGCACAATCCGATAAAGTGAGTGGCCATACACGGTCTGCGCAGTAGTACTACCATTCGAGAACTCGCGTCATCGACTCACTGAGCGTAGTCTACAGAAATGAGCAGAGCAGAACATCAGCAAGGCCAAAGTTAGACGGGTTTGTAAACAGAACAATACCGAGTCATCCAACACAATGGTTTGTGAGGTCCCAACAGCAAGTGCGTCATGGCAGGCAATAGGATAGGAGTACATTGGAAACGGGCGATCTCTCTCTTTAGTTTGCTCTCTCGCTCTCTCTTCAAACCCCCTACTCCCCCTTCTCGTTCCAGCGTTCACTCTTGCTGTTGGTCTCAAGCAAAGATGAGAATCGCAAGACTGAGAGACGGCACGATTGGAAACGACGTCGAGCGAAGGGTCAGAACAACGTACTCGATTCGTAGACGGAATCCTCCAAGCCAGTTGCCTCCATTTGTGAAAGTGAGCGAGTGAGCGAGAATCAAAAGACTGAGAAGCAAGTAATATCCATAAATAGAAGTAAGGTAAGCAAACAAATGTTGATGGCGGGGAGGTCTCAGAAGAAGAAGAAGGGAGAAGCGCAACTGAGCAGAGATTGAGATTGAGCGAGATTGGCCAGCCCGCTCAACCCCAATCATCCATCCGTCTCATGCATCCGTCAATGAGCAAGACTATCGTACCTGCAACACTTATATTGGAGTCCAGTCGTCGTTTACATTTGCCAATTCCACTTCCAACATGGTCGACACGCCGATGAGCTTGCAGGCGATCAATGCGCGCCTCGAGTTCCAGAACATGGTCCGCAGCAAACAGCAACTCGAAACCAAGGTATGGGACGCTGGATCGCGCAGAGTCCAGCCGACGAGGCGTCACAGGAGTGCTGGAGTGAACGCGTAGTCCTGACTTACTTCATTCCCCCCGTCTTCCCCTCCTCCCCCTCGTTCCCACTCGCAGGTACAAGAACTCACAGTGCTGGTAGAGGAACTCAAGACACTCAAGCCAGGGCGGGTACGTCGCATGCGGAACTGCCATCGCTGGCTTGGGCGCACGTGCGACTGATGACTGAGATTGTTGCCTTTCAGACTGTGTACGCTCAAGCATTGCCAGGCGACGTGCTGCTCAAGTCGGAAAAGACGGCCATGCTGGATAGCAAACAAGGTGATTTGGTGGATGCTGCCTTTTGCTCGTGCTGTCTCCGATCGATCGCTTGCTGTTTTTGCTCACTTCAATTCGCCCCGTCCTGCAAAAACAGAGGAGCTCGAAAAGGCAAGAGAAGAGCTCACCAACTTGCGGAAAGAACTTGCACTAGCATCCGAACTTATCAATAAACAACAACGGCAGTAACGTCGGTCGACAGTGAACGAAACAAACAAACAAACAAAAAAAAAAAAAAAAAAAAGAGTTTCTTTGATTTTTGCTTTAGACATACAGAACATTTAAAACACATTCAAAATTGTAAATCGACAAGATGGGGAAATGAAACAAAGGGAGAAGGGGGACAAAATGTGAAGGGGAAAAAAAAAAGGATACAAACAGAAGTGGGGACGGAAAGAGGGGTTTAAGCAAGAGCGGTGACAAGAGCGCGGTAAACCTCGACGCCAATTTCAGCCTTGGCCCGATCAGCGTCGTTGCCAGCAGAGGCTGCTCGCTGGGTGGCCTGGTCGAGACCAGACTTGGCAGCGGCGGCGTCAAACTGGTCGAGAGGGGCAGCCTCCTCGGCAACAATCTGAACGCTTGAGTCGTTGTTAACAGTCACGGTGCCGCTGGACACGAAGAACTTGGACTCCTTGCCGTCCTCGACGACGGTGACGACGCCAGGTCGCAGGCAGGCGATCGTGGGGACGTGGTTGACGAGGATGCCGAAATCACCGCTGGTGGCGGGGACGTTGACCTGGGTGATGGCCTTGGCGTTGAAGAACGAGCCATCGGGGGTGGAGAAGGTCAGTCGGACCTTGTCGCCGGCAGCAGGGGCCGCATCGGCGTACGAGCGAGCATGCGCAACAGGCAGGCGAGCAGCGCGGGCAAGGCCCTGTCGGAGGATTGAGAACATTGCTCTGGAAGGGATTGCAATGGAAGAGCAAATACAAAAAAAAAAAAAAAAAAAAAAAAAGTGAGCTTTTTTTTGGTTTGGTTTGGCAAGCGATCGTTGGCTTTGTAAGCTGTCCGATTGGACGGCTCAACGGTGTCGAGGGATGGGTTGTGTCTTCAATCTCAAGTGGGACAGTTGGGGGAGCAGCGATGATGACGAAGCGTGAATAGGGGAAAAGGAGAGGGAAACGAAAAGACCGAGATCGCAAAAAAAAAAAAAAAAAAAAAAAAAAAAGCCTCGTGCGGTTGTATGGCAGGACGGCCTTTCTGTCTAGGCTCGGTTCAAAGCGATGGGGACGATGGAAGGCAGGCCTTGTCGAGCGATGGAGATGGACACGTTGTATCGACACCCCAAAGCAGCAGAACCGCCTGTCTCGGCGCCGGAGCAACGCAGCGGCGTGACAGCAAGAAGAGAGCGAGATCGCTCCTTTTCCCCCCAGGCGCTTCCTATGGTTGCTCTCCTCTACTGCCGAGCTGGAACAAGCACACACACACACCACACACGAATCGTCTACAATGGTGCCCGCTGCTGCTCTTCTTGTGCTGCTTCGTGGCGTGACAGCAAGCGTCAAATCCAAACGGTAAAAAATAAAAAATAAAAAAAAAAAAATCTCTTGCTCGTTTTTTCCAATCATCCTCACATTGAACGGTTCAAAGGACTGAATACTGAAATCAAACCTGATTCGGATTCAAAGTATGTGAGTGAGTGAGTGAGTGAGTGTGGTAAAACTAGAAGACAAGTCAATTATTCAAGCAATTGGAGGGGGAAAGACTCCAGTCTTGGAAAAATCTCATAAAAAAAAATGGATCCGACAACGTTGCCGGGTCAAGCGAATCCAACCGAGCAGCGTAGATCGGGACAGCAAGGCACGCAGGGAGGCCAACAGCAGCAAAGCCGTGCTCGTGGTCGAGGACGCGGTGGACATGGGCATGGTCATCAGCATGCGAATCATCATGCCAACCCGAGTGGTCATCACCAACACGCTGGTCCTCCTGCTGTTGCTGCTGCTGCTGGTGGTGGTGCTAGTCCTGCAACACGAGGCGGTGGACAGCAGCACAGCCATGCTCACGATGCTGGACAACGCCATGCGCACCATCACGGAGCACCGTCACCCAGGCACGACCATGCACATGGAACGGCGACGGGTCATAACCATGGCACTGCTGGGAACAACCACCACAACCACAACAACCACAATAGCCATAGCCATAGCCATGGTCATGGTCATGGTCATAGCCACGACCAGCATCCAAACCACCAGAATGCTGCTGCTGTTGCTGCTGGAAACGCACCGGCACCCGCGAACGACGAGCCAGAGTCCGAGGAAGCCGCCTTCCGTCGTGTAGTCAACGCCTTCCGAGCGTACGCCGAGAACGCCCAGCGCCGAATCGCCACTGCAGAGCAGCACATGATTGTCGGGACCCGTCCAGAGCAGCGTCGACACCTGCCAATGAACATGCTGCGGACTGTCTTCCAACAGCTGCGAACGGCCGTCTCGACCAATGCCGCGTTCATCAATGAGATGCTGAGTCACGATTCGCTGTTCGACCTGCAGGATCATGCGGACGAGGTACGCAGTTGCAAACTGAAAGATGCTTGTGTGGCGGTTTGATGAAAGAAGAGCTGACCCCCTTCGCTTGCAGCGCGTAACGCAAATTGCAGCAGTAAATCAACAATTGCATGGTGCTGGGCTTGGTGGGCTGTCCCCACCCACCGAATTCGAGCTGGACAAGGTCCGTTCGACGCTCAAGCAGTTTGCACGGGAATGGAGCAGCCATGTAAGTACCCACACGACACTTTGTTCGCTCGATTGCTGCTGCGAGACTGACCACTTTTTGGTTGTTCTTTCCTGGCTTCCAGGGTCAAGCAGAGCGTGATGCATCGTTCAATCCTATTCTCGATGTGTTAAAGTCTGAGTTTCCAAACCCGCAGTACGTTCGTTATTCCAATCTCGTGGCATTGAATGCATCGTCGGCGGAGCACTTACCCGTATTTTTCGTTCGGCTTGGCTTGAGAGTAGAGGCTTTACTGTGCTTGTTCCTGGCACCGGTCTTGGTCGTTTGACGTGGGAGGTTGCACGTGCAGGTAACACAGAGGCCCATTCAGAATTGGTGCAGCGCGCGCGAAACTTTTTTTTTTTTTTTGCCCAAAACGCTCACTTTCGTTTTTGAATATCACTAGGGTTCCGTGCTCAAGGAAACGAATTTTCATACTACATGCTGCTTGCCTCAAACTTTATTTTAAACCAGGTCCAGACGCCTCTCGAGTTGTGCCCGTTCATCACGCAATTCTCGAATAACTTTACCCGAAGCCTCCAACTGCGGCAAATCACTGTGCCCGATGTGGATTTGCGATCGCTTCCTGATACTTGCGAGCTCTCAATGTCCGCTGGCGACTTTTCGGCCATTTATACCGAGCCAGGTAAAAATGCGAGTCATTCTGTTGAATGCAAAATACTCGATCGCCATCATTGACTTTGCGCTCGCATCTGGTACTTGATTTCTGGATTAGATTCATGGGACGCCGTTGTAACATGCTTTTTCGTCGACACCGCCAAGAACATTCTGGACTATGTTGAGACAATCATGAACGTGCTTCAACCTGGAGGCATTTGGATTAATCTGGGTCCACTGTTGTACCACTTCTCTGACACCCCCGGCGAAACATCGGTCGAGTTGAGCTTTGAGGAGTTGCGGCATGTGATTCTTTCGTATGGTTTCTCGATTGAGGTACAGTGAGAACGAATTCGTCGTTTTGGGCATGCTCGACGCTTATCCTCACTCCCACTCTTGCCTCGTTTGTTGGGCGGCTGCTTCTCATGCAAATCTGCAGCAAGAGCGTTACCCAATTTCCACGCCCTATATTGATTCCACGGAAGCCATGATGCACACACAGTACGAGTCGGTATTTTTCGTTGCCCGGAAGCCGCTTCAACCGGCTGCTCCCATCCGATAATCAAAGAAAGGGTTGGTGATGCTGCCTGTAGAGTGACTGGAAGTTGTCAACCACGAAAATCATTCGATTTGCGCGTGAGCGGCCTGCCAAAAAATAAAGCTTGTATTTTTTTTTGTGGGAATTTTTTTTCTTTTTTGGCCTCATTTTGCATCATGGACGAACAACAACACCTTGGGTCTGGAGGTACTGTTTGACAACGGGCAAGAGAACTTCTTCACGGTGGAAGATGCCGGCAGCAAGAGCAGCGTCGCACCCAGTTTGCTGCAGCACCTGGAAAAAGTGCTCTGCACGACCGGCACCGCTGGAGGCTACTACGGGAATGCAGACGGCTTGCTTGATGTCGCGAATGAGTTCCGTATCGTAGCCGCTGTTGGTGCCGTCGCGATCGATGCAGTTCAGCAGGATTTCGCCAGCGCCGAGGGCTTCGCACGCCTTTGCGAGCTCGTACGCGCCAATGTCGCGCGTCTCGCGGCCACCCTTAACGGTGCACGGATACCAGCAGAAGCGCTCCCCATTTGGGCCGGGTGTAGCCGTCTCGAAGGTGTGGTGTCTGACATCCGCTTGCGATGCGACGTACGCGCGCTTCGGGTCGATCGAAACCACCACCGCTTGGCGGCCGTACACGTGAGCAATCTGCTCGATGGCAGTCTTGCCGGTCTTGACGCTGCCGTTGGCCAGAAACTCCTCTGCAGCCGTCACGGCGTCGCTGCCAATGGACACCTTGTCTGCGCCGCTTCGGAAGTACTCGTTCGCGACGTGAAGCGCTGAATAAACGGTGCCATCCGGATCAGTGGTGTCACGAATGCCGCCACCGATCGTCAGAGGGACAAACACGGACTGAGATGCGAGGCGAAGCACCTCGAGCATGGGCACGTCCTTCATGGGTGAATTTCGGAAGGACGTAATGTTCAAAAAGACAATCTCGTCTGCACCGGCGTCATAGTAGCGCCGAGCGACCTCCACCGGCTTGCCGAGGTTGCGGACATGGCCGCCGCCAGCCTTGTCGCGCACGTCATACTGGTCGCCCTTGGTGACGACGAGATCGCCATCATCGTTCGTGCGCACATCCAGACACGCAATAATGCGAGGTGCCAATTGAGTGAGTGGTGTGCGTGCAAGCACGTCCGCAACAGTGGGTGAAGCAGCCTCTTGCGGCGCCACCAGAGGCGCGTTCAAGAAGCGTTCGATGAGCGCCAGACCCTCCGCCCCGCTCTTTTCTGGGTGGAACTGGGTAGCAAACACATTGCCACGCTGCACACTACTAACGAAGCGACAGCCACCATAATCTGTGGTTGTGGCAATCCAATCGCGTGTAGCCTCCTCCGGGAGCACGACATACGAGTGGACAAAGTAATAGTACGGCGTCTGGCCGCCGTTCTCCGGGAACAATGGCGATGGCTTGTGCACAGTCACGCCATTCCATCCCATGTGCGGAACAGAGTGCTTGTCGGCAGCGATTGGGAACAGCCGCACCGGTGCAGGGATGATTCCCAGTCCCTCGATGCCTGGCGACTCGTCCGAGCTCGCAAACAGCGTCTGCATCCCTGCATCAATTCACACAAAGTCAAAAGGATTACAATCCAAAAAACTTGAGTGAGTTACAATGACAATCATGTCCAGCCAAATAGCAAGCTCAACAGTAGTCTACGACTCATGCGACGTTATGAACGCGATGATATCAGTGCCGCTATTGTGGTAATGGTGATCCCCACTCAAAAGCCTGTAAGTCACTCAACCCTCCGCGCCTCACAAAACAAAAGACAAGCAAAAGGGACTGATAATGGAATGGAATGGTGCCCTGCTGTCCATACCGAGGCAGATGCCAAAGAACGGCCGGCCAGCAGTGAGGTAGTCCTTGAGCGCCTGCGTGAATCCGCCGCGCTCGAGGTTGGCCATTGCGCTGCCGAACGCACCCACGCCTGGGAAGACGAGACGATCTGCGTGCTTGAGCTCGTCAGCCGAGCGCACGGGGACGACGGTGAAGCCGAGCTTCTCGATCGCATTCACGAGGCTGCGGACGTTGCCGGCGCCGTAATCCAAAAGCCACACGCGCTTGTCCATTCAATCCAATTTGAAAAAAAAACAAACAAAGAGTGAGCATCCGTCTCATTGCATATTCGAGATTTCATTATTAGGGAGAGAGAGAGAGAGAGAGAGAGAGAGAGAGAGAGAGAGAGAGAGAGAGAGAGAGAGAGAGAGAGAGAGATGCGGTGAGTGGCATCCCTAGAACGGCGGACAGTAGTGATTTTGCAAGTCGTGAAATCAGCGATAGACAAGATGAAAACTTGAATGTTGAAAAACGTTACTATCTTTGATTTGGAAGACATGAAGCAATGGGATATTGACAGTGGAAGCGATGGGAATAGGTCAACGCAAGCACGCTAGAACAGCTTGCTCAGTCTGGGCAAGTAGGGCTTTCACGTCGCGATCGAGATCTTTGCACTCGAGACTGCCCATGAAGTCCGCCGCATCTGGCATAAAGTCGTGGCCGCGGACCATCTTGACATATGTGGTCCAGAACGAGACCCGATTTTTGCGATCAAACGAGGAGGAGAAGGAGGTTCCTTCGGTCGTCAGCCGGGCGAGCAGAGAGTTCCAAAGTACCTCAGGGCCGTTTTCCGAGTCGGCGAGCACGCGATCGAGCATGGCAATGGTCCCGTCGTTCTCACTTGAAGCCAACTCACTCGCAGGATCCTGCGCTGGCTCGCCAAGACTCGAAGCACTCACGAGGGCCGAATCAGAGGACTCTCTGCAGAACGTTTTGAAGGTCGCGACAAAGTACGACTTGCGCTGCGGAAGGGCCTGGACAACCCTGAGACGCCGAGTGTCTGCATCCGCGCTCTTGAGCAGTCGGTGCAGAATCAAGTACGACTCAATGCACGGCAGCAGCGTGTAGACGACGGGAGCGCCCACAATTTTTGTGATCCGAGCCTGGGCGGCTGTGAGATCGGGCGAAGCGGCATACATGTCACTGTCTCTGAGAAAGACGTGCTTGAGCTTGGCCTGCGTCAGAATGTTGGAAACGCTCTGCTTGTTGACGGCGCCCGACGTGGTCAGAAAGTGGAAGTGCTGGCCGAGCGTCGTGTACTTGCGGTAGAACTCTTCGTCGTTCTTGCCCTCAAGAACAAGAATTGGCTTGCTGTCCTTGACTTGGCTAAGTGCATCAAGAACAGGGAAGAGGTGCTCTTGCACCTGCTTGTACGGCAGATTGTTGCTGATCTCGACGGCCTTGCCATCCCAAGTCAGGAAGAGAACATCCTGGCGCGTGTCAAGTCGCTGCTCAATGATGGCGCGCGAGTTGGTCGCAACAATGAGCTGGATGTCGTGCTCGGCGCATGTGTTGACGAGAAACGCGTAGAGCTTGGATGCCACGCTTTCATAGAGCAGTGCCTCGAGCTCGTCGATGAGGAAGATGCGCTGCTTGAAGGTGTTCTGGCCCGGCTTTCCCTCTTTTTTGACGGCTTGGGCAGTTGCGTCAGACGTCAGATGGTAGAGGAGCGTCAGAATGGCAATGATCTTCTGCAGCGAGCCGGCGCAGACACCAATGTCGAGGGTGACGCCGTTCTCGGTGACTGTAACGTCAACGGGACCACGACCCGACGAAGCGACGACAGTCAGCTTGGCCTGGAACTTGAGATGGACAAGAGCTTGGTTGACAAAATCCACTGCTTCCTGCTGATCGAGCCGATTGCGCAGATGCTGAACACCAGCAGACAAAAACATGTGATCGACTGGACGTTCGAACTTTTGAGTTCCCCACTGGTAGGTTGGAGGCAAGAACGCGAAACGGATCGGGGCGAGCGACTTGTGATGCGACTTGTCGAGGAGCAAGCCGTCTTTCAACGAATATGCCATCTGAGCATGCACATTCGGGTCGTCGTCCTTGTTGGTACCATGGTAGCGGCTGTCGTGGAACGTGCCGGTGAGCGTGAATTTCTTGTCCGACGTGCCGACACGGACAAGCGTGTCTGGAATCTCCACGCTGTCCAGAAATGCACGGTCTCCAAACAAGTCCTCGAGTTCTGTAAACCTGAACGGGTCGCTATGGAAGTGCTTGGAGCTGGGAATACGAGAGTTGTGGCCGCGCAGGAAGATGAGAATTGCCCAGAGGATTTGCGTCTTGCCCGAGCCGTTCGCGCCAACGATAATCTTGGGGCTGGGTGTCAGGGTGAGAGTTATGTCCTCGAACTTTTTGAAGTTCTGGAGGCGCAGCTGGTGCAGACTGAGTTGGTCACGCAACACGACAAAGTGAGCGTTTCGCGTTTCTCAGCGCTTCTTCGAACTGCTCTCCGGACGAGCTACACATACCGAAACTCTGACTGCGTTTCAACTTGAGTGGCCGAATCCATGAGAGTCGTGAACAAGGAAGAAGCGGTGACGAAACAAAAAACGAAAAAAAAAGCGCGCGAAAGTTTTGCAAGAAAGCTGGCAGAAAGCCGAGAAAGATGTTGAGAGGAATAAAAGGGAAACAAGAGACTTGACTTATACCAAGCGACGAGTGAACACACTTCCAATACAGATACACATCAATCCATCACAGAAATGGATGGACAAAAACCAGTCTTCTATCTGTATTCTTTGATTCTTTCCTAGCATTTTCCTCCCTTTCACTCTTCGACCCCCCCCCCAATGCTCGATCGCCAGCCTGCCATGGTCGGCGTTGTTGTTGCGCTTGTCGCAGCTACGTCCATGCTGCTCTCCGTCGCTGCGCCCGTCGCACTCGCGCTTGAGAACGGTGCGTCGTTCGTTTGGCAGTTGTCATTCTGGACTGGCAATTTGTGACAGATGTTGGATTCTTTGTTCGCATTCGACGTTGCATTGCAAATGAAGTGCCTCTCGATCTATATGAGAGTGGATGTGTGTATGTGTGTGTGTGGTGTGCGTTGATTTGGAGCTTTAGCCGGCCCCGGTGGCTGAACAAACAGCAAGGCACAGGGAGGAGGAGGAGGGGTAGGAATTGAAGAAAGAATGAAAAAAAAAAAGTAAAAACAACGAATATCAGTACAACCGAGAGTCAACGACCAAAAGTCAGACTACGATTGAGATCGAACGTTAGGAGCGATCAAACCCAACTGAGAGAGCGACGGAGAGAGAGCGACTGAGAGAGAGAGAGAGAGAGCAATGAATCAGGTTGCAATGCCTTTTTTTGTTTGTTTTGTTGGTTTTTGCTTTTGTTTTTGCTACTTTTGTTTCCGTTGTCTGATTTGTTTTCTGCATTTGGAAAAAAATCAGGACTTGCACGCACGCCTCCGATGGGATGGCTCGCTTGGGAACGCTTCCGCTGCGACGTGAACTGCACTAGCGACCCCAATAACTGCATCAGCGAAACGCTCTTCAAGCAGATGGCGGACCATATGGTCTCTGGCGGATACCTCGCCGCAGGATACGACACCATCATCATGGACGGTAAGAGAAAAGAAGCATTGCATGAGCTTTGTTGATTAGGGATGTAGAGGCGGGAAAGCGTGTTGGGGGAGTTTGGCTCAACCTTCTGATTGTGGGGGCGGACAGATTGCTGGATGAGCACGTCGCGTTTGGCGAACGGTACACTGCTGGCCGATCCTGTTCGCTTCCCGAACGGTGTCAAGGGACTGGCAGACTATGTGCACTCGAAGGGTCTCAAGATGGGCATCTACCAAGGCACGAAGAATCCCACGCTTTTTTTTTTTTGTTTGTTTGTTTGGGTTTTTTTTTAGGTTGTGTCCCGCTCGTGGCTCAACAACAATCCGGGTGCAGTCTGGTCTCACATATCACTGTATTTTTGCTCTCATTCGCTATGTAGATTATGGCACAAACACTTGCGGCGGTTATCCGGGAATCTACGGCTACATTGACATTGACACTCGCGATTACGCCAGCTGGGGCATTGACTATGTCAAGATGGACGGGTGCAACGTTGATCCCGCGACCATGAACAAGGGCAAGTTTGCACTGCTTCCCAACACGATGACCATTGGCAGCCTTCTTGACGTTTTTGCTGCAACCTTTGTCTGCCAAGTCGTTTCTCACCTGCTCTCTTTTGCGCTCGACCAGGCTACCCCCAAATCGGAATGGCTCTCAATAGCACCGGACGCCCCATGGTCTACTCTTGCTCTTGGCCCGACTACATGCGCATTGCCAAAATCCCGATCGACTGGCAGCTCATCATCCAGTACTGCAACCTCTGGCGCCTGTTCGATGACATTCAGGACAGCCTGTCGAGCGTGTCGAGCATTGTTGAATACTGGGGCTCCCAGCAGGTCTTGCTGTCTGGCATTGCAGGCCCTGGTCACTGGAACGATATGGTACCGCGTTTCATGATGTGAATCGTGTCCAAAGTCTTGCGTGTTCTGACCCGACCATCGGTCTCTTTCGTGCTTTGCTTGGGATGCGGCGTTACCTCTATACAGGACATGCTCATTATTGGAGACTTTGGCCTCAACCAGGCCCAGTCCGAAATGCAAATGGCGCTCTGGGCCATCAACGCCTCACCTCTGATCATGTCCAACGATCTGCGCAACATTTCGAGCTGGGCGAGCTCCCTGCTCCTCAACAAGGCCATCATTGCCGTTAGCCAGGATCCCTTGGGCCAGCAGGTTTGGTCGCACACATCTGCATGAACTGGACGTGTCGTGGGATTTCGTGTTCCAACTGGTTGTTTTGCTTGTTGATTTTGGTTGGATGATGATTATAGGGCATCCGCCTTGCTCGCAATGCTACCAGCGAGACGTGGGTTCGCATCTTGGCCGACGGCAGCTTTGCCATTGCTCTGTACAACACGGCGACGGTTGCTGCCACCCTGACCTTCCAGTTTGCGGACTTGGGCTTTAGCTCTGCCACTGTCACCAACCTCATCACCCAGCAACCCTTGGGTGTCGTCACCACTAGCTACTCTGCGCCCGTTCAGCCGTTTGGTGTCTGGTTTATCCGCGCCTACCCGAAGCTGTGAATCGGCGGGTGAGTTGGTGGACGATTTTTCATGGTCATCAAGCACACGTGAAGCCCGCCCTTGATGCCAATCTTGTCCTGTGATTCGTTTGTCGCTTCTCTCTCTGTGTGTGTTGAGTAATACAACCAGCTCCTTGAGCACTGCATACCCTGACCAAATCTGGTTGTCTGCTCAGTCGTCTCCATTTTAGGCAATGTCATCGAGCGATACCGCTGCTGCAGCCAACGTTGCGCAGGGATTCAAAAAGAGCAATGCTCAGCGTCGGTATCGCCAGCGTGATGACGCATCGGGAGCGAGCAGCAACGACGCCAAGTCGACCTCAGTCAGCGCGAGTGAAGTGGCTGCAGAAGGAGCGGGCGCCGACAATGACGCTCCCCGCCACGACGCCAAGCGTGTGCGTCTGGATGACACTGCTGCAGTGACTGGTGATGCTGCGACCGGCGATGCCGCTGCCAAGGACGGCGCTGCGGCTGGCCCAGTGTCGGGTGCGAACGACGTTGACGCGACTTTATTTGCTGCGATCAGCGGCAACAGCAGCCAAAGCACGGCAGCTCAAGCGGCAGACAGCGATGAGATGGCAGAGTCAGATGATGCAGATGCAAGCGAGGAGTCACATCGGTGAGCACATAGCGCCAGAGAGCAAAGGACTACCGTCGCTCAACCCTATTCTATTCCTCACATGTTTTATGGCAACATTGTGATGGTATTCATGCTAGAGAGCGACTCGAGCGAATGAAGGAATTGCAACGATTCCGACAACGGAAGAGCGGCGTGACCCCGGCGGGCCTCGCGTTGGGACAGCGTGTCAAGAGCGTGGCGGAAGAACTTTTGGCGGTAAACAAACATTCACGAATCTGAGAATCTCATAGTTCTGAGCGGATGATGTTGCTTGTTGGTTGTTGCGCTGCTTCGATACACTCATCTTGGTATTGTGTGTGGATCAGGCGTCCGATCCTTTCAAGCTTAAGTCAGGCGGCGGCCTTGTTGACAAGGCTGCAATTCGAGTGAAGGATCGTGATCGCGATCGGTAAAGTCGACAGAAGATGGAACTCCTTGAGGATGCATGTAGACTAGCATTTGCTTGTGAGTCGCATTTGCTGACCGGCTCCAACACCACAGTGATGCGGACGACGACAAGAACTTTTCGTTGACATCGACATTCTCCCACGAAACAAAGGCTCGTGACGAAGACAAGATGATGTATGGAGCATTCTCTCTATGATCATGAGTTGATTGCAACTCTTTTTGGACTTTGACACTCACAAGCTTGATCATTTCTTCTTTTTTTTGCGTTTCAAACATAGGTTGAGCTACATCGACGAACAGCTGGCGATTCGTCGAGGGACGAATGCAAATGACAATGCCAACAACGCGAACGACCCTACAGCGCAGCTGTATGTGGTTCCGAAGAATTTAGAAGCGACCGTACGTTCCCAAAGTCTTGCTCGCCCAACTTTATGTGCCGAATCTCACTTTCTGCTTTACGCCTGTAGTCCGCGTTGAAAAACGTGTCTGAGGATAGCATTTCATCTGCGCTGCTGTCTGGCATCCCCGAGGTTGACTTGGGAGTCCAGTAAGTGGGCTGGAATTGTGGCATTTTGCAGTATGTCGAGTACTGACTATTGGGTGGCCTGTCTGCTACTGTAGATCACGCATTCGCAACATTGAGGAAACAGAAAAGGCCCGCATTGAGCTCGAGCAAAAGCGGTATGTATGGGGAACGTTGTGGAGGTTTTACCCCAGCTCACTTTTTTTTTTCTTTTTGTTTTTGTTTTTCTGTTTGGTTGTTTTGTGCCTTCTTTGCTGTCACCAGGCTTTCGGGCAATCAAAGCTCCAACGTCGTTCTGCATCACCATCGCTGTATGTCGTGGATGCAGGGTCCTTTTAACGCTCTGTATGCGAGCTGCAACTCACATGTTTTAATGCGTTGCTTGCTTAGTCTTCAACACCGCAGACCGCTCAGACCGATCCGACTCGGCAGGAGCACAACAGCATGGCTCGCAAAATTCATCTGCTGCTGCACGACAGCCCAGGGCAACGGATCAACTTGTATTTGACAAATTCAAAAAGGCACAACTTGGACGACGATGATTTGGCAGCGCTCCTCTTATTTTCGCGGAATCTCGCCTGCAACCTCAAACCGACGCTTGTTGAGCTGTTGATGCAATGTCGATTGCAATTGCAGCAGTTGTTAGGAATTCAAGTGAGAGTGTGTTGTTGCGCAGACTTGGTTTCGTGAAATCTCGATGAACTATTGCATGTGCACTGACCTTCTCACTAATGTAACGATGAACGCCTTCCTGGACCCACGGCTTGTAAAAGAAGTCTGCATGGCGTTGTTGCTCAACGTCGGTGGGCAGATACGACATAACCTGGCATGCGGTGATTGAGAGACGGGAAGCTGTTTGCCGACAACGACAACCACATGAAACACGACTCACCTTCAAATCACGCGTTTGAGACTCGAGCCACTTGTCCAGCAACGCGCGCGGAGTTTCAGCAAAGTGCGAGACAAACCCATGCTTGAGCTGAATGGCTTCCAAGCGCTGCACTGTTTGCAAAGTCTGGTTGGAGGCACAAGTACAAGGCGTTGCAAAGACAAGAAGGGATGAGCCTAAACTGCAGGATAAATTTCAATTGATGCAAAGAAAAGCAGAACAATCACAACTCACCTCCTCGTCTAGCTGGGCCAGCGTTGGTCGTGCGCTCTCGCCAAGCAAGAAGCGATTCATCGTCTCCTTGATGGTGTCCTTAACTTCAATATCAACATCGTAGCACGCGACTGGCTGCTCTCCTGTGCCGTCAAACCTGGATGGTGAAAGACGCAGTCAGAAATCAGGAAACGAGCGAAAAAAAATCACATCAAACATTGTCTTTTTTTCTCTCAGTACTCACTTGACGCTGTAGTGAATAACAAGAGGGTCGAGCGGCAAAAGCAGCGGGTTGGCGAGCACTGCCATATCCGCCAGAGCAATTTTATCGTTTTGGAAGAGCTGGGGTGTGTGTGTTGGCCATGGGGACAAGTGAGCCATCACACCAAAATCAAACAAACAAGCTCAAGGACAAAAGACGCGAATGCTCGAAGTCAAAACTCACCGCCTTCAGCCCCTGGTCGCAGTTCACAAGCCGCTTGTCTTCTCGATCTTGCAATTGATGTACCTGGAGCCGTGAAACAGTTTTTTTTCTCTTGTGAGTTTTTGCGTCGTTACAGCCGATAGATTTCTTTCCGTCGATCTCAACGAGCACGATTCGACAGTCACAGAGGGCCTCACCTTAACATACTGCCAAAGACCAAACAACACATCCGTGCGAGTGGCGACCGCAACACCCAACAGCCGAGACAAGCCCGAAGCTAATTTGTAGCGCTGAGGGTTGTGCTCAAAGTCGAGGTAAATGGTGCAGTCGAATGGCTGGTGGCCAGGTCGTGTTATGCTAAAGCCTTCCTGTGAAACTTCGCCCTTGGATGCCTCCCACTCTACTATCCGTTGAGCTGCTGCCAAGCTAGAGTCCAACTCGACCACGAGACGCTTCACACAGGAAGTGAACTTGGGACGGTTTTCAACGGTCTGGTCATGCCAAACAATTGGTGAGATGAACGTTTGCGCACGCTTCGCCATTCACGCAGAAATTGCGATTTGACTTACATTCTGGCCTACAAACCCCCCGTTGATTCGCAGAGTCCATGTGGCCGGCTGTGGCGCTCCAGTTGCGTCCACGCCAGCGGCGGTAAATGTGTTTGTCGCAACAACGCGAAGGACTTGAGGAACGCGCAGATGGGTTTTGCGCAACGAGTCGGAAATGTCGAGCTGCTTGCGTTGCAAGATTGCATCAAGGCGCTGCTCAATCGAAACGAGCTCATTGTACTCTGCTGCTTCTGGGAGGAGTCGCTCAACCTGATGTACCAAGCAACCAAAACAGGTGTGAGTCAAAAAAGCACACGACAGTGCCCGGATCCAACAAGCACACATCCAACAACCACAGAAGCGGCGCGCCAACATCCGTACGTGTGCAGACAATTCACGATCCGTCGGCCTTGCTCGACGCATTCTACACACCGCCAAGCAAAAATGGAACAAGCATGTCAGATGTAGTTTTTCTAGTTTTTCAAAAAAGCTCGGACAAATCCGACCAGACAAACATCACTGACATCCTGACTTACCGCTTGATGAGATGCATGTCGTCGTCGCCAGATGCAGCGGTGGAGGTTGCAGAGCCGGACGAGGCATCCAACGATCGCTTTGTAGTGTTGCGAACATGATTCTCGGCCAGCAGTCCAATCGCTTGGTACATGGCCGCGCCCAGAACACCTCCACCAGAGAGCCCTGGGACTCCATTTGAGCTGCTGCTCGCGTCGCCGGTCGTGCTTGAAGTCGGCGCTGGAATGGCGCCCGCTGCCAAAGCCATCGCATCATCGCGGCTCGGTGTCTCGCTCGCTCGTCGGCTTGCACTCTCGACATGCGGTGCGTTCAGCGCCTGTGCTGCTGCGGACTCGGTCGCGCTGCTGCCTTGCTGGCCGGCTTGCTCGGCGGATGCGCTGTTGGCGCCAAATTCAAGATCGCTGTTTCCCGCCGAGCGCTCTGCCTGCTGCTGCTGCTGCTGTTGCTGCTGCTGTGGCTGTGGCGCTCGTGCAGCGTGCTGCTCTGGCTTGATCGTCCCTGCGTCGTCTGCGGAAGTGTCCATGGGCGCCGCCTGAGTCTCGCCCGCGGACGCAGCGGCGATCGGAGCAGCGGCTGAAGATTCTTGGGCCTGCTGCTGCTGCGGTCCTTGATCGTGCTGTTGCTGCTGCTGCTGTTGCTGCTGTTGTTGTTGTTGTGGTTGTTGCACGTCGTGTGGTGCCGCAGCAGCCAACGCAGCGTCAAAATCACTGTCTGAAAATTGCAGCAAATCCATTGATTGAAAGATTGAAAAATTGAAAAAAAAAAAAAAAAAAAAAAGAGACTGTCAAAAACTGACTTTGTCTGAGATTGTCCGAGATTTTCCAGGTTGTTGTTGCGACAATGACACGCCGAGTGTGTTGAATCAAATAATAACGCTGCCTTTGACTATTGCTTTGAGCGGTTCAAAAAGCAGCTGCCGTGTGATAAGCATTCGTCTCGGCTCAGTCTCTCTCGTTGTTCTCGTTGTTTGCTCGCAGCAGTGAGTGAGGCAACCCTCACACAAATGCGAAGGTCTGCAGCAGGCGAGGGCGGTGCTGGTGGAACTGCATCGCCATTCGCAGCAGTGACCTTCATCCGGGCTCCCTCTTCTCGCTCTAGTAGCAGCACGAGCCGTTCTGGTGGCGCGGACGGGAGCGATTCAGCTGGCGCGGTGCAGAGCAGCATGCGCAGCTCCTTCACGCTCTTGCCCACCCAAGGCGCAGCTGGACTGCGGCAAGCACGCCGTCCAATACTGCAGGATCCGGCTCGCGAAGTCGCTGCGGCTGCAGCTGCATCCGCCAGTACTGCGGCAGCTGGAACACCCGCGCAAAATTTTGGCGGGAAACTGTTGGAGACCCTGTCACAGCCACAAAAGCCACAGCGAGCCAGCCGCGCGCGCAAACCTGCCCCGCGCCAAGTGCGGCCAGCGGTGCCGGATGAGCAGCCCGCCGGGACTGGCAACCAGGAACCGAGTCGCAAGCGAGCAAGGTTGACGAATGCAAACCATTCGTCCACACAACCGGGCGCGCATGCACCGCCAAACACCGCTGCTTCGACTGCTGGTGTCGGAGTCTGGCACACACAAGCAGCAAGCTCTGTGGAAGCCATCCCGTGGAGTCAGTTTGCTGTCCCAAACCGCCGTGGCAACCATTCTCAACCCAAACGTGTCCAGGAACACGCTTCCGCTTCGGATCTCGAGGATTCTCTCAAAGAAGTGGACTCGGGGCACTTCCTCGATAGAAATTTCGATGAGGATGACGAAGATAACGACATTGACTACCACCCGTCAGAGTCGGAGGACGATCAAGAGTTGGACTTGACAGATTGCCTCGAACCCGAGGATCTCCTGGTAATCCCTCAGCACGTGCGCTCCGGTCTCGCATCTGCGACCTTGCTGGCGAATAGTGGTGCTGCCCAGCAGCCGATGGGGCAACCTGGTGCTGTCTTTGGCGGCCAGCTGCGCTCGGACCAAATCCCCCGCACGCGACCTCCCAGTCCTTTGGCCATTTCGGTTTACCCAGCCCACTATCAATACGGTGGCAACGCCGGCGATACACGCGACGGCATGGCGCCCACCAGCGAGCGACTGGCCGAGCTTTCCGCGCTGACCTCGTCCAATCACCTGGTGCAAGACACATTTGCCCTGTCAAGCAGCGGCCTCCTCCCTCCTGCGAGCCATACCGAAGGTGGGGGCATGCACAATGATATGCTCGCCGTTCAGGATGTCTCGTCGACCAACGTGGCAACCTACGATGCGCAGCCTTCAATGCTCAGCAATCAAGCATTTTCAGTCACTTCAAGCCAAGCCCTCCATTCGTGGTTGGAATTGATGGGGCAGGAAGCACACATGGGCCAGCGGACACGATCTCATCGCAATCCCACGACAAATTTATTCGAGCTTGAAAGTATGTCAGCGTCCTGTTGTTTTTGCATTGTCGAAAACGAGACGATGAACTCACTTTTTTCTTTGGTTGGTGGCATGCTCTCTGCTCTACCTGTAGCTGCAGCCGTTGTCGACAGCACAACCAACCATTCAGATACGAACGGGGCAGAGGACACTGATTACCGGCAGTTCCTAAGCTGTCTTGATCGTGGTAAGCAACACGCTGTTTTTTAGTTGGAGGCGCAGATCACGGGGGACGGCGAATGGTCCTTGGATTGTTGAATGGGAAGGAATTTTACCGTACGGACTAGGTCTAATCTGTCTCGATTGGTCGCCAATCACCTTGAACGAGTAGGGGAGCCATTGGCGGATGACGACGATGACGATGATGAAGATTTTGCCTCCAACTGGATTAACTTGGATCCTTTGAGCTTGAATTTCCTGTAAGTGGTTGAAATTTGAGTTGTTGTCTTTCATGACCACGCGCAATGTCTCAATTCTAGTGTCGTTGACTTTCAATGCTGCCACATATCTCCCAGCACTGGCGCTGACTCGTCGCTTCCGGTTTTAACAAAACCCCCTTCGTCCAACGAACCATTGGTGCTCCCTGCGACCACTTTAATGGACGACATCTTTAGTAGTAGTAGTACTGGCCCGGCTGTTGTTCAACCGGCTCAACCTGCATCCATCGCCATTCCCAGCATGCAAAGGGTTGGCCCTCCTGCGCCGCCAGCTCATGTGCTTCAGCCTCTCGTTGAACCCGCGCCCCATGCACCAGCGCTCGTTTTTCATACAGCTCCGGCCCCGACTGTGACAACCCCGGTCAAGGAAGTGAAATTAGGTCGCATGCGCGCGCAACCACGAAGCATTCCTGCCTATGTCAGCATGTGGAATGCTCAGACGTATGTTGCGACTGGAAGCCATGAGCAGTATCTCGCAATGCTTTCCCGCATCCGGCAACAGTACCGGCAGCACGTGCAAAGCTTGATTCAGTCGCTGATTTTGTATTCTTCCGACCCGGCGTTCCAATCGGCGGCCGAGGCCGTGCGAGGCATGCTCGCCCAAATCATTGAGCAATCCCCCGATCTCTTTGGCTATCCTCGCATCTGGGCGGTGCCCATTTTGAAACGCTTACTGGTCTGGCCGCTGTGGCTGGACACGGAGGCTCTCGATCCAAACAGTGCGGACAATCCATTCCGCGTGACAGGTCCCTCAACGGCGCGCCTGAACGTCCACGCCGGGCCTCAGCGCCGCGTTCTACTCATTTCTGCGTTCGTCCTGGGGCACGTGCTGTTTTTCACGGATTACTTGGAACGATGGATCATGCCATTGTGTGATCTAGGTGGGTATCGTCTTGCTTGACTTTGTTTTTTTCCTCTGAGCGTCATGTCGCTCGAGCGCGTACTGATCTGTGTGAGATGTTGTTTGGCTGTGTTATGGTTAGATCCACGCCTTTCTGCTTTGACAGGAGATCGCGCCTCAGGGGATGAGGCCGACTCTGACGGCGAGGATTCTCACCTTAACAGCGCGCGGCTAAAGTTCACTCTGGGCGAAGATGTGTATGTCGGATGATTGTGTCCGAGAAGGTGCTTGTCCAGGTACAATTGCAGCAGTACTGATTGCGATTCTTTGTTCACTACGCCCAGACTCCTAGCCATGGGTGTGCTCCAGCTCTGTGATCAAACCACGGCCATTACAAATCGCGCCGTCAACTGGCCGGCTGTCTCGTTTTACTTTGTCCCAGGCAAAACCCCTCGGCAATTGCAGATGCGGTTTAAAAACCGCCAAGCACGCGTCTTCCATCACACTGCCAAGACGCCGAATCCCATTCAGGTAAGACAGATGGCGACCCTCTGTTTTCACGCGTCGGTCGAATCGCTGGGACGCTGGACTGGACTGGAGCGCTCATGCTGCTGTTTTCTGGTTGGTTGTCGATAGCTGCTTGCCCAGAGCTCCAACGCATGGTCCAAGTTAGTCTCGACCGTGAATGGACTGATTTCCCAGGCTCCCGAGCCAATCTACCCGTCGGAAAGCAAGGCCATGTCTGGGCTGAAGGACGCGCTGACGTACCGCTACTCGCTTGGGTATAAACGCGCTTCTTCCGTGACGCCGGCCGACCCACAGCGATCTGCTTCCGTCGCCCCGTCGCCGTGGCATCTCGCTCCAGCGTCGTCTCAATTCCATGCCCAGGCACACGCATTGCTGGCGCTCAGCTCCTGGGAACCAGCGAGCAGCAGCACTGCAGCCGCTCCTCCTGCCGCTCCTCGTGGACGACAAGCGAATGGCCCTCCTGTCGCAAGCCAGCGCAAAAAGTCCCCTTCGTCCAAACCTCCCCGTGCCCCGAAAAACGCTGCCCCGCAGCCTGCTACTGCTTCCCACTTGGCGGCGGCGGCGTCGCCAGCAGCAGCGCCGCGCAAATCGCTCCAGAAAGCCGCATCGGCATCGCCAGCTGTTGTCGTTGCTGCAGCGAGTTCTGTCGGCATTCCTCCCGTCCCAGTCGTTCAAAGTCAACAAGAGTTTGAACACGCTCACCTGGATGCGAGCAGCGATGAAGAGGACAACGGCCACCCACGGCAGCGGACGCCCATGGTCGAGACCGTGCGCGAGACATATGCATTGCAGGACACTCCTGAGCGTGAAACTGGCGAGTCGGCGAGACTCCAACTCCAAGGCGGCAGTGCGGGGATGCGCGTTGCTCGCTCGGCTCGAAAATTAAATGCAGATGCAGCAGATGATTCGGTCGCATCAGTAACCACCACCGCCACCACGGCCCATTCTTTGTCACCGCCTCGCCCCTCGCCACCACGGACGATGCGTTCGGTGCAACGGGTCGATACAGCTCACACTCCTGCCTTGGCTGCTCTGTCCGAGCTTTCCACAGCAGCATCTGCATCATTGACTGCCAACGAACTCCACCGCACTTCCCCGGCTGGGGCGATGCAGGAATCAACACCTCCAGCCCGCACGTCTCCCAGATTGGCAGATCGACAGTTGCGACGCGTGAATCCGGCGGCATTCACACCCAAGACATCATCGCCAATGCCATTGTCTTCCAGCGACACCTCCGTCAAGTCGCCCGCAGCAGCAGCAGCAGCAGCAGCAACAACTGTGCAGTGGTCGAAAGACGAGAGTCGTCAAATTCTCAAGGCTGCACAAGAGTCGACAACCGGTCTCGGCACGGAGACTTGGCTGAGATTGATCAACGAGGGCAAGATTGTCGGCAAGACCGTTCAGCAGGTAAGAAAGAGCTTTTTGTCGTTAAAGAGTTGCGTTGTGTTGGTGCTGAACCATCTCATTCTCATGCACTCTTCCTCGCTACGCAGATTGAAGAGCACTTTTCGGTTTTGTGGAAGAAAATCGTCAACCTGAACTGACCCAATCTGCTTTCTGTATTTTGTAATATTAGAATTGGTTGTGCTTTTGATGCTCTTCCACTTTGTGATCATTTCGACAATCCAATCGAGAATAATAAGCGGTTGTGGTTGGTGGACGGAAGGGCAACTTGCTTGAAAACCAGCATTTGTTGGCAAAACAAAAAATAATTCGTTTCACAAAGATAATCACAGAAGAAACACACACACACAACCAAGAACTCAGCAGAAAAGGGGGGAAAAAACAAGAAACAACGAACGAAATACAAGGATGGAAGACAATAAAAGCACCACAACATCCAACTTGCGGACCTGGCATCCACCAAAATCAAAACAAAAAGAGGGGGGAAACGCTGCAAAATGTGCGTCGCATTTCCGAAAGAAGAATCACTCTGCTATGTCTGCGCTGCATCAAAGCAAAGACGAGAACGAGATATAGGACGAGATGCGAAACGAAACTCGCTCTCAAGAAATGCTGACAAAAAAGGGGGATGGAAGAATGGGGGGAAAAAAGAAGGACTGTTGAAGGGAATCGGTTTGTTTTTGTGCTGTTTAAAGAATCGAGCAGAAGCCGCCAGACTTCTTTTGTGGTTGAGCACCACCGGCTCCAGCCTTAATAGTGGACGATGAAGCAGGTGCTCCGCCTGCCTTGGGGGCACCGCCAGGCGCCTTGGAATCAATCTTCTTCTTGATATCCCGTGCAATCGTCAGGAAGGCCTCCTCGACGTTGATGTTTGCCTAAGAGAAAGAAAGAGAACGGATGGGTGAGTGTTTGCAACGTTTCAAAACAAGCATAGAAAACCAAAAACAAAAACCGCCGCCTCCTTCCTCCTCCTCCTGCATCCAAAAATAACAAAAGACACATACCTTTGCACTGGTCTCAAAGAATCGGACATTGTACTCGCGGGCAAGCTGTTCGCCTCGCTCCTTGGTCACAACTCGCTTGTCGTCAACGTCGCACTTGTTGCCAAGAATCATCTTCTCGACGTCCTCGGAAGCGTGTTGCTCAATGTTGCGAATCCAGTTCTTAATGTTTTCAAAGGTCTTGTCCTGTGTAACATCGTACACCAGCATAATACCCATTGCGCCGCGGTAGTATGCGGTTGTGATGGTGCGGAAGCGCTCCTGGCCGGCCGTGTCCCAGATTTGCAGCTTGATCTTCTTGCCGTCGAGCTCGATCGTGCGGATCTTGAAGTCGATGCCGATCGTGGAGATGAACGTTGCGTTGAAAGCATCGTCCGAGAATCGGAAGAGCACGCAAGTCTTGCCGACGCCAGAGTCGCCAATCAAGAGCAGCTTGAACAAGTAATCGTACGCCTTCGCCATTTCCTTAAGATGAGCGTGTGTATGCGGTTGGTCTAGTGGAGGTGAGAGAGAGAGAGAGTGAGTTAGAGAATGAGACCCAAACAATAAAAAAAAAAAAAAAGTACAGAGAGACACGATGTAGCAGAGAGAAGCAAAAGGTCAGGGGACTCGACAAGAAAGCAATAGATTGAGCGAATGGTCGAAAGTGGCAGAGTCGGCTCAGAAGACCGCAACGAAACCCAAACAAGACCAGACACGTTTGAATTGAATGCAAAACCAAAAGACCAACAAAAAAAAAATCAAAAAAAAATCAAAAAAAAAAAACAGGATCTCGTCGTTTTTGAAAGGTTGTTGATTTCGATGCTCGCTTGGATGCAATCGCGGCACAGCGTCGAGTCATTGCGCCGTGATTAGTACAATGGTACATCTCACGACCAGCCCTCACACGCTCGTCCCACGTTGCCAAAACCAAACTCAAAAGCTCACAAAAAAAAAAAAAAAAGCAAAACCAAAAAAAAAAAAAAAAAAAAAACTTTGTGTCGGTTGACGATCATTTCTTCAAGCTGGCTCAGCCTCTGCCTTCCCTCATCCTCTCTGTTGCTACGAAAAGAGAGACTCGCGCGCTGACCGGCGAGAGGGCGATGGCGCGGGGTTCTGCCAGTCACAGAAGCGAGCAACGCTGCTGCCGCATAGCTGATGGATGGGCACAAGGGGCAATCCACAACATTAGATTTTTTTTTTTTTTTTTTTTGTGGGGTTCTTTGTTTTTGGCAGGTTTTGTGTTTTGCGACAGCACGTCTGCCTTCGCTGTGGCTCAATGGCGACAATGCGCTGTGAGCATCAAGAGACATGCACGATGAGGGGGGGTGCGGCGATGTCCCCAGACAGCCGCTTTGAAGGCCAGAAACAAGAAAAAAAAAAGCGGGGAAAGGAGAAAAAAAAAAAAGAAAACGAAAAAAAAAAAACCTGAAAAAAACCAAGGAATGGAAATAAAATGGCTGAGTGTGGCAATGACGTTTGGTTTGCGCAGAGAGGAGGAGGGCAGCCTCAACGCGTGAACGGGGGCTCGGTCAGTGCATCGCTCTGTAAAGAGAGTGAGAGAACATGGCGAGAGTGGATGCAAGAAGACGCATCCAACCGCGCCCCAGAGACAAACAGAAGGCGAGAGCGACGAAGACAGCAAAGGGAAAAAAAAAAAAAAAAAAAAAAAAAAAGTGCCACTCGTTACAACCCTGCTGCTTCTTCTTCCCTCAGCAAGAGCCCGTGGTGTAATGAAAGGGTTGAGTGCCGGTGTCGCTGAGATGCAGTCAGGGTTGGCCGAGGAAGGGCGAAGCGAAGGGGGCCCGCAACTGGACGAAAGACGGAGGACAAAAAAGAAAACCAAAAAAAAAAAAAAAAAAAAAAAGCCGGGTTTTGAGATGCTTTACAACTACTGGTCAATGGAAGGAGGAAAAATGACTGGGCGCGGATTCGAATCTGGGGCTTTTGTGAGGCTTGGAAGGCGACATTGTGCGCGATTTGCAATTGGTGTGATGGAGTGCTTGGTGGTCGGGGATAGGAGAGAGACACCATCACGAAGGGGGGGGGGAAGAAACGCGCAACGTTGCCAATGTTGTTGCCATTTGTGTCGAAATTCCGCATGTCCTGTGAGCTCAGGTCAATGAGGCATCTGCGAAACGTGCAGATCAACTCTATGCAAGAGCATTGTAACTTTATCGGCCCGTTTATTGCCTTCGGAGAAGTAAAGGGGGAAAAACCAATCAAAAACGAAACTTTGCGACCAGACCCGCAACTTGACCTGGAATCACTCAGGACTGAAGCACGCGAGAATGAATGCGGAAGTACCGTGTCATTTACTGAGAATATAGTAAAGAACGAGGGAAAGACCGATCAGGGATGAGCAGATAAAACACAAGAACGCTTTTAATTCCAAATCTAACCTCTCTCAATGCACATCAAAAACTAATCATCAGAAACTCATCATCACTCATGCTTGCGACGAAGAGCCAGGTATGTCAGAAATCGGAAGGCAACAGCGATGAGCGGGAGAACCCAGATGCCCTCCCAGCGATTTAAAGGCTGGTCGGAGCCAAACTGAAACAGCGCCTGCGGAGAGCCTTCTCCAAACAAATTGAGGAATAGGCTGGCAAAGCCGTGGTGAATGTACGAGCTCTCGTACAGCCAGACCCAATACGACGGCAGATTGGGGCGCGCGACAAGGCTGTTTGTCCAACGGACAAAGTTTCAAACAAAACAATAAAAGTTAGTCACCGACCTTGGTTTCTGCATCGAAACCCACCAAAACCCCAACACAACGCATCACAAAGCCACTCACAAGCCACAGGCAGTCATGCTGAGACCGTTGATGAGCGTTGCACCAACCATCGCCACCTCCACGACGGGCGCGATCGAGCCGACAAACGTAATCACAGAGGACGCGGTAAAGACAACAAGAATGCAAGTCAAGAGATAAAACGGGAAGGTGTCGTTGGGCATGGCCGAAAATTTAAAGACAATGCCAGAGAAGGCCAGCGCAATGATGGCGTAGAAGGGAAAGTCGACGAGGGTTTTCGAAATCATGTACGACGAGGCGCGGTACGATCCGCTCGATCGCTCGTGGAAAAAGTTTTGACGGAAGGAGATGAGGTGGGGCGCGGCCATGAACGCCATCATGCTGAGGTACGAGCACACAAAGAAGATGACACTCGTGTTGCCGAGATCGGGGTTGGTGTTGTTGTTTGACCACAGCGAACCCATGATGCAGCCAAAGGCGATTGCCTGGAGCAACTGCGCCCAGAAAACTTGCATATTGCGCACAGTCGAGAGCACTTCGCGGCGCAGGAGCGTCCAGACTTGGCGGTGGAACGGTGCGGCGTACTGCGGAATGTGCCGTGCATTGGCATCGTACTGCTCGAGCTGATCTTTCTGATCCGCACTGAGCAGCTGCTGGTAACCGGCAGATGAGTACTGGGAGACGATGGCGCGGGACGACGAATTTGTACCATTGACATTCGTTGAGCCTCCAACGGACTCCCATCGACGCAGCTCTTCCACAATGGTTGCGGATTGAGACGATTGAGCATAGGTGGTCGAGAGCTTGTGCACCGCTTCCGTGTCGTCAGCAATGATATCGACTGTTGGATGCGGGAGAGAAGATGTGGAACGTGAGAATGGCAATTTCGACGATGCGTGATGACTATCACACCACAGGCACCGCAACGAAAACACGAGAGAAAAACATGCAACTCACGGAAAAAGTCGGAGGGGTTGGTCTGAACATCACACATAAACCCACAGCCCTCAAAGAAGGGCAGCGCCTCGGGAGCGTTGCCGTAAAAGATTTGCCTGCCGTCGGCCAGCAAGAGCAGCTTGTCAAACAGCTTGGTAATGTTGGAGCGCGGCTGATGGATGGTAAACACAATCGCTCGGTTGCCATTTCGCGCAAGCTCTTGCAGGGTCTCCATGAGCGTCAGCGCTGTCTTGGAATCCAGGCCGGTGGTAAACTCGTCGAGAAACAGGAGGCTTGGGTTGGTAATGAGCTCTGCAATCAAATAGCAAAATTCAAGGAGACAGTGAGCGTCACACGTAATCACTGAAGCAGACGGAGCAGCAGAGTCGCAAAAGATGCCTACCGACACCGACGCTCACGCGCTTGCGCTCGCCGCCAGACAAGCCACGATGCGATGCAGTGCCAATATAGCTATCCGCCACTTTGGTGAGCTTGAGTTCGTCGATGACCTCTTGGACCTGATGGCCAATCAACCAAAGACAGACGAGCGTGAGCGAAAATCATCTTGACGACGCCAAAACCAGCCATGGAACAACTCCCTCTCACCCGCCGTGCTCGATCGGACTTTAACATGTAAGAGTCCAGGCGCAACTCGGCCGCAAATGTGAGCACTTCGCGAACAGTCAGGTGGCCGATGAGAATGTCCTGCTGCAACACGTAACCAGACAAGCGCTTGAAGATGCGGTTGCGTGGAGCGCCGTTCAGCAGAATGTTGCCGTGGACCTTGGCCTTGCGATCTGCTAAAATGTCAAGCAGGGTGGTCTTGCCGGAACCGGACGGGCCCATGATGGCGAGCGTTTCGCCCGGCTTGACCATGCCGTACACATTGTGCAGGATGCGTTTGGTCGTGCCGCTCTTTTGTCCCACCAAGCGAAGCGCCTTGTCTTGGACTGTCTTGTACTCTTGGATCTGCTCATTTGGGGTTTTTTTTTTCACCAAAAACAAGTGATACCTGTCAGTCAACGAAATCGGCACACCCGTCTCAGATACGAATCAATGGTTTTGGGGGGTTTGGTCTCACCTCGTAGGACACGTTGCTAAAGGTAAAGTACGCGGGAATCCGCTTGACAGCACGCGAGTAGGATGCACTGAACTTGGTTGGGGACGTGGCTCCGGAGCTCAGCAGCGGGGTGGTATCGTCATTGTCGGAGATGACGTCTACAGCAACAAGGCAAAAGGGCGAGCGGGGATTTTAAAAAACAAACCCAGGCGTGTTGTTAGTCGAACAAAGCCAAACAGGCAACGATGCGAGAGGCGAGGTGAGGGAGGAGAGGGAAGCATGTACAAGTGAGGGTTGGGGGAAGAGAGCGGTGGGGAAGAGGGGGAGGGAGGCCGAGACGAGCGGAGAGACGGGACACGAGGAAACGAAATCAAAGTCTCACCTGATGGACCAGAGCGAATTGGGACTCTGACGGATTGCTCAGTCATTGCGAGGTGGGGAATGAATGGATGACGAGAGAGAAACGGATTGGGGAAATAGAAGAAAAAAAGACCAAGGGGAAAAAAAAAAAACAAGGACTGAGCGAGGCACGAACAATCGAAATGGACGGAATAAGACCGCAGAGGTTGACGTGGCCAAAATGTGCGGAAATTGATCCCCGCCGACGGCAGTTTGGAAAAAGGGGGCGTGGACTCTGGATTATTGCCGGTTATTGCCGCTCAGGGGGGTTTGTCGGATGGATGCGTCGACGTGTCGTCTATGTTTTCTGCGAGGGGGAGGAACGGACGTCGGGACGGAAGAAAAATAATAAAGGTGCCCTCCGTCGGCAATCGCTCTCAAAATGGGGGGGGGGGATCGGTTGGCCAAGCATTCATCCGAATGAGTTGCCGCTCTGAATTGTCGGAGATGCATCGACGTGTCGTTGGCTCGGCTATGGGGAGGAGTAACGGAGGCACAATCACAGCAAGTAAAGCTGGAATCCGTGTAACATTCTGCGGACATTCAATGCGGGATGCCTCAATGACGACTCCCCAAGTACACGACACACAATTCAAAGTTTGAAACAAAAAGATCTATAGGCGGATCGCGTTCACAGCATTGCACCAATCTCGCGAACGGTAGACCCATCCTGAAGCGACGTCAATCCCTTGGCGAGCTGCGAAAAGCTCGGACGGAAATCCGGCATCACGTTCCAACAACTCATCATCATGTTGTAGAGCTCGGGCACGCAAGTATCGGGCATGGGCAGGCGACCACCAGCTTCCACATGAGCCAGAGTTTCACGCCCGTCCATTTCGCCGTACGGCGTTGCACCGTAACTGGAGCATTCCCCTACCAACGTGCACCAACGCGAGTGAGAGATCCAAGTGCAATCTTGAGTAGATACCTAGCAGCTCTACTTACAGGCTGTCACACCAAACGACCACACATCGGACATGGAGGAGAACTTTCGGAAGTTCAATGTTTCCGGTGCCATCCACTGCGTGTGCAAAGTTCAGTATAATTAGTATCAAAAACCGCAAGCAACAGCCTTCCTAAAATCTCGACCCACCTTTGCAGGAAGCTTGCCGCGCGTTTGAATGCGATAGTAATCGGCCCCGTTGTCCAACTCGCGAGTAAGCCCGAAATCGGCAATCTTGACCACCATTCCCTGGCCCACGAGGCAGTTGCGAGCGGCGAGATCACGGTGCACAAAGTGGAGGGTGCCCAGATACTCCATGCCAAGCGCAATCTGACGAATCGCATGGATCTGCTCGTTCTGAGTCCACCAAAGCGAGTGGACCTTGGACTTTCGTAGCAGCGTGCGCAAGTCGCCATACTGCACAAACTCGAGCAAAAGGAGATTGGGCTCAGATTCGACAAGAGCCGCGAGCAGACGCACGACATTCGGGTGCACAAACGGCGCCATTAGTTTCGCCTCGCTTTCAAAGTCCTTGCGGGATTTCTCGTCTACATCAGACTTGAGCGATTTGACTGCAACTTGCACGGTTTCGGGCGTTGCAGGTCCAAGCAAGTTTTGTGCTCGCGAGGGCAACACGTTGAAAGGCACCTGACCCAGTGCCACATCGCCAAAATTACCACTGGCAAGATGCTTCACGATAGTCAAGCCGTCACGAATGCGACGAGAATTGCTGCCAACAGCGTAGACGCTGGCATCGTCGTAGACCACTTCGGTCGAGGGAATTGAACTGGCTGCGTACACAGGGTCTGACTTCTGTTGACCGACCACGTCGTAAACCGAGCTGTCGTCCTCTTTGTGAGATCGATTCGCATGAGGAAGAGGGGAGATTGTCATTTCAACAGCCTCCTGATAGATCGGACCGGTAGAGTCCTTTGCAGAGTCCTTCGGTCGCGCAACTGAACTTCGGTGCGATCGACGACGTCGCAGCACGATGAGGACCACTGCAATGATTGCAACAACTGCGACAGACGCAACTGCGCCAGCGATGGCAGCTGTTGAAGATGAGGCCTGGGAGCCGACGCTGAAGTGTGCAATGGAGGAAACAGCAGATGCGGTAGATGCGGCTGCGGTTGAAGCGACAGAAATCGAGAGTTCCCAGGTAGCGGACAATGGAGTGGCAGAGGACGGAGCCACTGATGGAGGAGCGGACGATGGTGTCACAGAAGGAGTGGCGGATGACGGCGTCACTGACGGCGTGGCGGACGATGGTGTTGCAGATGAAGGTGTTGCAGAAGACGGAGTCACTGATGGAGTAGCGGACGATGGTGTGGCAGAAGAAGGCGTTGCGGAAGACAACAAGGATGTCGGCGTCATAACTCGCGACGAAGACACAAAGGCGCACGCGGGAACAGCAGTGCAGAGGAAAGGAGCTATCGCCTGGCAATCAATGCAATAAGCGGCAAGATTTGGCTCGTTAATCATTGTCGTGCCGGATGGAGCAATGTTCGCGCCCAAGGTCAGCAGGGTAGCTGACGCCAAAAGAGCATCAAATTGCTTGGTGCCACTGTTGCCCGACAGCTGCGAGTTGACGACACCGACTCTTCCAGTCGAATCCACTTGAATCATGCCAACATTGTTCGTGATCGATGCGCGAACGTTGCCGGTCAAGGTTGTATCCACGACAACGATCTGGTTGTTGCGAACGCGGAACACTGTGCCGCCAGTACCGGACTCAGACGAGAGCATGTTTGCCGTAAAGTTGCAGCGGAAAAAGGATGCGCGCAGAGTGTTGCTTGAAATCATATCCAAAACTCCACCGCTGATGGCTTGGTTGCTGTCAAACAAGGTGTCATACGCAACAACCGCGGAGTTTGTGCCTTCCAACAAGAACACACCACCAGCTCTCGAAGCCGAGTTTTGGGAAAAGGTGCTGGATGTGACGGTGATTTGAGCCGTTGTTCCGGTGCGGATGACGCCAGCATCCGTGCCCGCCGTATTCGAGGTAAACGTTGAACTGTCAATGATGATGCCGGCGCCGTTTCCGACGAACAGAATGCCAGCATCCGCATTCGTCGCTTTGTTGGAGGTGAAGGTCGACCGGAGGATTGTAATGTTTGCTGAAACGCCAGCATAAATGACACCGCCAGTAGCGGCGGCCAGGTTACTGGTGACTGTGCAGTCCTGAAACCAAATATCGGCGCGATCGACCGCGTACAGCACACCGCCAAAGCCTTCGCCGCCTCCCATTGGATCAACCCGATTTCCAGTGATGGTCGAGTTGAAAGCTTCAAACACGGAATCATTTTCCAAGTATGCGACTCCAGCGTTATTCGAGCCTTGGTTGCCGGTGATGGTCGAGTTGTAGAGGCGAACGTAAGACGGCGACGCTAAATAAAAGACGGCTCCTAAGCTGCTTGCTCCCGCCAGATAGCCATCTTGGAAGTTGCAACCGGTGCAGCTGAACGATGCCGTTGTCATCAGATAAGCGACGCCACCATACCAATACGCAGCATATCCTGACACGCCTCCGCACCCAGTGAAGGAGAGGCCAGTACCCTCGACGCTTGCTCCCGTGTTAAGGTAGAGTGCGCCACCATAATACATGAGCGCGTCGAGCACGACAGAGTTCCTCCACACTAAGCGGGTGCCGCTGTCGACGTACATGACGCGCCCTTTGCTTTCGAACGAATAAGTGCTGCTTTGAGCGTTAAATCTGATGCCGGAAATGCTGACGAGCGGCAGGTTGGCTGAGATGGTGATGAACCGAGCTGTGCTTGCGCCAAGGTTGAATACTGTGTTTGTGCCGACAATATTCACGCTTCGCGAGACAGTCAAGACTGTGGTGATGGAATAGGTTTGTGCAGGAAGGCAGATGGTGGTCATGGCTGCATTGTTCAGCAATGCCTGAATTGCTGCAACGTCTGCCACGCCGCCAGTGTTGCTGCAGGCTTGGGCAATCGCAGGGGCGATAGCAACGCCAGCTAGCCATGCTAGCCATAACAGCAGACCAAGAGGACGCATGATTTGGATGATCGGTTGTGTTTCGCAAGGATGTAGCTCAGACAAGTGAGGTGATGTGAGTCTGCACAAAATCAATCTCAAAACAAGTGAGTGTTGAATAAGCGAGGGGAGCATCGGATGTACCACATCAGACATTGTGAGTTCAAACTTTCACGAGCAATGCGACAAAGAGTTCGTCTCCAAACCCTGGCAACCGCGCGTGCGTGAGGTTTGTGAGTTCTCTTCCCCCTCCGACTCTGGCAGGGAAACTGTGCATATAGCCTCGCAGTGAATCCTACTGCCTTCAACGCCGAAGAGAGGAGACGCAGGAGAGCGAGGAGCGAAGAGCTGGCAGGGGAATTTCGGAGAAATCCTGAGAATAAAGAGCAACTCGGTCTCTGCTGTTTGTTGCCATCATCCATTGGACGGCTGCTGGGAGTACACTCTCTGACATACAAGAGCCCAACGCCCTCCCACAACGCGCTATTGCCCCCGTGCGTGTTGGTTTGCTGGCTGAGGTGAGCAACATCTGGGAACAAAAAAAAAAAAAAAAACCTCAGCACTGGTTTGCTTTGATGGGGTTTTTTTTTTCTTGGTTTTTTTTTTCTTTGTGTTGCCTTCGCTTTGACCAAGCTCGATGGATGCACGTTGACATGGATGATGAGTGAAGGGCATCATCCAGGCAGAGAAGTGGAGGAACAATCCCCTCCCCGGTCCTGTTCCTGAGTGGCGAAGCGCATCAATGCAGTCGCAGCCAATAAACGTACAGCGTGCAAAACGCCGAAAGACGGTTCAAAAGAGTGATTGTTTTGTTTTATTGGGGGGGGGGTTCTATTCCGGTTCTTGACTCGGTCACTTGAATAGATCTAGAAATGTAGCCGATACAAGAACAAGAGGCTGGATTACATGATGAAAATATCTCAGCCGAAAGTGGACAGCGAGGAAGGCAAGTTTGGCAAATCATCTCCATACGTGCACAAACTCGAACAGGCTTGGACTCTACTAGTGCCGCAAGCAGGCTCACAACATGTTGGATGCACAAAGGGCCTAAACAGTCAAACACAATCGATTTCTATTGACAAGGAGGAAGAGAGCGTGCGAACGAACCCCTAACCTTTCACGAGGTACTTGCAATCTCAGCTTCAAATAAACAACACACTTTTTTGATCGAGAAATGTCGGGGGGGGGGGAGC